ATCCAGTGAATATTCCAACAGACACCGTGACAAAAATGCTGATGATATTTACGGCCTTGGAACCTGAACTCATTTCCTCGCCCTTCTCGGAGAGAAGTCGTAGGCGACTCCCCACAAATGCCGGCACAAGCAACTTCGGAGAAATGATCGCAGTAGCCAGTCCATACATCAAAGGTTGAACAGTTGGAACAGTGGATATAGCTCCGTTGCAAATTGAGTAAGGCAGCGGACACAGACGAATCATGCAGAGAAGCTTCAAGCCATCATACTTCAAGGTCAGGGACAACGCGGCAAATCGCTTGTCGCGTTCCATGAGCCGGTTCACAAATCCCGAAAGCACAGTTCGTGATACGTAGAAGGAGGCCGTGGAACCGAGAACGGTTGCGGTGGTGTAAATAAGCCATCTGTTTAGAAAATTGGGAGATTAGCATCCAAGTTGGCTGGTGGTTGCGGTCCGGGGAAGATGCGCGTCAGGGTCCATCAGGGTCCAGCGGCGCCTCGGCTTTTAGCTTACCCTTTCCATAGACCAAAGATAAAACCCGCCACCGTTCCAAAAGTCGACCAACCCAGCAATGGAGGGAAGGAGACGAAAAAGACGCAGAGCCATAGAATAAACGCGACCAGGAAAGAATGCTCCCATTTGTGCGCGACCGGACCCAGCCAGCCGAAGAGCTTTCCGGTCAAGATCATGAAACCAATACCGAGCGCAGCAACTCCAAAGGAGGCGGCATAGAACCCAATCTTTTGCCAGAGAGTCATGGTCTCCCAGCGTTCCTTGGCCATGGTATAGACCGCTTTGGCGCGGTTCATTGTGCGGTCTCGAAAGTTGGCCTGGTTGTTGTTGGACCAGCGAGCGGAGGAATCGCGCCTGGCCCAGGGCGCTTGGTTGTGTTCATCATCGCTGTTGGGGGATTCAAGAAGAGGTTCAGGGGGCGAGTCGGAGAGTGCCAATGCCCGTGCCGTGGACTCGTAGTCCGCGGGCATGGTGGGCAAAGAGCTTTGAGGGGAGGAAGGAGGGGAGTTGATATTCAATGGGACAGGGATCAGATCCGGGGGAGGAACCTCTAGCGATCGGCGCTGTGGAGCGGAGGAAATGAATGGAGGTAGGTGGTGGTGGTGGTCGTCGTCGTAGTGGTGGTGTTGGTGTTGGCGGTGATGGTGGTACCTTGGGTAACTGGGATGGTGAAAAGTACTAGAGGTGGTAAGTTGATGAAGAAGACAAGAAAGGCTCCGATGTCTCAAATATGCCATTAGCCTGGGGCAAGCTGTCTTTGTAAAAAGTGGTGGCCCCAAAGCGGATCCGCCGGGCCCCCGAGGCTTTACCGGAAGCTGCCATAGGCTCATTACTTTCCAAGGGTACCATAGGGTATACCGGTTCCTGGCCTATTTATTTATTTACTAGTAGTACTATTATATATGTTGGAATACCTCGATTAGTGTTCGAATAGGGAATTCTAATCATCACATCATCAACCTTGTACACTAGGAGACTGAGAATATGAGTTTGTTGGCTGAGATCTACAATTCCATGTCTATGCCGAGGGCTTAGTTTCTTTTTTTTTCCTATATATTTTAATTTATTTATTCTTATTTTTATTTATTAACTCTAACTCCTAAACTCCATCTACAACTACCATTACTAACTAGGTATAAAATGTCAGAATACTACTGGTAGAGTACAGGTGGGCCGCAGTTCAATCAGTCCAGTCTAACACTTTAGTCTCCTCCATCTCTACAAGTCAATGTTGATCTCCTTTCTTCTTCTTCTTCCTCCTCCCCCCACCTCCTTTGTTTGCGCTTCATCTCCCTTTGTCATCCTTTGTCCTTTATTCCTTTTTTGGCTAGGGTTACGATGTAACTAAGGCTGCCCTACTTCCGATTCATTGCTTTTCTGCGCCTCCATCATCCCCCGCCTCCCCCCCTTTATCGCCCGTCCTCGGGCCTCGACCTGCCTCACTTATCAGAGAATATGGACCCGGAACTGTGACTTCCAAAACTCCCATCACCAAAATAATTCACTCTTCCTATATACGACCTCTGTCGATCACTAGCTCGTTACCGATCCCATCCGATCAGCCACCAACCCGGAGAAACTCAGCTTCATTACGACTCCATCGCTGTTGGCCGCCGTTTCAGCTTATCCCTCCCCCCTTCCCGTCGCGCGCGCGCCTCCACAACACCATGGTATCGGAAGAACTTCTCGAGAAATGTCTCGAGATCCTACAGGATCAAGCTCTAGATGATGAAGAGCAGGTCGAGAAAGTGGAGGATTTCTTGCGGGCAAATACCTCCCTCTCGTCCTCTTCCTTGGAAAACGCGGTGCTGGACATCCTATGGCGGCATCGCAATCGCTCGTTGCCCGACTCATCACCTCCGCCTGCTCGTCATACAGTTATCCGTCGCTCATCTCCCGCCCCATGGCAGATGGCGCGCTCATCGACACCGTTATCGCCGCACTCCAATCTGGGCACCAGCCCCGGAAGTACTTCGTGGGTACAGAGCTCGCGCGGGGCATTCTCCCGACCTCCGCTCTCCTCAACAGTCTCCCCATTTACCTCCCCACGCCCGTCTCCCCGACTGGCTCTGGCACAACCAATCCCCCACTCGCCAAACCTGAATGCATATGAGTTCTCCGATCAAAGTCAAATATCAGAATATTATGCAGATTTTGGTAGCGACAGCAATGTTGAATGGTTGGTGGCTGACGATGCAGCTAGCACAACTTCGTCAACCGGAGGGTTCAGTTATGCTGCATCCTTAAGTGCTACCGCTGCGGAGTTCGTACCGGATATGAGCCCGCATGACATTTTGCGTACTGTTTTAGGTGATCGGCGGTCCAACGATGAAATCGAAGCCGCACTTGAAGCCCACAGTTATGACCTCGGGGCGACTATCGCAGCGCTTTCTCAGGATCAAGACACGGATGTTTTTGCCAAACAGGATGATGGCCGAGTGGTGGTTGGGAAGTCCATGGTCATGGACCAAGCTCGTCCCGTTACCCCCTCGGGTCACTCTCGCAGTCCTGTAGTCTGCAAGTATTGGCTATCTACCGGGCAATGTCTTCGCGCAGATTGCCGCTTTAGCCATGATTTAACCAGTCATGTGTGCAAGTAAGTCTTCCATGTCATCTTGCAAATGGATCCCGCTTTACAAACTAATGAATCTCTATCAGATACTGGGTCATGGGCAATTGCCTGGCTGGTGATGGCTGTCCGTTCTCACACGATCCTTCAGCTCTCATCTCTAGCCTTAGTGTCGCGAGCGGCAGCCGACCAGCTTCCCCAGCTGCAAGCTCCCCCTTCCAAATGGACAGTGGCTCTGATGCATTTCCACCGCTGCAATCATCAACTGGATTAGAAGATCAGTGGACTGGTCCATATGGCAGTCGCTATCCAGCGCACCTCTCTGGTCTGCAAAATAAGAACATCCCCCCGGGACTTCATCCGGGAATGGGCCGACGCAACGGTAGTATGAATAATATAAGTCGCCCGAACTCACGCCCAACAAGCCGTCATCAGAACCGTGAGCTGAACCCAACAGCACTATCTGTCGATGATCCAGATGCCTTCCCCACTCTTGCTGCTGTCAGTGCAAAGAATGCTGGCAAAAAGCACCACGGCAAGCGAGGCGGCCACAATGGTCGCGATATGAATAAAGAAAACATTCCCTCCTCTCTGGCAGATGTTGTGCGCATGACACCATCTCCGGCTCCCAGCAAAGGCAAATCATCGTCCAAGAATGCCAAGGACGCCAAGGGCCGCGAGAACAGTGCCGCGGCTATGTCGATCGCGGCTCCGCAGAATATCCCGTGGCTCGAGACCGGTTCACGGGCAAATCAGCAGTATATTAAATATCGTACAGAAGCAATTCGCCACGGGACCGTGCGGAATAAATTCTTACAGAGGTGTGTCTAAATAATTACTGGTTGTTCTACGTGAGATCTGGGTTATATTAACAAATCAAACAGCGCTGCCCAAGCATGGAATCGGAATGATGCACGAGCTGCGAAGGCGCTATCACTACGCGGCCAGGCGGAGAACGACGCGATGCGTCGTTGTCATCGAGAAGCTGCACGCCAGCTATATGAAGAGCGCAATCAGCATTTGAACCAGGCGGGCCTGGACGAATCTGCGGAGGAGCTTTATATTGATCTGCATGGTCTGCATCCGGAAGAAGCCATTGAATACCTGGAGAAGATACTACTTAAGCACGCACGCCAGGGACTTCGGGTTGTTTACGCGATCACGGGCACTGGTCACCACTCGAAGAACGGCAAAGACAAGATCGGAAAGGCCGTCAAAGCTTGGCTGAACGAATGGCGTTATCTATTCCGAGAATTCAGCGTACCTGGTGAGCGTGGAGGATATGTTGGAGGTATCCTCGGCATTGACCCGACCAGTTATGATAAATCCCTTGCTCGAGGCATGGCGGAGGAAGAGTCGACGACCGCGGATATTGGCAACAACCTTACGCTAGGCAAAATCCAATTGCTCAGACGGGAAGATTTAGAAACACAAAATCAATGAGTTGGTGTGATGTTCTGTTTTTTCAGCTCGTGATGATGCGGCATGATACCCATCCTTTGCATTGCAGAGCTTGAGCCACTCATCTGCCTCATTGTTTGTTTTGTTTATATGACCATGCTCCCCTCCCAGCAGTGCCTTTTCTTTTGATATCGGTTACTTGGATAACTTTCCCACAATCAGCTACTTCTTCCTGGTTGAATACCCTGATAGAATATTGTGTTTGTCAACGAGCACGTAACTACTTGGTAACTACTCCCTCCTCGAGCCCTGGAGGCATATCAAAGACTCGAGGTGGGTATCACATATAAGCGATAATAGTATCGAATACCAATGAACAACTTGAATTTACATACATGACCCCAATTGAAACTTGTCGGTATTGCTGGTACATAGCAAAAGACCTCGTTCATGAGAAAAGCGCAGAGGTTGACAATAGTAACTATATCCATTGAATTCTTAAGCATCAACATCTACCTACTCAGGCTCCTGATGCTTCCACTGTTCCCGAAGCGCCCGAATATCAACACCAACAGCCTCAGCCTTCCTAACAATAGCCCTCGCCTTCTCCGCAACAGGCACATCAATCATCTTACCATCCAGCGTCCAAGCCCCACGCCCTGCAGCAGCAGCTTTCTCATCAGCAATCACACACCGCACAGCCCACGCCGTCTCCTCCGCCTGCGGCCCAAAGATATCATTCGCGACCTTCACCTGCGACGGATGAATACACTGCTTCCCGTTAAACCCAAGCCGGCGTCCATCATAACATTCCTCCTCCAGCACCGCCGGCGGCGACCCATCCCCTTTCTCGGACTTGTATGTTGTGCAGACGAGGTCAATTGTCGATGGGAGTTCGGCTGCGCGGGCCGCGGTCGCGATAGCCGAACGCGCGAAGAGGAATTCCCGAAGACCTGGCGTACGCGTAATACTCAAGTCCAGAGCGAAGTCCTCCGCAGCGAAAACAAGGCCCTGGAGTAAAGGCGAGGCGCCGCAGATTTGGGTGAGGTTGGTGAGGGACTTGGCGGACTCGACGAGGGCGAGTAAGGAGATTGGCGGCCTGTTTTCGATTTGGGGCTGTTGTGCGAGGGTGTGGGAGATGACGTCCGTTACGAATGTCAGGTCTGAGGCTGAGTTGACCTTTGGGATCACGATTGTTGTTAGGTTTGGCGATTGGAGCTGTCGTGGTGATTGTGTTAGCATGTGTTTTTCTCTCTTGCTCGCTGTTTGGTTGTTGGATAGGCTGGTAAGGATCGATACGCACCACTTCTGTCAGATCACCCAGTGCTAGACCGCTGTCTACGGAGTTGATTCGCACTGCACGCTCGCGAATACCACTCGGTGTGGGCTGGTCAATTGCTCTCCGCACCAGGCCGCGGGCCTCTGCCTTCATGTGCGGAGTCACGCTGTCCTCAAGATCATAGGCGACACAGTCCGCTGCGAGTGAGCGGGATTTATCGAGGAAACGCTGGGAAGACCCGGGGACTGCGTGGGGGAGAAAGCTGGTTAGCTTTGGGGTTGACAGCAGCGCGCATGAGAATGCGGGGGAAAGACGCGGTGCGCCGGCTAGACTCACCGTAGAGCAAGGAGCGGCGTAGGGTATTGCGGGCTGCCATTTTATGGATCAAGCTCGCTATCAATGGGAGCTTGGAAATAATTGGTGTTGCTAGATGTTAGCACTAAGCGTTGTCGGTGCCGTGTGGGGAAGATGAAGAGCGCCGCGACCTCGGGAATTCCGTGCTCGGCGCTGATGTCAGAACGGGATGTAGATGTTTTAGAGATCTACCACGAGCGCTAAGTCTTTTTACTTTTTAGAGGTTCTCTAAGAAGATATGTAGGATAATAGAAATAAAAGAATCGGAGATGATTTCAATTGAATATTTTTGGGTACTCTTGTAGCTCGGGTTGAGAGAGGCCGGATGTAGGCTATATGGGCACGGCTTATCGCCTATTTGGACTGCCCTGGCCCGTTCTGATATTTCGGATGCTACGATCTCAACCCAATGGCGATGGTAAAAATCTCAAAGTTATATTATTTCAGATTGCCCAGTTCTTACCACGCTCGCGGCTGAGTCTCTAAAGAACTTTGATTAAGCAAAAGAGTTAAGGATGGTAACATGGTACCTTTTTGATGGGAAATCGATAGAGCTACTGGTAGGTCCACCATCACCGTAAGATCGGGATCGAGGATCTGGGGCCTCCAGGAATGTTGGTATTCCTCATAGTCATTTATATATATGATACTTATGATACTCTGAGTCAACTCTGCATCGTAAGAGCTCAAGCTCCTTTTTTGGGCGATGGGCAGCGAAAATCAAATAGGGGCTTGTCACCGGGGCGATTGTCCTATAATATCATGTCTACAACATGCCCAGGTGCACACTGGGGCACGATTGCGGAGAAACTTTGAAGATAATCAATGCCTCTTTCAATATTGACCAATCAAAAATTGATATTCAAGAGATCTTCCCAAGTATGACGCGTTGTTGTGATTGAGAGCTGTGGCGGGCTGAGTGTACGAACTATCAATCGGTGCATCACATACCTAGTACAACATGCACATAGCAGCCCTGAACTGCGGGAATACGATCTTGTTTCCTCTCATAAGTACCTAATTTATTACCATAATCTCTGATATTATATCAATTATCAGAAAGTCGGCTCATTGTATTATCTGCCTTTGAACAATGTTTTGGGTAATGGAAATTAGAACTTGAATTACGCTACAACTGGTATAAGAACATGGGACTGCATCTGTCTGTGTGAAAAGCTCGCCCCACCACAATCCGATCTGCCCCTTGTTTTACATGCACCTCGAACGTACAAAGTAATTTAGGTAGCCTCAGCTGCATGAGTGAAGTTCCCAGCAGCGCTGAATCATGCATAAGAGGCGCAGTGGGTACTGTCGATCATTGGCCTCGAGCGGGGATCTCCAGGACCTCCCCCCCCGCAGCTTAAACGTCGCTTCTGACCTCTGACACTACCCGCGAACAGAATATGTGTATATAACATCCCATGGTGTTAAATCAATTTTTTATGGCTTCCAAGGTTCATCTATTTCATCCTGGCTATGATTTATCCATGTCAGGTCTAGTACCTCGCCTCCAGGGCTTGGTATGCCGAGCTGAATGTATTTTGGCGAGTCTCCACATAAAAGTATGTCTCTCAAGCTTGCATGAACTAGTATTATGCCGTAACACCTGAGGTTTCCATCCATAGAAGTGATCTTCCAACTTCATTGCAGCCACTATTCTGGCGATGATCTGGGTTCGATCAGTGAGCCGGCCCTAGGCAAGGGAAAGAACACACATGCAAAAGCCTTCAAAGTTTGAACATAAATAAACTCTCATCCATCTTAATTTCGTTCGCGTCTCTAACATTGACCTTGGAATTCCTTCTCTGGTCATTGGACACCGCAAACATGGTGCAGTGTCGCGCTCTTTTGTGGCAATTGTGCCTTCTATCGATCCCTCTCGCATCGGCCCTGACGGTTCCCCAGAAGGTTCTGAGCCCTGATGTGTCTCAGCTGTCGGAAGAGGAGCTTTTGTTTAACGCTACGGACACTGGCCTATACGCTACCTCAAGTTCCGATGACAGATCATGCGATAACTGGGACCCTGTTTCTTGGGACTACGATGTAGCCATCGTCGGAGGTGGCCCTGCCGGTCTCGCAGCTTCGATGTCCTTGGGCCGAGTAGCTCGGACATCCCTCATGTACGACTCCAACGAGTACCGTAACGCCAAAACTCGATACATGCACGATGTGCTGGGTCAAGATGGTAAGTTAGATTGAACTTTGAAATTTCAGACAATTGAGCTAACTGCCCTCTAGGCATGGTTCCACTCAAATTCCGAGCTGCGGTTCGAAGCGAGATTGATCAGCATTACAGCGACTACTCCTACCGTACAACCCTTGGGAAGAAGGTCACTGCTATCCAGCCTCTCACCAAAGGATTCCGGGTATTTGATGATAAGGGAGGGAAGATCCTTGTCAAGAAAGTCATTCTAGCCACTGGAATCACTGATGTGGTTCCAAACAAGCCTGGATTCTCCGAGGCCTTCGGAAGAGGTCTATTCTGGTGCCCCTGGTGTGATGGGTATGACTATAGGGGGCGTGCAATGGTTGTCTACGGAAAGCCTGGAAAGCTCTCCAGCGCTATTGGATCTGCTATAAGTCTACGGAAACTGACAACCAACATCCAAATCATTACCGGAGGTAAGATCACCGATGAGGACAAGAAGGCTGCGGAAGAGAAGTGGCCTGGATGGGAAAAGGTCATCAAGACAACCTACGGAATCAAAGTGCACGAAGTCGATATCACCAAGCTTGAAAGAACTGCCAAAGGAAATGAGCCCTCGGACGACGAGTATAAGCTCACTCTGAGCGGTGCTCCGACCACACTCGTCGCCAACGGAATTCTGTATAGCACGGATACCAAACAGACATCGAGCTTGCACAAACAACTGCATTTGGATATGGATGGATCATCGGTTAAGGTTTCAAGCAACAACATGATGACAAGTGTCGGTGGCATTTATGCTGTTGGTGATGCCAACAACGACGGTAGCACCAATGCATACCACGCGATGTGGAGTGCAAAGCGTGCAGTCGTCAACGCCCATGGTAAGTGGAATAAGAAATTTTCGTATTTATTGTTCGAATCTAACCGGTTCAGTTGCACTGAACAAGGAGGAATACCTTGAGCAAGTCCCTGCGGTCATGGTTGCGGCAGAAGGTGGCGACGAGGAGTTCTACCAGCGACAAATCGATGAGCTTCAATGGGTTATGAGCAATGATATTGAGGATCTTTACAAGACCCTCGGTGCTTAAGCAAGCTCAAGTCCGACAAGCTCGCGTACTAGTACTGGTGGTATTTAGCAATTTTCGAGCCAAGAGAGACAATGCCTGAAAATGACCAGATTGAGAAACAATATACCACTTCCAACTTGAAGCTTCGTTAAGTTTAATAGTAGGCTAAGGAGTTATCCTTCCGTAGCAGTAGCAGTATATCCTAGAATACTACTAGTAGTTCCATAATACCATAATCCCATTAGTATTATTCTTGTCTCCACTCCACTCCATACCCTAAGGTACGGGAGAGTACAAATGTGGAACTTCAAGATCCACAGCCAATTACGACGTGCCACCCTGTATATTCTGCCACCGCCAACAGCGTGCCTGCCGCGTGGTGAACATCAGGGAGATCCATCGTCAACAGCTTTACAACTCTCCGATACTAGCAAGAAGTCGGTTGATTCACGGTATCTCCGGGAGCTTCAGGACTACCAGATCCCTGTTATTCATTATGGATCAAGGCCAGCAAGGAGATCTGAACTGGCGCCTTAGTGCCCATCCCATCACTCTACTTGTCTTCTTGACCATTCGTATCGGTGCGTGCTGCAGTGCTCTTGTCAACTGTCCATTGAACATTTAACTGATTAATGCGCTTTTTAGGTGCTTTGATGATGTATCTCTTTGGCCTCCTCTTTATCAAAGATTTGTATGACCCCTCGCCAGCGCATATTCCCGCAGACAACATGGAAGAAGCCACCCCGCTAATCACCTTCCACAGTATCCTCGTCTTTATCCTGACCCTCCTCCTTCTGTCTGCCGACTTTTATTACCTCAAGAATATTGCTGGGCGCCGCCTGGTTGGCCTGCGGTGGTGGAACGAAGTCAACACAACTTCCGGCGATTCACACTGGGTGTTCGAGTCCTCTGACCCCAACGTTCGCTCAATCGCCGCCACAGACAAGCGCTTTTTCTGGCTGAGTCTCTATGTTACCCCGGCTTTGTGGGTTGGGTTGGCTATCCTGGCCATTGTGAGATTGGTTGGCGTGATCTGGCTCAGTTTGATCGGTGAGTGTTCTTGGTGCCTGGACTATCTTTGAAGACTGTGACAAGCAAGACCCCTAAGCTAATAAAACACCTGTAGTTATTGCCCTCATCCTGACAATCACCAACACCGTGGCATTCTCACGGTGCGACAAATTCAGCCAAGCATCGACTTTTGCGAACCGGGCCCTGGGCGGGGGTATTGTGAACAATCTTGCGGGTGGCCTGCTGGGCAGGTTCTTCAGATGATCTGGGCTGGCTGGAAGCGAGCATCCAATGATCTACATCTTTATTGTGCACCAAGACTGCACTCATGTTCAACAATAGTATCTGTCACCAAAATTTTGAGAGTGTTTCGATATGTTCAACAATGCATTTAAATTAGTGACCAATGACACCACTTTTTGCGAACCAATGGAACTTCAAATCAGCCGCAATCAGCCCTAGCCGCAGCAAACTCATGGTGAGCAATCGGAGTTGTTCCATTTCCAGTTGCGTGTAATGTAGCCTCACTCGCACGCCGAGCCACAATTGGCACTCAAGGCAGGCGCACGCTTCCCTTCCCTCCTCCAACCATCCTTCCCTTTTAATTTCTCGGATTTGTTTTCTTTCTACTCTCTCTGCACATTGCAACCTGACACACTCACATTCGTGGTCTTTTCATCTTTCTCTCGGTAAGTATCTCTCTCACCACTCCTGCCTCCGCTCGACGACGGCGCAGATACCCGAGAGTCTCACTTGATGATCACCTCGCAGAGCTCCAATTTCCGTCCCTCAACTTCTTTCCCCCTTTTCTTATCCTGGTTTGCTTTCACGGCTGTCCACAGGCTCCATCACTGACTGATTCTGACCCAGCTTACCAAGTCGTCAAGAGCAAAGACAATCATCATGTCTGACAGGGGGCGACAATACGACGCGGAGGAAGAAGACTATGGGCCCAGGACCGTTCATGGGAACTTCGACGCCGATGGTAAACTATGCCGCAGGTGAGTTGTTCAATAATCGCGAGGCAACGGCATGTGCTGATCAAGGGAAACAGCTGTGGTGAACCGAATCACTTTGCACGAAACTGTCCCTACAAGGGTGGCGGTGGAGGGTACGAAGGTGGTGGGGGAGGCGGACGCGCATGCTTTAATTGCGGCGAGGAAGGGTAAGCTATGAAGAGAGAGAATCGACCCAAGCAGACTCCGTGTTGACAACAGCTTCTACAGTCACAACAAGGCCGACTGCCCCCAGCCCCGGAAGTCAATGGGCGCGTGCTACAACTGCGGCGAGGAAGGGTATGTGCATCAAGTGGATAGGTCAACCAAGTTACCCGGCTAATAATTGACGCTACAGGCATTCAAAGAGCGACTGCCCTCAGCCTCGAAAGTCGTTCGGGGCATGCTACAACTGTGGGGAGGAAGGGTGAGCCACTGCCATTGAATTGTCTCACACCGAAGCTGACTTCATCCTATTAGCCATTCAAAGAGCGACTGCCCTCAACCCCGAAAGGCAACGGGCGCATGCTACAACTGCGGGGAGGAAGGGTGAGCCGATGTCATTGAATTATCTCACGCCGAAGCTAACTTGATCATAATAGCCATTCGAAGAGCGACTGCCCTCAACCCCGAAAGTCAATGGGCGCATGCTACAACTGTGGAGAAGAAGGGTACGATTCAGAACTTTCGAGGTCCATCATTTAGCACATCTAACAAAGAACATAGTCACAACAAGTCCGATTGTCCCAAGCCTCGCGTTTTCAAGGGAGCGTGCCGTATCTGCAACCAAGAGGGCCACCCGGCCGCTGAATGCCCCGAAAAGCCGGTGGATATTTGCCGAAACTGCAAAGCCGAAGGTAAAATATTCCTATAGACTATTCAGAAGATGAGAAATGCTTACTTGCGTCACAGGCCACCAGTCGAAAGACTGCAAAGCAAACCGCAAGTTCGATCTTAACCATGTCGCCGACAAGCTTCCCGAGGAAGCATGGGCGATGATGAAGGCTGCAAGTGATGAGAAGGAGATTGGCGAATTCCGAGAGGTAACAAAGCCATTAGGCTCATTTTGAATTCTGGATCTTTTAACACTATCACCCAGGCCCTCCAGATCTACGCCAAGGCGTGTCCAGACGAGACCTTCCAGACTATCGGCAAAAAAATGCTGGATGATGAATTCAAGATCTATCTTATCGCCCTGGTAATCAACATCTCACTTTTCTTGCAGTGTGGACAAGCAGCTGACCGGGCCTCCCAATTATAGGAAAAACCCCTCGAGGATGTCATCAGCTTAATTGATCTGCAAGGACAACTGGACCGCCAATATGTTGTTGGTTTCTATTACAGCGACAAGCCTCAGCGCGCCAATCTCCGAGAGCGCTGGCCTGAAAACCCAGAGGACAATCTTGAACGCCTTCAAAACGCGGGACTTCCCTACGACCGGCAAGTGATGAAGTGCCGTAATTGTGGAGGTAAGCCAACTATATGCTCTATTTCTTCCGTACACACTGACAATGTTATAGAAATGGGCCACAGTTCGCGTGGATGCAAACAGGAGCCTGTCTTGTTTGAGAAAACGGAGATCAAGTGCGCCAACTGTGACTCGCTTGGGCACCGAGTGCGAGATTGTCCACAACCGCGTAAAAGTCGATTCGGGTGCCGCAATTGCGGGTATGTTTATCTGATCCTAACAACAGTGAGCACTAGATACTGACCATTTCAAAGCTCCGAAGAACATGAAGCCCGGGAATGCCCTGAGCCCCGATCAGCCGATGATGTCGAGTGCCGTCGATGCAACGAAAGTATGATCCACGCCAAATTAACTCTTCCTGCCAATACCCACATGCTCACAGATTTACAGCCGGACACTTTGCCAAGGATTGCCCGAACTCTGCTCCACGGGAACCTCGCACATGCCGTAATTGCGGGTGAGTTTATGGAGTGAACCTGGTTACATGATGAGACAAGCATCCGTCTTCTAACAAGCCTGCAGTTCTACCGAGCATATCGCTCGTGAATGCGACCAGCCCCCAAACCCCAACAACATGATTTGCCGAAACTGTGATGGAAGTAAGTATATCTGTCGCCCGGTAGATGCTGGAAATGAGTAGTTCGAAGCTAACTATTGCGTTTTCACAGAGGGTCATGCTGCTCGTGATTGCCCCGAGCCCAAGAACTGGAATAAAGTCAAGTGCAACCGATGTGGCAACAGTAAGTCTAAATTTCTATGACCATGGATACTGTGAAGATCTAACTAATGATGTGTAGTGGGTCACACTGTTCGACGATGCCCTGAGCCTGAAGACAATGAAGCTTCTGATAACCGTGGAAATGAAGGCGAATCTCGCGAAGACTTCCAAATTCCCGACAACCATGGATATGGCGAGCTCCACGAAGACAACAATGGAGGAGGATACGACGAAGATGGCGGCCAATGGTGATTCAAAGATGACCTAGGCCATTGGCACAGTAGGAAGGCTTTGATCTGGGTAGGGAAGAGGACTGCATAGCCGGTTGGCTAATAACCAATGGCATGTGCATCGAAGTGATCGGTTATCGCATGTTCTATTCGTGAACGGATTGGTTTTCCTTCGGGTTAAGCTCTGAAAAATGGCCTTCTCTGGTGGATAAGCTCTTTTATTTTCTATTTTCAAATGACAAGACCAAACTAACTTAGTGAGTGGTTAAGAATCTAATGATACGCGATCATCTTTAACCATCATCATTGCCCTTTGCTTCTGTTAAGAAAATACTCTAATATAAGGTGTTCAACTACTAGTTTGATTAGGAATCTGCCACTCAGGTAGTGTCAGAAAGCATTGGTGGTGGAAGGCACTCGTTACGGAGACTTTACCAATGAAAGAAATGAAGGGGTCTGACCGAGAACAGGGTTCCAAATCCTACCTTAAGGATTCCCAGCTCAGTGCACTGACTATGTGACCAACCAGACATTCATCGGATTTATGAGATAAGCCAATGCCTTATTTCTTGGCCTCATAGCTGGTATTACAGTGACCAATTGAACCTGTGGATTGCCGCAGCAAAGGTCGGCGAAGCAGAACAGATCGTGGTTGCATCGCTGCGCACCCGAAAAGTCAACGATGACGGTTCGACTGTATGTGGACAATACCATACAAAATACTACTTTGGACAAGCTTGGCCAAGATCCAACGAGATAAGATGTAAGTTTCCGAGTACTGATCCTCCGCGACTCGCCATCGGCATCCCTCAAATCGGAGTGGAAGGTTATTCGACTTCGGGGTTGCCGATGTCACGGCAAAGGTTCAAATTGTATACTAGTAGTATAGATCTGAAGTTCTTTGACCGGGCCTAGAACGCTTTTTTTCCCCAAAGGGTCACGGGTCCTTGAAATAATGCTGTATCCTGCCCAGGTGGTCCAAGCGATGCTGAATCCGGTGGTGAGCTATGAAGAGTCGATGCGTTTGATTGGTGCTTAAAAATAACCCGGTGCCTAGACTAGTCCATTCATTTGTGGGTGATTGTGGGTGTATAGGCTACGAGATCAAAAAGGTGTTCTGGCGTAGCGTGCCGGCAGCAAGATGATTCTCTTCCGCTCAAGATATGCCGTATATTTTATTAAGATATTGCACAGGTGGATAGGGTTGAGATGTCGCCTTTGAATAATCTTATGCATCTCTCTCAGGGCAATTAGACTTTGCCTAACCATTATGTGGCGCTGACATGATTTGTGCCGGAGCTCTAATCTGATGTAGTCTTTCTTGGGAACGGCCAGGAACGCGAGGCCCAAACTCTGCCCCTGACAGTACTGATGACGGTAGAATCAATCTGTTGATCACGTCCCGCCTTGGGTTCTCCAATACAATCACGCACAGGTCTTTGCAGCCGAGCTCCACTGCGAAACGGAGTCTCCCGATCGGGTAGGCATTGGCGCGGCTCTGGACTTGTGCACACGGAAAATGTGAGCTCGAAGCTGGTTTCCCTTTTTGGCCCTGCATTGAATTGAATTAAATTCCCAACCGATCGGTACCAGATTTGAAGTTCTTTTTTTGTGCAAGGAATGTGTTTCAGGAAAGCATTGTTGAAGGGTGCTCGCATTGAAAACGGTTGGACCGGGCAGATAGTCGGCTTATCCTAAACGGGAAGCCCGAGGTAACCCCAGATTCCGAATCGGCCTAAAGTGACGGGGAAACCGGGCCGGGGTACGGAGTTCAATTCAGTTGTATCAGCTCTTATAGAGAAAGTTAAGAGAATTAAGCTATCGATTATTGGAGGGATAAAATTAACATTCAATTTGCACTCTGTAGTGCATCAAGATAGAATCTTTCATTAAAATATCCCATGAAACGGTTAAATGGTGACTTGATGGCCCGCAGCGTCGTGTGCCTGATAATGATGTCATGCCTACTACCGTCCCGGCGATCCCAACTTGGTTTTTTTACGGGGAGGGGTTCTCTGCTCTTTTCCCCTTTTCTGTGGATTTAGCCTCCGGGCTCGGGAGTACCTAACCATCCCGTTAATATCTTTATGTCCTTCCTTTAACTTCTCGGAGCCGACTACGTGCGGTTTGATGATTTCAGCCGGGGGTGGAGAGGGTTTCTCTTAGCAAATTGTTCAGTAGCCAGCAGTTTCCGAGCCCACCCAAGTCAGTCATTTGATGACTCGGGCGGGGAAAAGCATTCGTCAAGCCTCGGAGGCCAAGCCACGGCCCTCGCGCTGGTGCGCCAAAGCCGACAATGTGGTTCGTCGGGGCGGGTTGATCCCTGAAAATACCGCTGCTCGGTCCCCGACTTGGCACGGCAGGCCGAATATCGTTTGAATTTCTAGTATGAGCGTAGAATATGCACCACCATCGAATATGTGAACTGGCTTTGTGGCAGAGACTGAAGTTTTTCATATTCAATCCCAATTTCCTCATTCGGGACCTCCACAGGTCGCGGAGAAAAAATAAATTGGGGAGAAATCCGGGGAGGGTCCATCGGACCAAAACGCACCACTGCAGTCCACAATTCCAACCCACTTTTACCATCACGACACCCACGCGAGGCACGAGGGCTGCCTTGTATCGTTGATGCGGTCATACACTCAACGTCTTCTCTGAAAGCAGCCTTGTCTGACTGCAGTGTACGGTAACCGGTTGGTACGGCCCGCGAATTGTGCCGGGCAGATACCGAAGTCAAGCAGCGAAGACACTCACCCGACCGACCTCCCCCGGTGGAACCTGTGCCGAAAATGACCATCGACTGATACCGATGACTATTTCTCATTCGACGTCCTCCCCGGAGCGGAGTCCTACTCCCTCCTCTATGGAGGAGAAGGGACGAAGTGGAGCTTCCCAAGTCTTCCCCCAATCCGGCGGCAGTGTATCGCGCTCCAAATGCGACCCTGCTTGTCCCAGATCCTTTGGGCTAGATTTCAATTTCGATCCTGATGGTTTTCCGGACCTTGAATCATACCAGTAGTGGACCCTTCCCCCTCAGTGACGATGGGCGCCGCCTGTTGGCCGGGAGTTCATAAACCCCGTCTGCTTTCCCAGATCTTTTTGGCACTTTTTTCCTCCTCCCCATCCGCCGACTCTTCATATTTCCATTTCCGTCCACAAGCTTGGGCGCTCTTTTGGATTTATTCGGCTTTTTTGCTTGGTATAAGGGCACGACTGGCGCGTTGATTTATAAACCCGTTGCTTCTATCTCTTACCGTGTGGTTCAATCGAAATCCGTCACCATGAAACCATACTTCGGACTTCGGGGTACATCCCTGAATATCATGATCAGTATCATCGCTGGTCTTGATTTCCTGTATGTTCCATTTACTTTCTGGTTCACCCCAAGTATCCTACCATACTAATACTTGCCAGGCTCTTTGGTTATGACCAAGGTGTCATGGGAGGTCTCTTGACCTTGAATTCTTTCGTCACTACATTCCCCCAAATTGATACTACAAAGGCCGGAGAGATGGGTCTCTCTGCCGCAGAGAAGAGCACCCGTTCCACCGTTCAAGGTAGGTCGACTATTCACAGCCCAATTTTGCGTCTGCGCCATATACTGACCGAGCCAGGTATCACAACTGCTTCTTACAACCTTGGATGTTTCTGCGGTGCTATTTTTTGTATCTGGATTGGAAACTACCTTGGACGTCGCAAGACCATCTTTGTTGGTTCAATCATCATGGTCATCGGTGCTTCGTTGCAGGCTTGCGCGTACAGCCTTCCACACTTGATCGTTGGCCGTATTGTGACTGGTATTGGTAATGGCATGAACACTTCCACTGTCCGTAAGTGATATACCAAAGCACCACTCCTTATCAAACAGACATTGACAGTCTATTATAGCTACTTGGCAGTCCGAATGCAGCAAGTCTCACCACCGTGGCCAGTTGGTTATGCTGGAAGGCTCTCTGATTGCTGGTGGTATCACCATCAGTTACTGGATGGATCTCGGATTCTCTTTCCTCGACCCTAGCTCTGTCGCCTGGCGGTTCCCAATTGCCTTCCAGAACGTGTTCGCCCTGATCATCTTGTTCTGTGTGATGCCGTTGCCCGAGTCTCCCCGCTGGTTGGTTCTCAAGGGCCGCGAGGAGGAGGCAATTGTGGTTCTGGGTGCTATTTTAGATCTCCCAGAGGATGACCCTTACGTCCACTCTGAATTTGCCGCCATCAAGGATGCTGTCTTGGATTCTAATTCGGTCAGTTTCCGTGACCTATTGACTATGGACGAGGACCGCCACCTTCATCGTACCGTTCTCGCCTACGTCAACCAGATGTTCCAGCAAATTTCTGGTATTAATCTCATCACTTACTATGCCGCCACTATCTACGAGAAGTCAATCGGAATGAGTGGTTTGATGTCTCGCATTCTGGCTGCCTGCAATGGAACTGAATATTTCCTTGCCTCTTTGCTTCCGATCTTCATCATTGAGAAGGTTGGCCGACGGTCTTTGATGTTGGTCGGTGCCGCCGGAATGTCAATTTCTATGGCTGTCTTGGCCATCGCTACCAGCTTCGAAGGAAATGCCCAGGCGGGTATTGCGGCAGCTGTTTTCTTATTCGTTTTCAACACCTTCTTCGCCTGGGGTTGGTTGGGTATGACTTGGCTTTACCCTGCTGAAATTGTGCCTCTGCGCATTCGTGCCCCCGCCAATGCCCTGGCCACCTCAAGTAACTGGATCTTCAATTTCATGGTTGTGATGGTCACTCCTGTCGCTTTCGACTCCATTGGATACAAGACATACATCATCTTCGCCGTCATCAACGCTTTTATCTTCCCGGTCGTTTACTTCTTCTACCCCGAGACCGCGTATCGCTCCCTGGAGGAGATGGACACCATTTTCCACAAGACCAACAGCATCTTCAGCCTGGTATCTGTTGCTCGAAACGAGCCTCACCGCTACGGCAAGAACGGCGAGCTTCTTGTCAACTACCAGGATACCGAAGAGCACCTTCGTCGTGCCAGCTACGTCTCTGATAAGCCCAAGAAAGCTTCACTCACTCCTAGCGCGTTGGAGGGTGGCAAGGGGGCCCACGTTGAAAACCAGGCCGACAGAACATCTTCTGATAGCAGCTAAGCTTTTATTCCAAGCTTTAGCTACACCTCCTCACCCAACCTTCATGGAAAATGAAACGATCTATTCTATGTCATACGGGATATCAACATTTTTGATTTCTCGCGATGAAAGACTTACCAAAATATCTTGTCTGATTGCGTGTTTCTGCTGGCTCGGAATCCACTTGATCCCATCACGACAGTGGCGCTTCGTTCTTTGAACGGGCAGGGCCTGGAAATCGCCTTCCTGAAGCCCTTATGGCTGCTCCGTCTTGGTATACTGATGCAGTGGACTTGTATCTCTTTCCTTCTTTTTTTATGGCTTTTTGCTTCAAGTTGGCTTTTTCTTTATTTATACCCATGTTTGCATAACCATATTTTCTGCATGGATGATGTCCGGGCGGGTTGGAGACCAAGTCTCTTACGATACGCTCGACATCTTCTATACGACCCGTATGGAAGTTGGAAGATTACAGAATTGAAGTTCATGATCAACACAGGTGAAATTATTAGTAGAGCATTTGTAGGAACGGCCGTATTTCGTGAGACATGCTACGGCCAGCTGCCGTACTTATACATTGCACCCATTGACTCAGAAGTGGATCCCATGCACCTGCTGCTTCATCTTTCTCACATCAATATTCTTCCAGAAGAAGCACGACGTCCACGTAATGAGATAGAGACAAGTAGCCGTGATCAACATCAAGCGTTGTGTTTCGCCATACGCTTGGTCAATGGCAGTTCTAGTAGACGTGCCCCGATCGTACGATTGCTGAACTGCCAAGGAGCCATAAATCGAAGTGAATTCGGACTGGGCGGAAGCTGGAAGCAGCTCCTTCAATTTGACCGGGAATATCCCGGTCCACATCGCCACGGCGACAGTTCCTCCGATCGAACTGCCAATGCCAGACACGACACCCTCCATGGCCAGTACAGCGGGAATGTTGCGCTGTAATGAGACAGCCATGACAGTCATCTGCTCACAAATGACCAGGGTACCTCCGCCAAAAGCAACGAAGATCTGGCACATCACAATGTATGCGATGTGCGAATTGGGCTGGCGGAATTTGATCATGAGTCCGACTCCCAGAATAGTTAGCGGGACGCCAAAGCAAATTGCCCACAACTTGATGCGACCGTTGTAGCGGAGAATGGCACCAAAGACAAGACACCAGAAGCAAGACCCAATAGTATAAATGTTGGAGATGTATGTCGAGTCCCGGACGTTTTGGTCAAAAAGAACTTGCAAGAGTGACAAGAAATAGCTATCCCAAATGTACCAGGCCAGGTATAAGGAGTTGACCATGGCGAAGGTGAAGAAAACAGTACGATTCTTGATGAGCTCCCAGGGCATAAACTTCACTGGGGCAAAGTATCTTTCCCAGATAGTGAAAGAGACGATCAAGAGGAAACCAAAGATTATAAAGCATATTATCATCGGCGATTTCCACTCTTCTGCCTGGTAGGAATAAAGATTGAAGGCCAGTAGGAAGAGAGAGAAACCCGTGGAGACGATGAGCAATCCAATGACATCAAACTCGATCAGATAGTGAACAACTGACTGCCACGGGGTGCGACTGATGTCTTCTTTCTCCACCAGGTTCATACGTTCGGCTTTTCTTTCGACATGGGACCACAGCGCCCAGAGAGGGGCACTGACGACAGGCATAATGATGGCAAACACGCCAAAGCCCCATCTGTATCCAATACCTCCAGGTGCGAGGATCTGGTCTGAGGCATAGCCATAAATCCAGGGCGTGATCAGATATGGAGAGGCAGAGTATGCAATCCAGAACGCGCGATTGCGTAGAGCTGTTGTATCGGCGACAAAAATGGTCATGGAAAAGTCTATGCAGCTGAACCCGATCTGGTAGAATACCTGGGCGGCACAATAGGTTTGGACATTCTTGCAAGCGGCCATCATAACAAGACCGAGAGTCAAAGATCCAACGCTAAGGCCAAAAGCCTGGGGTCGTCCCCAGATATCCATGAGCTTTGCATAGGGAAACTTGATCAGAGCGGATATCAAGGATGCAATGACGGAGGTCAGGCCCGTAAGTGAATGTAGCTGAAAATCACTATAGATGTAGGGCGATAAAACACCCAGCATTCCGGAGCTGAAGTACTGCAAGAAGTTGACGACCCACATACTTCCACTTGTTAGCTATCCATTGCTAGTTGGAGGATAGGTTATCATGCTACTCACAGAATATACGCAGCAATCAACGTGTTCCTTGTCCAGGCTAGAGTACTGGCCTGTGCCTTCTGCGTACCAGATTGCGCATTCTCGTCGATGAGCTCTTCATCCGATGATACTCTATCGGCCTCTTTTGATTTGTCCAAGGAGTTTCTGAGGTCGATTGATGTCTCGGCACCAGGAAGATCGACAGCAGGCTGATTCCTGGCGGAACCATTACCTGCGAAGGGGTTGATGAAACGCTTTCTGATGGCCATGGTGTGAAAGGGTCGTCGTTTATCATACACCCTCAGCTTCAAATTCAATGCAGAACAAAGTGGAAAATAAAAGCTTGGTGTGAAAAAAGTGGCAAGGATCGACCAAGATAAATACTGGCTAGCCGGTCGGGTCTCGGTACGCATCGCTCTCGCTATATTACTATCTGAGCGGCAAAATCCGCAAATTTCCTCGTAGTTCGCCTAGAAAATCGCCCCAAAGGCATTTTAGAGCATGGGCCCAGAATCAAAACTGGTTAACTAAGTTGTTGACCATACCATTTTCGGGTGTCGATGCCGACGATCACCGGATGATAATGTTTTGTGGAAAACAAGCCGGGTCCTAATTAGTCTTGGGTTGACGAGGAAGCCATTCAAAGACCCTGTCTGAATTCACCGGCCCCACTGTACTCTCATGAAGATTTTAGATGGTAGTGTAATTACGCACACAATAGGAGGAATCGGGATCCACTTGGTCCTTGGTGGTCCGAGTTATCTGATTGATTTGATTTTATCTCATCGTGCCGCTCGCTACCCTTTTCGGCGATAGTGCTTACATCTTGCGGCCAGAACCCGGGCCAAGTCGTGTTTCTCTGCGGACTTTCCGAAAGGTTGTCGCGGCAATAGCTGTTCATCTGAAAAATTCAACCTGCCATATGACCAAATTTTAATCACCAATAAGCTGGGTGGCATACCGTAGCATTCCGATGAGAATGCGTAAGATCAAGTCTCAAATATCGAGGACAGAGATCAGTACTATAGTACTAGTATATGGTTTATGTGAAAATTTGCCCTAGCTGCCACATTCGAGTTCCGGGTCGTCTTCCAAGGGTCCAAGGATCCAGATAAAAGTCGGTAGTACTACTACTTCAAGCTGTAGTACTTGCACCTGGGTCATGGCTATTACTATACTTCGAGTTAAATGTCCAGTACGATTTCCAGGTCCCCCCTGACGTAAAGAAGGAACACATCGAATACATCCAAGCAAAATACGCGCTAGGTGACTCCCAACTTGAGAAGTCAGTTTTCAAAGTCGTCGCTGGCATCCTTCTAGTAAAAGACCCGCCAGGGAAAGGTAAAACACGGCCAACATTGGTCATGCTCCGTATCCTCGCAAGCCTGGATATCAAAGTCTTGGTCTGTGCCGGGTCCAACCAAGCTGTTGACACTCTTTTGCTCGCCTTCCACAAGGCTTTGAAAGGAGATAAGAAGCTCAAGAATTGGTGCGGAGACTACTACCGCTTCAGAACTGCCGGATATCAGATGACCTCTCTGCGCCGTATTAGCAAGGTGCAATCAAAGCAGGACCACAACAAGGTCAAACCTTCGGCTAATGAAGCCTTGACAGATTGTCAGATTGAAGCACTGGCTGTACAAAGTGCATGAGTCACTATGGCAAAATGCCTAAAGCGAAGCGGCTTATTGAACTACTTTATTTAAATCGACAAGGCGGCCTGATAGAAGACCAGACGACCGAACTGAAGCGCTGCTATGAGAATATCCTGATCAGAGTGGTCGCTCAGAGCAGGGTAATCACTGTCACGCCTAACACTTCCGGCGACGAGAACCTCAATGCTTACTTCAATCCATACGCGTTACTATGTGATGAGACTGATCAGTGCCTTGAAGGCGAGCACCTCTGCTTTACAAACTTCATTCTTCTAAAATTCTTCCTTCTTCAATATCTCTCCAGGGCTTGAAAGGTTTGAAGACCGACCTCTGGATACCTTCCGCCATCCACCTTCCAAAGAAGTACGACAGTATAGTACTATACACCGGGAATTATTGTTAAAATCCAAGTTCAATTTGGATATAGTAGCACCCGGCAGTTAATCTCCGTTACTATGAAGTCACGACCGATCGATTTGAATTTAAGCAACACTAAGTTGAAATTGACCACACCACCAATGAGAGCATACCCTAAAGTCTGGATAGAAAATGTCCGCATTATTCATCAACTGTAATTTAGAGTTTATCTTTATCGAACATGTCTTGCAGATTTGAGATCTTTAGTAATCTATCAAGCATGGGGCTAGACCCTTTGGGTGTTTGTGTGGAGCTCCAACTCTAGCAGTCTGCGAGCTTAATTCAGAAGAAAATCCGGGGCACCTATATTTGGCTCGAAAAACAATATGAGGCTTTACCTATATCCTATAGAAAGCAAGGTGTTTAGTCCCAGTGAGATATTTTAGATATAGATCAATACTCATCAGAAGACTAAAGTCTTGAAGTTTAAGATTATAGGTTCTTTATTGAGATGGTGTTTAAATTGATGTTCGATTTTATCTCTGGCCATTCATCAAGATTACTGAAATTCGAAGAATGACAAATGGATATAGAAGCTTCCCCTTATCGACATATTATATTCACATGATTTCTCCAAGGCTCGGCAGGATATCTCCTTCAACAAGTTGGTCTCCTTCACAGTCCAAAGGCCAAGCCACCAACGATACATGCAGCGATAGCGCCAATAAATGGTACAAAGCCGCCTACAGATCGCGAAACAGCTGCACCAGAAGAGCCTCCGTTTCCTGAAGACCCGGTGTCATCACCACCGGAATGTAGCAAGGTAGTAGCAGCAGCGGTGGCAGTGGCTGCGCCGGTCGTATCACTGGAGTCTGTCGAAAGTGGAACAGAGTCGGTGGAGCTCTTCAGTGAGGTAGCAGAATATGGCGGGGTGAGACTAGCGGTGATGTAGTACTCGAAAGACTCGCTTGCTTCTGCGCTGGCGGTTGCATATGCAGACCAAATGGTTGTAGTCGTGGTCTCGGTAGAAGTGACGGTCCTCACTGTGTACGGGGCAATAGAGGTCCAATAGTAGTACCAATAGGTCCTATGGGAGATATTAGAAACTGCCAGCCTCACTTGTAGGGAGGAGACCGGTTGGCTTACCAATAGTAGGTAGTATAATAATATGAATGGTATTGGTAAGTTGCCGTTGTAGTGGTTAGTGTCTTTGTATCCGTCTCCGTTGCAGAAGAGCCACTTGAAGCGTCCCCTGAATTATCACTTCCTATACATCCCGACTTCGGGCAGCACACCCCTTTGCCAAATTGAATCATACACTTGTAGCCAGCAAGACAGTATCTCCCATCACTGCAGCATTCACCACTCTTAGGAGAGCAGTTAGATGTGCCACAACAGTTATACCCGCTGGGACACGTTCCTCCGACGGTACAGCAAACCTCGTCGGAGTCGGCACAGTATCCAGTTCCGCAACATCGACCAGTTGTTGGACAGCAACGTGATGAGTCGTAAGCACATTCGGTGTATCCCGGGTTGCATTCCCAGGCACGTTTGTCGAGGCCAAAAAGATCGCGGGTTGAAAGCATACCCATACTGGCCTCACGGCGACTTGCGTTATAAGAGAGTCGCTCTTCATTCTTGAGAGCTTCGCCAGTCACAATCCCAGTCAGAAGAAGCACAAGCCCCACCTGCTTCGCGATGAGATTTATCATTGTGGAATCAGGCTTCAGTTTTCAGGATCACTTTTGTGGAAGGAATTATCCTTTTTCTTTGAGTGGACCGGAGGCGCATCCCGCTGGAGACCTGCTGAGGTTTAAATAGGTTGAAGGGGCCCTGCGGCTCTGAGAAGTGCGGAGGGGGCCATTATTCGGGCGAATCGAGTTGGCACGGTGCGCCTCGTATCGACGGGAAAATAGAATAGCGGATGAGAGAAAGTGTCTGTGGCTGTAAAGTTTAGCTGGGCTTGTTGGCGAAATACGAGGCATGATGCTTGGCATCACTCGAGCCGCTGGTGCCCTGGCGACGGGGCTGGGGCTGCTGCATCCCTTGGTTGGTCCCTGAGTTACCTCTTGGTATACTTTGTGGCTGCCAAGGTACTAGACTTCTGGTTTGTGCCCAGCATAGCAACCTTGGCAATTCGGAGACTGGTGCATTATTAGGAATATCGTGGAGCTAGCGAGTCTCGTGATATTGTTTGAGGGTTTACTAGAGAACTAGCGTGAGTTGAATACGAGGTACTAGTAGTAACCATCGAGGGGCATAACAGCGCCCAGATTGGGGGTGTGATTTTATACTGTTTAGCAGGTAGAGCTATACTAAACCAAAAATAGATTAAATTCAACTCTGTAGAAAAGGCCTCGGAGAAAACCCTCATCGCGAAGACTAAATCGCCACATCTCCACAAGGCGCAATTAAAGATTCAAGTGTCTTCACAGTAGTCCGTACAATTCATCGTAATTAGTAGAATCTCCACTCACCGCTAATTCTGCAGAGGGAGAATCATGAAAGTCCATTCTTAGTGAAGTAGGAAAATGCCATGCTGATCCTCCCAGTACGATCGTAGGTCGATTTCATTCCCCGCAAATCGAGCATGAGCTCCTATGGTTCAGAGCTTGTCAGGGACCCCACCTCGACACCCGCATTCCATGGGATCCGACCTGGTTATTGATACAGGGCATTTCAACGAGAATAGAATCTGGCAATTTTCGTGGCTGCATGAGGTATGAGTGGCCTAGACCGGAAGCGAAACGCCAGGGCCCGGGACGCACGTCAGAGCGTTTGGCCCATTGCAGAGGCTTTGTCAGTCCACACACCTATATCTAGGTCCTTCTAGCTCAGATAGTTTCTCATCCATACACATATTCTTTTGTGATCATATCTCTCGCCATACTATGGAGTACTCTGTACGCATGATCGCGCTCATATTTGGAGTGTCTTTATCAATGCTATGAGGTTTCTGGAGAAAATACGTTACATAAGCCGACAGGGGGATCAATTAAGTCACGTGATACACCGAAACCGGCGATGCGATAGATCGATGTAAAAGGATTGTCAATACCGATGGGATGAACCTTTCCCGGTGTGGTTCTTATTTTGAATGATAACACTAGATGTGGATCTGGATGCTAGGAAAAGGGATTCAACCACTCTTCTACCCTGTATTTTTGTTGAGAAAAAAAAAAATGAATGTCAACAAACGGAATGCTTAAACAGAGCACCTGGGCATTGGGAACGACAAAAAAGGAAAAGGGAAAGAAAAGAAAAGAAATTGAAGAAAGCAACCAACTTGAAGCCATTGTGGCTCAAGCGAATTGGCTGGGGTACAGAGTAAAAGATCTAGAACCTCTCGAAGGTGACCTGATCCAAAGTCCCGCCTTTCCGGGGAGTGACACAAGTTCAGACCGAAGCTCAGCGGGTGAAAATTTAAGGTTATCCTCGGTGAGCAGGTGGGAGAGAGTCACCGGTTGGGAAGGCTTCTCCGTGAATTGTCGCCCGCCGAGAGTCGGAAGGGTTTTTTTCCCACGGGCTGCGACGTGACTCAATCGCTCAGCGGCTAGTCTTGTTGGTTTTATAATTTGTCTGTTTTCTTCTCGTTTTTGTATCTTTCTCACACCAACGGGAAGGGTCAAAGCAGGTCAGGTGTGCAAACCCCCCCCTCCTTTTATCAGATCTGCAAACGGGTCTCCGCCTTTGCCCTCTGTTTTTTTTTCTCCGGCCAGCTTTTGCGTTGAAGCGGAATCGTCCGGGCGCACACCACCGGCGCTATCACCTCAAGGTAAGTATATGCGATACTTCTTTTTCACTTTTCCCTTTTATTTTAGCGTCGCCGGGAATATCTTTAGACCTCGGCAAAGTTCCCGACTTATACATGCCATCGGAAAGCCCACCCGCTAATTCGTCCCACAGCCGCGCATCATTCTTATTCCCTGCTTCGGTCCTCGACTATTCTTTTTCATGGGAAGACCGCTTGGATTTGGTCTCTGCATCTAAAATGGCGTCTACACCCGCCCCCGAGTACGCCGATAATGGCAGTGACATCGGCGACAAGGAGCCTATCTCTGAGAACATCCATGAGCAAACGCAAGTCTCCGGAGCAGTGGAGGACGATCTCGATCCAGACCACTTCCATGTAGCCAATATTGAGCGGATCTACAGGTGAATCACAATCTCAGCAAGGGGAAGTACTCTCGAACCTACTTTTCTAACACCAGGTTACAGAAAATTGGATCGTCGAATCATTTCTGCATTTTGGGTTCTCTACTTCTTCTGTTCGGCCATCCGCTCCAATGTTGGTCTAGCACAGACCATGAATGAGACTTCGGGCCACGATCTTGGAACTGTCTTGAAAATTACCCCCCACGAGATTTCAACGGCCCTTGCGCTATTCTATGTGGGCTATGTCATATTTGATGTACCATCCAACCTGGTCATGACCCGCTTGAGCCCCCACGTCTGGATGAGCCGTATTGTGCTCAGTGTTGGTATAATTGGCACCTGTATGACTGCTATGAAAGCCGAGTGGAGTTTCTAGTAGGTGAAAACTTTCGTTGAATCTGTGATCCTATGCTAATCGACTAAACTTAGCCTGCTGCGTCTCCTTCTCGGTATCGTTGAAGCGGGTCTCTGGCCTGGAATGACCTACTATCTCACCCTCTTTTATCCACCCTCACGTATTGGAAAGCGCATCGGCTATTATTTCACTGCTTCGCAAGTATCCGCTGCTGTTGTCGGTCTAGTCTCTGCGGGCTTCCAGAAAATGGATGGCGTCAAGGGCTATGTTGGCTTCCAGTGGATGTTTCTCATCTGGGGTGTTGTTACTATTGCCCTCGGATTCGTCCAGCTTTGGTGGTTGCCAGACCGTCCCACTCCCCCCGGAGAGCCAATTCCTAAGCGCCACAAGCTACTAAGCTGGCTGCCGGATACTGCTCCAGCATTGAGTGGCGAGGATGCTGTCGTTCACTATCACGACATGAAACGTGTGTACCACAACACCCAATGGACATGGACGGATCTCCTGCACGTCTTTATGGATTGGAGACTCTGGCCACTACTGGTCATGTACTTCGGTGTTGTCGGCGTGGGCATTGGTACCCAGCTCTACGCAAACCTGATTATCCAAGCAATCAATCCGAACCTTAGCGGTGTTGTTATCAGTCTGTTAACGGCCCCGATCTGGATTGTATGTACCCACTACCCCGATATCACTCCGACTATGGTTTAGCTAATTGGTCTATAGATGGATTTGATCGCCATTCTTATCGTCACGCCTTTTTCCGACCGCTTCCATCGTCACCGTGCCGTTTTCTTTGCTATCCCAGTTTTGATTCAAATATTGGGCCTGCTTCTCACCAGTTATGCTGGCAGTGATGAGAACCCCTGGCCTCGTTATGGTGGTCTTCTTATCATCGGTTTCGGCCTCGGCCCCACTGTGCCTATCACTATGACATGGACTGCCGAGATCTTCCAGCCGAGACACGGCGAAGTCGGTGTGGCTGCTGCATCTGCCGTAGTCTCTGGATGGGGTAACTGTGGTAGCATTATGACCACCTATGCACTCTACTCCGGTTGGGCAAGCGACTACGCGGCCCCTGGGCGTCAAAAGTACCGAAAGAGTAACCTAGTGATGGTGGGAATCTTGATTGCCAGTATCCTTGCTGCGATTCTGATGCAGATCTTGGTTCGGGTCATTGATGACCCCAAACGCCAGGCGGAAGATGCGGACGGTGTAGCCGACGGGGCGGCGGCTCGCGAGTTGGAACAGCGTGGTCTCAAGGGCCTAGGATCTGGTGTCAGCCGGTGGGTGCGACGGGCAAAGAATGCTCGCAATTAATAGGAATGTTTATAGAGTAGAAGACGGGATTCGTGGTTGCTCAAATAATCATAATGGACTGGAAGATTTATGCCAAACTAGATCAAAGCATACAGATGTCATCACTCTGTCTCTTTCCGATACACACCCAAAATTATAGCGTATAACGAAAAAAGGGGCTTTTATCTCCCAGGGACTTGGTATCTTCATCCAATATCGCCAGTCTTTCCTCCGGCATGCTTTCGATCAGACGGCCTCGCTTCTTGTTTGTCGCAATAAGGAGCCACAATTTGAACGTGGCGACGAAAATGCCAGCCCCAAAAACAGCCACCATTATGTAGTATGCCGTGTGAAAGTTTGGAGACTCTCGGGCCAAAAAGATGTTAGATCCAACAACACCTCCAATTAGATTGCCGCCAGTGAATGTAAGAGCCATTCCGACTGCCCTCTTCCATTGTCCCGATAGGTTATTTGACATCCAGCAAACAACACTGGGAGTCGTGGGGAATAGTGATGTTGCAATGAAGAACATAGCAAGATAGATAACTCCTGGCTTTTCTTCCGGGTCAACAGTTATGCATATAATGAACCCAATGATTCCAATCAGGTAGGGAATCACAACAGCATGATATCGACGGCCCAGACGGTCAGAAACCCATGCATTGAGCACACACATTATACTTGCAAATGCGTATACTGGAATAGTCATAAGTTGTGCCTGGGCTGCAGTGTAGCCAAGGATCTTGATCGTTGTGGGAAGACTGAATGACAACGCATATGTTCCCAAGGAAACAATCGTGAATAATATCTAGAATATCTTGCGTTAGCTGAATATCGATATTGCTTTGCCAGTCTTGGAATTTCCCTACGCAGCCGAGATAAACTTTCGTGTCCAGAAAAGCTTGTTTCAAATGATATTTCTGGAATGCAGATTCTTTGTATCCACTATCGTGGCCGTCAAATTGCAATCTTAAACTGATGAATCGCTTTTCTTCTATAGTCAGCCAGGCAGACGATCCCGGGTCATCGCATATGAAGGGATGTGAGACTAAAGCGACGATTATTGTAAGAACACCCTCCAGGATGAAGATCCAGCGCCAGCCGCTATAGCCTCTAATCCCTGATAAAAAAGGACTTATCAGTGAGGATCATATATACGAATTCATCGAAAGTAATCTTACCATCCATGAACCCTATGCCATACGCCAGAAGACCAGAGAAAGAACCTGCGAGACTGGCCGCGCAATAGAACAAAGCAATACGAAATTGTAGTTCATAGCGACAATACCATGTGGAGCAAAGATAAGTCACTCCCGGAAATAGGCCAGCCTCGGTCACTCCTAAAAAAAATCGAGTCGCTAATAGTCCAGAGTAATCTTGTACCCAACCCATGCACATCATCCTGGGTGAGGTAAGTCATGAGAAAACAGTATGATACCAGAAGGTAACTAGCTTTGACTTACACTACGCCCCATGAAAGCATGATAATAGGAATCCATATCGAGGGCTTTGTAAACTTTAATGCAAGGTTACTAGGAACCTCGAAGGCGCCGTAAGGAAAGAAAAAGATCGTCAATGCCCTGTTTTCAGAACATGAATCAATTCAAAGCAGATTCGCGCAGAGAATGGCTCGAAATACCAATTGTACTCGCCGGGAGTTAAGTTCAAATCTTCCTCGAGGCCCTGTAGCTTCGCATTTCCAATATTGGCTCGATCCATGAATGATATGAGATAGAATAGAGACAGGATCGGCAATAAACGCCAATCAATCTTTCGCAGGAGCTTGTTTCGCCGTTCTTTGTCAAATTTGCTCAAAAGATAGTCATACTCCTCGCGGTCATCGAGGAAGACACCAGATTGGGCCTCCTCCGTGTGATCTGGGAGTTCCTTTTCGAGATCCATGGTTTTTGGTAGAGAAACTAGATTCAAGAAGAAATGGCGATTGCTTACTTTCCCCGCAATTGGGGATCGGCATTATATACTACTACTTCCCCACATCCTAGCACAGAGATAAGACGCGCGGGGTACCTAGGTATGGCAGCGCTTTTCTCTTCTCTTGGAGTCGGCTATGAGGTAACCGGACCAATAAGCTCCGACAATAGCTTGGAAGCTGGCTCACTCGGAGAATGATGAAAACCTCCCTCCGTCAACAGGGAAATTAAGTCCAGTCCCAGAAATGATCTCATCACTCGCCAAGTAAACAGCAGCTTATAAAAGTATTCCTAGCAATGTCATTTTCTACGAGGAACATAAGTAGAGATTAACCAGTAAACATACTAGCTATCTGAAGAAGGTTAATATCACTCTACCATCAGTATGCTCCAGAAAGTTATACAGAAACCTGGCCCCTCGTCAGGTACCCGTATACTTATTGACTTAGTTACGTCCGGGTCACAATTGGCTATCCATCTATGCTAATTTCTTCTGTTTACGCAAGGATAGTTACTAGTAATAGTACATATACGGTGCATTAGGAAGAGTGACCTATATCCTGGTAGACTAGTACCCAATAATACAAAGGATCTAGACGAAGGGTCAGAGTGGGTAAATAAAGTCGTCATCATCATGCATGGATCATATTATAGACATCCAAGCTCTTTGGAAGTATTATATCGCAACTTGAATACCTAGGTAGTCATGGTATGAATTGGTCAGAAGCGTTGAGTGCAAATATGCAATATCACGCTCTGTAGAGACTCGATCAAATTTCGAAGGCCTCGTCAGGTTCAACCAATCGAGCATGATCGTAGTCAGCCTCCATGCCCGTAGCCTCCATTTCCAGATACCCAGGAGCGTATATTCCAATATCCTTCTCCCACCCATCTCTCGCGCCATCAAACCCGAATGGAAACTCATCACGCACATTTGTCTCTTCCAAGATGTCAATAACAGGGAGATTCATTTCCAAACTACAAGAAGTTAGCAAATCGCATAGTTAAACATCAGTTAGATCACATACTCGATGTTCAACATTGGCATCTGTCCGGGAGATCCAATTTTCCTACAATCGGTCAATGGTGAGGATATTCTAATGTTGTAGAAGTTATTCCTACCTCTACAAAAGTAACCACCCTTTGGCCTGCTCCTCGATTTCGTCGGGTGTGATATCGTTGTTGGGGTCCGCTTTGACCTCGGTAGGAATACCGCCCGGCCAATGAAAAGGCCGGGAAGGAAGAGCGACCATTATGTGAGGCTCTTGGATAATCTGTGGGTGTTTGAATTGCGGGGGGCAAGAAGTTGGTTAAACAAGGCCAATTTAAAATTTGACCGGAAGCTCGAAAAACACTAACTCTTGAAGAAATGAACTGAGCGGGGCCGCCCCTTGGGCGGGCACGATCGAATTGAATCGAACTGCTGCCCGCGAGAGCGAATTACTAATTTTTACACAGGTCTGATTCGTTATTTCGGGGGATTCGATATATGTGCTGAGTAGTATAGTACTATGTATATATGTACTTTGCTGCAGGTCCTATGCTTGTAAGCCCTGGAGGTATTATCTCTGGATTTTTAGATTTTTAGGTAAGAGGACAGCCTACCACATGATAGATGGGGCTTAGCAGTCATTTAATGAGCAATTTTAGTTCCATAACAATTATAATTACTTCAAGTTCCAATAAGAAATGAGCGAATAAATGAAAAGAATCATCGAATCCTGGAGATAGAGGGTATTCGCTATGAGTATGGTAAAATCAATTTTAACACATGATTCATGAGGGAATTTGCCTAGATGGGGTACGTCCATAGCATTGTCTGGTCTGTATTGCTGCATATGTCAAATTCGGGCGCAAAATAAGGGGGCCATTCAAATATCCACCTGACAAGATTGATGCGGCGAAAGAGAGGAACATTGACTGTGGCTGAGCCGTACTCAATAGGGCGTCATGGCTGTGTCTATAAATCTAGAGGTATCTGCCTAGCAACCAGGGATGGTATTTGCAAGTTCTAGATTGAGCTAGCACTCAGCAATATGACTATTAGAGATATTTTCCGCAGGTCTCCACTGGGCAGCTATGGTCAAGGCATCCGTGACGCGCCGCGAGAGGTCATTTTCAACCGCCAATTGCTGTTCTCGACTTTCATTTACGCTATCGGAGGATTTCCCGTCAGTAAGTACATTGCAATTCACTGATTTTGCGGTCGCATGACCATACCGGCTGATTGCTTTTGTTGCGTGTCTAGTCTGGGATCAAGGTGCATCGTCGGTCATACCGTCCCTTCCTGGCTTCCAAACCCATTTCAACATCAGTTCTGGATCCAACGCGAGCACCATAAGCATTTTTATTTCCATATTTTACGTGGGCTTCGGAGTTGGTGCTGCGTTGACCTTCTTCGTAAATGACTTGATTGGGAGAATCTGGTCATTCCGCTTATACTCCCTGATTTATTGCATTGGCTCCATCATGGCTATCTTTTCTCCAAATGCCAATGTCCTCTATGGTACTCGTTTTATTCAAGGCTTTGGACTCGGACCCATGACTGTTAGTGGCCCAATATCCATCGTGAAAATTGCTCCCACCGAGATCCGTGGCCTTCTTGCGTCATGGTCTGTCCTCCTCGTGAGCATTGGACTTTTCGCATCTGAGTTGTGTGCTTTAGGCGTTCATCTTCATGTTCCTGTTGGGAATTAAGGCCAACTATAATTACGCTATACTACAGCTTTATCGTATTCTCATCACGAACAGCACTGATTCAGCACCTGACGAAATCATTATGAAATGTCTGAATGCTGCCAAGACTATTTGTCAAAGCTTCCGTCGCCAACATTTCGGCAAACCAAAAACCTATACGTGGGGTGCATTGAATGAGCTATTCCTCGTGGGCTTGACATACTTGTATTGTATGTGGGTGTCACCTACGGCTCGGGAATTGACTCGAAATGATGAAGTCAGCAGTGCCTGCACCGACTGTACAATGGTCCTTTCGCTGCCATGAATGCTGTTTGTATGACCCCCATATCATAAACAGCACTTGAATAATACTCATAATCGACTAGATATCTCTACTGTCCCCGACCCAAAGCCAGCTAGAGTCTGTGTCTCTGTGTCAGAGCTGGGAAAGGGTGCTAAAGTAAGTTGAATCTACTAGTACATTGAATATGGAAAGTACCTGAGATACCAGTGTATGTGTTAAATAAGTTGTTTCAAGGTTGAGATTGACTGTGTTGCGATTTCTGGGGGCTCTCTGTAAGCTTCGGGGTTTCGAATAAAGTATGCTCAGATTTGTCTGTGTGCTGCTAACATGTATACTTTCAATCAAGTAAAGCCTCGCTATAGACCTGCAAAAGAGAGCCAAGCTGTATAGCCTGATGTTCAAGTACTATACAATGGCTTGCGTTTCTTCTATTCCTTCCTAGAATTTGCGGGGCTCGGCTCGGGTCATTTTGAACACTACCAGTAGCAGTATATCAAAACAAAGAGTATCAGCTCGTCATAAATCACTTCATCGCCTGTCGCTTCTTGATACTAGCGCACGACAGTGATATCTATAATAGTCTGTCTGATTGCTCTAGCTTCGGTCTACAGGACTAGCATATAACGTGATTTCCATATAGCATCAATCTGGACATTCTCCTACGGAATTATTCCTTCAAAGGATTCTTGTTCCAAGAATCCATACAGAAGGTCACCTGAAAAGGACTCGTCCCATTCGCTGCTGAAGAAATATGGGTCCATAAATGAGCCTGTTTCACGAGCTATGGCACTTGAGTCGGTACCACAGCCATGACCTTCTTCGGTATTGGCCAACTCCTCTTGCACTGCGGCTCCAGCAGTATCAGTGAAAGAGTTCAAACTGACCCCTCTCGCACTCATCAATTTCCTTATGATGGAGACAGTCTTCGCGACAGCCGGATTGGGAACTGCCAGCTCTTCAAGCCAGCGGACACTTCGTTCTAGCGTAGAAGAAGTCTCGTTGACTACTTCACTGCCAGTGGTATTCACGCCCATATTTCGAACATGTATCGTACACGCCACATAAAGGCCATAGCTGATTAGATATGGAGCTCCCCTCAAGGTGTATAGCTGTCGATACAAAGCGACTATCTGCGTGATTTTTTCCGCCGCTTCGGAACAGCGCTTCCATGACACAGCCGGCGGTGATGCCGAGCGCAGATGTCCATCAGCCACTAATGGGCGATGTAGGAGTATTCTCAATGCGTGGTAGATGACATGTAAACAAAGGACATTTGGGGCATGGCTTACTGCTGGTCCGCAGTGACTCGTGGCATCTATGCGTAGTCCCTCAGGTAGATTCTGTTCCCACTGCTGTAAAAGATTGTCTATACTGCGCAGACTTGATTGAGCACTTTCCACTGTTGCACCAACAACATAGAACTCGTCGATTATCCGCGTCATGATTTTTGAGAGGAGACATAATCTCTGAAAGCATGAGACTGAGTAGATTGGATACTTCGGCGGGGGGTATCTTGTCGTGCATCATCTGATTTGCCAAATCTTCATATGGAGTCCACAATTCATTTTCTTCCATTATATCCTTCAACTCAAGCGAGACATGGGCATCACGCAATTTGATAGCGAAGGGCCTACCCAAGTATAAACTCTGAAGCTTGTCACAGATGAAAGCGCCCCAGAAGATCCTTTTCCGGATTTCTTCTTCGATGGCGTTATCATCGTTAGATGTCTTGCGGTCTATATGGAGGCCGAGATCGTATATCATGCGCAAGGCGTACCCCGTGAGAAGCCAGCCTTTCGTGGTCACACCACGTGCCACATAAGTTGATCCGAGAAGTAGAAGTCCGACGATAGTGGCTAGACTTGGGTGAAGAAGGAGATTTTCTTTGCTCATTATCTCATCGCAGCGGCGAAAGAACTTGGCCCCCGCTTCTTGTGCATTGCCAAAGGTGTCTCGCAGCTCAGGTCTGGTGGAGAATTTACTAGCACAGGCGAAAATACTATTCAGTAAAAATGAGGACCCAAACTCGCCACCCTCCAATAGGCCACGTATTATCGCGGGCCGATAGGTTAGCAAAAATGTGTGGTGTTGTCGATTCCAGTGAAGCTCGAGAAGATGAGTTGCCAGATCGATGGGTACGTCAGCAAGTTCATCGAAAGTGGCTAATCGGTATTCCAGCTGACGAGATAGGGCTGCATTGGCAACTAATGCATTTTTGGCATTGGCAGTTCCTGTTTTTTGAACAGTCTCTGGGGCATGCGACATCATTTGCCAGGCTGATGAAGGCCCAAAGCTATTGAAGTTGCCGGACTCGTCCACTGAGATATAGGATGATGCGTCAAAGGTCGTTTGGTGAGAGACAAGCTTAACAAACTCTGACTCTTCCGTCTGGGCGTTTATTTCTTCTCCATTTAGAGTAACAGTCTCTGTATTGCTTGATGCAAGTGACGTTGTGGCGCCCTGCTGCTGTGTATCCGGGACTTCATCTTCGCCCGAATAAAGAGTCAGCCACAGCTCTTCTGGCGTAATGGCATTCTTTAATCGTTGTATCAAGGATGTAAGTCGTTTGTTTTCTGAGCGAAGGGCATTGACTACCGCTTTTGTTGGTCTGTAGCGAGATATCAGCAAATTCTTCATGAAAAATTTGCGTCCGCAAAAAGCCCAACAACTCTCTGTCAGTCGTGGCTAATCAGGCTTACCGTGGTTTTGGTGGGGATATTCGATAAACACACTCCTTCTGATGATCAAAACACGTCTTACAAGATGGTCGCTGGCCATCACATCGAACCTTTCTGGAGCGACAGAACTCGCAGCTTCGGGTAAGCGTTTTCAGCGTTCCCGCCTGAGCCGGCATAAGGAGGCGTAATTTGCGATCAACTCAGGAGACTATGCAAAGGAATATTCGACGATATACAGTAATGTTAATTATCTTTGCTGCACATCACGCAATCAGGTGTACTTTGATGGCCGACCTCGGGAGGAGTATGGGGGGGCGCTACCCGTCTGGCATGGAGGCGGAGAGATTGAACCCCGGGGTTTGTTGTACATGTGGGGTTCAGGCTCGGCATCATCTTGGATTAACCGAGAAAGCATCGCGGGCCATGATTATCGGAGGCGTGTGGAGTAGATCCGGTTGGGGCGTCGGGTATGCTGAAAGGGTTATAGCGTCAAGTTGAATGCAATCCTAAAAAACAACCTCAATATAGTGATCGGCTACTGTCAGCTCATGCCCAGGTGCAGCGCCACGTTCACCTCCGTATTCTTCCTCTATCGCGATCATCATGATGGTCATCTTGTTAGGCTTCCAAGGTTGACATGCCTCAATTTCTTTTGCTGGCTTTCTATCCAAATTTTTGATTCGTCGACTTTCTACTCTCTGTAGCTACTAGTTCGTGATATCTCCCGTGCATCCATGCGCATAGCCGGAACTTACGAAGGCGGTACATTTTAAGATTTACAGAATATGAAAACGAGCAGTGAGCAAATTGTGTGGGTTCAAACGATGGCTGTGTTTTCCATCCATGTAATGGTTCTATGCTATTGTACGTGTCACATAACCCACGTTGTGGGGAAGTCGAAAGAGGAAAAAAAACGGAGATTCGGCGGAAGCAACGAGGGAGTTGAAATGAACGAGGAGGCGGACCCTTGGCGCCAGGAGAAGGATGGGATAGGGTTCAGAAGACGGACGGCAAAGTATAAGAGACAAAAGGCACCGGAGATAATAATCTATGGGCTCCCTCGCGCAGTAAGGCCGCTCTCATGATCCGAACTCCCAGTTGATGCCGGAGGGTATCGGAACGCTAAGATATGACGATTTTCTTAAAGGCCACCACACATCGTCTCGACGATGATACCGGTGATCTGGTAGGGGTCCTAGAGAAAATATGTTAATAATCGATCAGAACTAGATTATAACTTGGAAAAACTTACTGCGTTGCTGGCTGGGCGGCGATCCTCGAAGTAGCCCTTGCCGTCCTTCGCAACTTGGCGAGGAATACGGATGGAGCCACCACGGTCAGCGACACCATATGAGAACTTATCGATGTTACCGGTCTCGTGGCGGCCAGTGAGACGCTCTTCGTTACCCTCGCCGTAGACGGCGATGTGCTCAACGTGGCGGGCCTCGAACTTCTTCATGGCAGCCTCGATGGCCTTCATACCACCCTCAGCACGGGTGGCAGCGGTGGAGACATTGCTGTGCAGACCAGCACCGTTCCATTCTCCCTTGATGGGCTTGGGCTCGAAGGAAATGCGAACACCGAACTCCTCAGCAACGCGGTGAAGAATGTAGCGGGACATCCAAAGGTGGTCACCCACTGATCAACTTGGTCAGTTTGCTGTCGGGGGCAAGTAGATAGAGATTTGAAACTTACTGTCAATTCCGGGGCAGGGACCGACTTGGTACTCCCACTGGGAAGGCATGACCTCGGCGTTGATACCGGAGATGTTGATGTTGGCATAGAGGCATGCCCTATAGTGGGCTTCCACTATGTCCCGGCAATAAACCCTGCCAGTTCCGACTCCGCAGTAGTAAGGACCTTGGGCACCGGGGAAACCACCACGAGGCCAGCCATAGGGCCAACCGTCGGTGCCGAGCAGAGTGTACTCCTGCTCAAGACCGAACCAGAATTCCTCTCCGGCGTTGGTCTCCATCAGGCGGGCAGCGTCGTGACGGAAGTTGAACTTGTTGGGGCTTCCATCGGCATCCCAGGTCTCGCAGAGAACCAGAATGTTGTCACCCTGGCGGAAGGGGTCGGGGAAGATAGCGACGGGGCGGAGATAGACATCGGAGTTGTCGCCGGGGGCCTGGGCGGTGGAGGAACCGTCGAAGTTCCATTCGGGTAGTTGGTCAACGGAGGTAACGGGCTTGGAGAGAGTCTATGGGAACAATCTGGTTAGCCGATGATCGATGAAGTGCCCCTCATTATTCACGTGATACGGGCGGCTGCGTCGCGCGTGGGGGAAACCTGGGCTTATCGAGACAGATTCGATAAGGTCGGGAACGCCACCACGCTGCAATCCCACCAACCCATATATTTCTGCAGAAAAAGAGAAGAATAATGACATAAAAAACACATACCTTGGTCTTGGAGCGAGTTCCACCCTGGCTATCGATCCAGATATACTCTGCCATGGACCGGCCACGTTGGTCCAGAGACATGTACTTCATGAGCTAATCACCCCCAGGGCAAGTCAGTATAGTGTTTCCTCTCTGGCTCAAAGGCCATTGTGGAAATCCAAAGTATCGAGAATCAAACGCACATTCTCCGTGTTGGAGACGACAGTTGAATCGGCCTATTGAAAAAAAAAATTGTTAGCATTCAGATCCATCATGAATGAGTCACGGCCTCGCCAGGGAGGGAGGCCAAGAGGCACGTACCATAATGAATGGTGATGTGATGTGAAGCGTTTAAAAAACACAGAGAGGCAGACTTGCGAAGCAAGCTGGTTGTAATTTGAAGAGATGGATAGAGGGAATCCCAAAGGATAGGAAACACAAAGAACTGATGGATGGAAAATCCAAAAAGAGGGAGAAGGGTGAGTTTTTAGATGGTGGGGAGGGGGAAAGATAAAGATTTAAATTTAGTCACTGCCTTTTCACCTTTTGGGGGGGAAGACGGAGAATGAGGAAGGCGTGGGTCAGCCACTCCCGAAACTCACTAGCGGTATTTCATTACTGTAATCTTACATGTCCGTATTACGCCTTACATCCTGTCGGCGTCAAAAAGTGCCTCATACTAAAACACATTCTTCCTGCCCGAAACCGGGGTCGTTGGGGAAACAGAAAAATCGCTCGTTGTATGTTTTGAGGTATTTGCTTCTTTCGATCTATAGACATGGGAAAAGGAAAAAAAAAGGAGAGGCCTCAGGGGGTTTAGAAGTTTACCAAAAAACCCTTTTGTCCTTTACTTTCAAGCGAGACAAGCGCAGCTTCCCAGAATTTCAGCGCCACCCTCAGTGTCATCATCGTAGCATCATACAAGCGCTGCAGTGCCCCGGTCGTCGCCGAGAAGTTCAACACAATCACAAGCGATCTTCCACTGCGCAAACACAAACTCAGTCGTACTGGCTGCTCGGACGTCCATTTCTAAATGGGTTCCTCCGACCTCCGCATTTTCAAGGTTAACAGTCCCCTTTTCCCGGGTTTACTTCTGTAGACCGCCACTCGAGGGTAACAATACTTCCAACGTCAGAGTATTAGCGGTAAACCAGTATCTTTTACTTCGTCCATGATATCTTTAGGATATATTTGCCTCTTCCGCGTGATAGCCATCACCCAACAAGATCCAATCACCGACTAGTCCTTGTAATGGGGCCCGGTAATATGATCAATCCCCCTTCTCCCGTTGGACCGATAACAATTCGCGAACGACCCTAGAGGCTTGCCATGGCCTACAAATCTATTCAAATCTAGCTCTCTCCATTGGAGGAATCCACGCATCTGCCTCCTAAATCTGGTCAGGGGTCGTCGTGTGTGATCTCCTGTAAGGGGATGAACCCCACGTCTTATCCAGGTCCTCTGATCCCGAGCGGGAAAAATCCGGGGGATCGTTCATCGTTCCCCCTCTGCCCAACACCCGTCGGCCCCGGCCATCTGGCACGAAAGAGCTACATTCCGTAATTTTTAAAATCTAAATCTGTCTTATCGGATAATTTACGGGCCCATGCCGTGCTTTGCATCGCATCACTGCGATACTACCTGCCCAGGCAAAACAAGCTGTCAGTCCGCTAGCATGCAGCCTTGGCATATCAACAGTGAGGCCGGGACTGGATATTAGATATTAGATATTAGGAACAGACATACATAGCCCTGGGGTCAAGCAAATCCATTATCATACACTTATCAGAAAAAGCAAAGAATAATCACGCTACTCGTACAAACTACTCGCTATAAATTTCAGACTTTGGCTTTATTGAAGCCATCTGATACATGCCAGTGCATCCTCTAAATACAGTATAAATAAGATGTACTCCGTACATATGAGCATACTTTGTAAAGGGTCCACGCATTAGCACATCATGCACATGCAAAGACTCAGACCAAGACTAATGTAAAAATACCAGTATAGACACGTCGAGCTTCAGTGTATATTCTCGAGCTTCCTCCGCAGATTCACCCCAGTGTCCAACAAAATGGTACCTGAAGCCCGGCCAATAACTATTATTATGCCATTGGTGTATCTGCGCTTCGCACGGTGCCGCGTGGCATGTCCAACCCTAGTGAAGTTCTAGCTTTCCAGCACCGCCGTCTAGACCTTATCGCCCACAGTGTACCTGCAGCGATGTCCAATATTGCGCGATATGCAAATCTTACCGTAGGCCCTCATGCGTCGATACCCTACCCACCGATGCAGGGTGGACCTCCACCAACAAGATACCAGTCAGTACCGATACGATCATCCAACTCCATCGACCCCCATCGACCCCCATCACCCAGCCACTTCGAGTCGCCAGCCAAGTGGAGCGTGGCAAAACGTTCTCGAAACCCCCCGGCGAAGCACCAATCATGCGGGACCATGGTCCAATGGAACCGCCCCGATGCCGGCCACGGCACTGGGATTCGGCGGAACGTATCACGAGTCGCGTTTGAGATTTTTATTTTTGAATTTTTCCTGTTTGTTTTATAATTATATTACATGTACTCGGCTATGTAAGAAAAAAAAATTAAGTCAGATGTGGGAAAATTCCGCATTAGGTAGTTTATTAAGGGTAAAAGGGCGGATGGACGGATGAAAAGTTAGCCCTTCGTGAATGGAGAGGGAGAAGGAAGGAGAGAAACCCCAGAACAGGGATTCTCCAGATGGTCACGGCGGACAATGAACTCTCTGAAAAGTGGCTACTTGATCCTCCCCCCGTATTTTCTTGGGCAAATGGCTGTTCAGCAAAATGTCGGGGGATTTAGGGGGGGGGAGAATCGGGAAGGGAACCTATAGTGGCTAAGGGTTCCGATCCTCACCTTTCAGCCCTGTCTAAGAATACCTGAGACCTCAAGTACATATAGTACAGTGCACTCGCCAGAACTAGCACCTCATCTCGGTCAACCCCGATCACTTTCTCTAGGGGAGTAGTCCGGTGTTGCACAGCCGCGCTGAGTTCTATTTCGATTCTTCCGCACAAGAATAGCATAGTGTGAAACATGACTCAAAGGTGCGTTAGTCATCACTATGCAGATAGTATGGCCGGGCCGGGTTCCAGCCGGGTTCCAGACGATGCACAATGCCCTATCCAGGATACCCTAGGCCCTAAGAGAAGCGGAAAGTCACACATACATCCATCCTCGGCCACAGCAGGGAAGTGGAATTGTATTTCAACTACGAAACGCAAAGGATAGTCCAGATGTGGTCCAGATGGTCAATTCTGGTGAATCTAGTCCGGGATCGACATTAACCCTGGCTTTCTTATCGGTCATCTCTCATTGGCCTGACACATGACGCTGACTACCCCTGTCGGGTTAGAACGCTTGGCCATTCTCAGCGTTTGGACTGGAGGTCTCTGCCCCGGCATACTTTACGGTAATCACTGCAGAGTATGGATTTCTGATCTGACTATTCAATTTGTTTTTTGAATACTACGTCTCCTTAGAAAGGCTCGACATGGATCAACATGTTCACTTACGCTTCAAATATCTTCCACGTAGGAGGGATTTCTCCAAGCAATGCTTTAAATGCCTCACCGGAATGTGGACTCGCAAAATAATGAGGGGCACTTTGACGACTGGTTTCCCAGGCACTGATAACGATGTCATAGCGTCTCCATCATCAGCCATGGCAAAAGCCTCAGCTGGTGGGGTGGCGTACCACGACTGGTTCTGATAAACCCTCATGTATACTGTGTATTTCAGTATTGAATATTCAATGACTCTTAGCGTCTCGTTTCCTTCTTTCCAGAAATAAGATATCCCACCGAAGGGCCTAGTGCCTCATCCTGGGCCTCGTGCTCGCTTCCGGCGCGTCATGGGTAAATATCGTAGACTTCAGATTCGGCTATTCACGCAATTTTTTCTCCTTTTGTTGGTCTCCGATGCGAGGACGACGTAAAGCTGCAGAATTAGTAGTGGTAACCCCGCACCGCTGGGGGATGCCCGGGTGTCGATCGACAAACCAGTGTAATGATGATGATTTGGTGGAAAATCGCCAAGTTTCAGAGTTTCAAAGTGTCTCTCGATGCGTCTTCCCTGTAGGAACATGAACATGGATCATGTGATACCGCTGAGCCCTGTACTGGCAGTATTTTCTTACCGTGTTTGCATGCTAACTTCAAGTGGCATTACGCTTTGAACTCATATTATAGGAAAACACTAGTAGTATCAAAGCAAGTATGAAAGAGATCAAAATCCTTTGTTGTTGGGTGAGGCCTAATCTCTGTTCATTGGAAGCTATATGCTAGAAACATCTTCCGTGCAACATCATTTCGCGAGACTTTATGTGAATACTTCTGAGTTGCGGGTTTTTGCGATCCAGGGCACCGCCGCTGCTCGGTGTAGAGCTGTCATGATCTTTGATTAACTGCCAATACGCAGCGGGAGCGCGGGAATCACAATATTTACGCATGGTCAGATAAGCCTCAGGGTCGATCTGCCACTAGCCGCACGGCAAACAGAGCTGTTTGACTGGTTGCACAGTGCACACGGCAATAAACCGAGAACCACTTGCTCAGGGACCAAACCAGGGGTGGGAAGCCGTACTGGAGAATTAGATAAGACCGCAAATTATGCGAGCTGTCCCGACTTGGCGCAACGGTGATCCGATAACAGAAGACCCAGGAAGAATCTCGGATAGCGAGACCGAGAGCCCCTAGAGGTTCGGACTCCTGTCTCTGCTTCAGCCGCTGACGGCCCGCTGCCGCTGCCAACGCAGGACCCACTCCACCAGAATGCCGATATCCTGCGAGATCTCTAGGACCCTGGCGATCTTCTTGTGGACATTCTGCAGTTCCGAATCGGATCCAGAATCGTCTGCCCCGTGCATCTCTGAGTCACCATTGTAATGGTGTGCTTTGCCTTGCACAAGTCCTGAGCTGTCCACCGTGGATATACGACCATTAAGACCGACCTCGAAACAAATTGATATTAGCGGGTCATCATGCTGAGTCCGATCCGAGACCCGGCTGGAATCAGTGATGAAAAGCATGACAGCCGGCGCTTGTCCGAGTTGTGTGCGTAATGTAATGTCCACATTGATACCATCATCTGTATGATCACTAGATTGAGCGCCATTGGTGGCGCAGTCGGTGCCACTTTCAAACCCATCGCCCAAGAGAAAGTTCAATCTATCTTCGTTGGGGTCCTCATTACTCAGGATGGTGAATCCATCGTTTTGAGAAAGTAATTCCGCAATGGGGTCTGTAGGTATGGAAGATTTGAAGGACACGGTTTTTTGCGGCTTCGATTTCTTGTCTTGGCACAGAGGGGAATTAAAGGCTCGTCGTATAATGCTGGCGAGCAAAGCGTATTGGCGGAGGACCTGGTTCAAATCAATACCGACAACTGAAAGTTAGAGACCAAAGAAGCTTACTGGCAAAATTTCGGCGAGCTGCCGAGGATGAGAAAAGGGGAGTTCGGAAATTGTACGGCCTGTGACAGATTCAAATGCTTGAAAGGTGTATGTATGATCTTTTGCGCACGATTTGTCCGCTGAATCGGGTGCTTGGATGGAAGTTTTGTGCTTTCTTCGACCAAGCTGAGCCGAAGAGTCCGTCGCTGGTCCTGGAACTAACAAACCATCATAGGTCACCATTTTAAAATCTTGAGGTAATTGCATACCAAGGTGCTGATGGATAGTGGATGCTGCGAGGATTGGAATGTCAAGAGGAGGTTCTAACTTGGCGACAAATCGACGATTGGGGGGGTGAATGCCCCATCATATTTGAATCGAGAGCCATGGAATCGGGATGGTCACTTTGTGGCAAGCGCATGGTCTGAGGAGGCTCAAGCCAGTTCACCGACTCCGCAGATCCAATCGAGGGTAACGGTTCACTGCGCTCTCTGGGTCCAAAGATCTCGCTTCCGATCCATTCTTTCGAAATGCGTAGGGATGGGTATCCTTCTTCACATTCTATCATGACAGTCCATGTTTTCTGTTGATCTTCCACTTCTGGATCTGTCTCTTGCGGGTGGTCTACTGCCATTGAATCGGCAGATGTGGCATTGTTCGAATCCAGTAGCTTCGCTTGCTCAACCCAGTATTCCAGGCCTAGTCCAACCCGGGTGCCCTTATGCATCGTCGGGCGACCAATTACCCCATTGCAGAGATGTTCATGATCACCTCCGTGCTGTCCATCCTTGTTTTCTTCCACCCAGATGCGCTTTAGATTATCCTCAAGACCTTCCAGTGCCTCAAAGCAATTCACCTCCTGGCTGAGCTTGTCCAGCTTGGCCAGCCACTGCAGATTTTTGTAAAACGGTCCGAGCGATCTCCATTTCCCTGATTCGGCGTCCTGGAGGGATTGTATAAGATTTCGTTTCAGGACCAAAGTAGCAGCTTCGCGCCGCCCACCCTCGCTGTGTTCTGGTGTCGCATATTGTAAGTTCACTTCTTTAACAACGTCATTGCCAGCGTGGAATTCGATCTCTAAGTCAACAAAGTTCCCTGCGATGTTGATGTTGTCATCCTGCCATAGACGTTCAAGGCCTTCTAAGCGACTCAGTCGCTCTATGCCGTCCCGAGAAACCCCTCTCCCTGCGACGCGGGTGCGAAGACTCCGAACAACTTCCTCGATGCGATGCCTCTGTTCCTCGTCGCTATCCCTTGCGACCCCAAGCTTCAGGCCTTGCATGCCCAGGTTCTGAATATCATTCTCGTTCATGCTGGTGCCAACCAAGCTATCATGCACAGCAGGCGAAGGACTGATTCCAGCGTAACCGCCAAGCGCTAGGAGCGCTGAAGGTGAGCTGAAGTTGACGGGATCATCCACCGTGTTTGTCACTGCAAGAGGCGTGGTATACTGGTGCGACGAGGTGCTTGGCGGCTGATTCAATCCTGGGCCAGAAGCCGTCGGGGTTCTCATTGAAGGCGATTTGTGAGCGATGGATCGGGAGAGAGGCGCGGAGGTTGGGTGAGGCGATGAGGTGAGATGAGTGGGAGTTGCACCCGGTTTTGCTGATGGGGTCGCCATGGCGTAGTGTATCGCAGTGGATTTACTGCGATATCATGGGCGGAAGCCTAGTATTGAGCCGTTTAAATGCGTGGTGCCGTGAGGGAGCTGCAGGCTGCAGGTCAATGGAGATTTCGGAGTGGCTCCAGTAATCGGAGAGCTATCAAAGAGCTGGTATCGCTATCAAATGTTGCGCCAGGATAACCTCACACGACGCGCAAAACAAGAAGCTCAATCCACTGCACCCTCAAGATCAACGACGCCGGCATACGCAGTTGACAGCTGAGCTGCGGCCGGCAGAACAAAAGGCTCCCTCACCGCCTGAGAGTAGGACAACATCAATTTTTGCCGGCAATAAGCCCTGCCAATCAGAACTTGGAATGATTACTTCTCTAGCATGCGTATGTAGGCGATGGCCACTTAAGCTTTTGTTTGCATTCAAAAGACCGGTCAGGCAATGGATCCTGCACACTGCTTTTTGCATATAAAAAAGCAAATACTAGGTAATGGCCAATTGCTACTACCAGTACTACAAGATACCTAAGGTAGTACTAAGCACATAAAAATTAGTATACAAAGAAACTTTGAAGGTTTGATTAAATGACTGTCAACTAGTAGTATATATATACATGCTTCACCCCCCACTAATCTTAGATACCTACTACTATTAAAGCTTTTCCTCACTTGTAGTAGTTCCAGGTTCCCGGCAGCGGTAAGAGATGTTAAAACTCACAACTTCGAAGTTTGAACACTTCTATATTCCAGAGTTTGCATGTAAAATCAAGTAGTAATCTAATTATGCGACGCACTTTCTAAACATACCTAGGTAGGTAGTATCTTTTTCGCGATCGCCTTTGAATAACGAATCTAGGCGGAGGGCATGGCGGTGTAATCATGATGACTTACATGCTACAAGTACACCGCCTTGGGATCTGCACGATGATCCAATGCTTGGAAGCACCTTCTCTAGACGTCGATTGACACTTAGCAATGTTTGCCACGAGATCTATTGGCCGTCAGGTCTTTTGTACGCCCAGATGGGCTCGTGTTCGCTGTGTCTCCACTCTGGAAGGGAATCCCCATATAGTATGCGATTCAAGGCCAACCGTTACCTAGGTACTTTCAAGTTGCGCTTGTGATGCTAACTCGATTGTCCTCTAGTATATATTTCCCAGTGAAAGTCCAACTACATCGCATATTCTATCTCTCCTACCCTCCGAACCAGTCAACCCTAATCTTGCCATTGGAGTTACAACCAAGCTCCCTCCAACCGCGGACTCGCTCACGGAGAACTCCAAGTTCCTCGGTATCCTCCAAGAAGTGTTTACCAAGCATGCTCATGAAGATCCTGATGCACAGTCCCAGGCTCAAGTCATGGTATCCACATCAGGTGCCAACTTAATGTCGGGTGGCGTGCTACTTCCTGGCAAGCAGGGTGGGAGACGGCGTAAGGAGATGGGTGACTCCAGTAGTGGGGCTAGTGGCCAAGGTGGTGTCGGTTCTGCTGGAAGAGGTGGCTGGATACACATTTCGGATAGTAGACGACCTCCGGAGTATGGACGAATCGCATGGTAAGTTATAGCCAACGAATGAGGCTGCTAAACGACTGTAACTGATATCGGACAGGCCTGAGGACATGTTCGGTAGTCTCGAGGTTGATGGACAGGGCCAATTTGTAGATGGGAATGGAAATTATCAACCTAGCGGTATGGTACACTCACTGGTATTCGAATAACTGCCCACTGACAATATAGCAGGGACATATCGGACCGTGACCCGAGACGGAATGTAAGAACTCTTCACACTTTTGAAGTCGATTATTTGCTAACTCGATTCTACAGCCTGGGATTGAGCCCATTCCTCAGAGAAAAGCTCGTACAGAGACTGCGAGAGCTGGAGAAATAATGAATCAGTAGTGTCTGAAGCCCTGGAGAGCGGTAGTATATAGAATATTTGTACCAAAATACCTAGCCTAGTAGGTAGTAGTAGTATTTGCATCCATCTTGTATCATAATCTATTGTACCGAAAGAGAACCATGACCTCCAGGTTGCATTTGAACCTCGATATTAAGTAGTAACTAGTACTAGTAGTAGTATGAAACCCTAAGGACCTCAAGACTTTTCTCTACTACAACCTGGAGTCTAGTACTACTAGGTAGTGGTACCTCCGAGTAAGAATATATTGACCCCAGCCCTCCAAAGCTGGAGGGCACTTCAAAACTCATAGATATTTTCTTATTCTTTGTGTGAAGCTAGCTTGTATTATTTGAAAAAGTTAGTGATCCTTTGTGATCCACCGGTCAGTTTGGTCGGACCAGACTTTTTCTTAGGTGTATTGTGGGTGGCGCTGCGCATCTTCGATTTCGATGGGGACGGAGAGATTGTGCTTTCAACGATTTTCTGCTTCTTATTGTGTTCATCAGTGCTCGGCGTACTATGCTCCCTCTTGATACCTTTTTTATCAAGTGTCTCTAAGCTGTTGTCATCTTCAGGTTTTGCCTGCAGAGAAACGGATTCCTGCTTCGGAGAGACATCTGAAATGGCCATATGGTCGTCTGCCTTTTTCTTAGCATTATTGAAGAAATTGGCAATATTGCTCCTGTTCTCCTTGCTGTTGACTGGGATGATGAAGTCGGGAGAGTTGTTCCCAACCTTGCCAACCTCTTTCGTGACGGGGTAGCATTCTAGCTCGCCTTCGTACGGCTTAAGCATAGTCTGCAATTCTTTTGACCATGTCGTTCGCTTGGGATCAAGCCATGTCCTCATTGCTTCCGACCCAGCTTCTAGAATAACAGGCATGCGTTCATGTAGGAATGCAAGGTAAGGGTTCGACGAGGTTGTGATGACAGTGTAAGTGTAGATTTTCTCGTCTGAACCTGCTCCAGGAATTGTCTATCAGCGAAATGTTGTTTTTGAGGGGGAAACACTTTATACTCGAAATCTTACCCTCATATTGCACACAATCCCATAGTCCCGCAAAGAACATCAAATCTCCATCTTTTCGTTTGACGAAATGAGGAACCTTTTCCTTACCACCCGGTCCTTTCTTCAGCCATTCATAGAAGCCTTGGCATATGACAATACATCGCTTCCTTCGCTTCATTGTCGTCCACATGCCCCGATCTTCATTCAATGAGTCGTCTCGGCAGTTGATAGTACGCATCATGGAGCCATAGTCCTGCGCACGCTTGGTCCAAAAGGGAACAAGACCCCATTTCATACTTTGAATCTTGTATTTGATATTTCCTGACGCATCCTTTTTCTTTTCGAGTTCTTCTTCTTTTGATGCTTCGTCTTCATTATGCTGGCCTTCGTTTGGTGCTTCCTGGTGGTCATAGCCCCTGTCAGGCGTGTCTGCTCGATAAACAGCGCCGAAATTACCAGGAGCAAAGTTGAATGTTTCTCGGATATCTTCATCTTCTGGCGCGTCATCAACTAGCATGCCCCTGTCTTCTAGCTGCTGTCGCATGTACGCCAATCGCTGTTGCGGTGATGAGCATGAAGTTCAGTTGACCGTGACAAGAAGAACCTACCACACCCAGAGCATATCGTCCACACATATTTAGCTAGACGATGTAATTGATTGAAATATTTGCTTGGTTTACATCACCAGTGCAAGCGAGGAACGAGACCTCGTCGGCGAGGTAGGCACGGGCGACGTCATACGTAGTGGGCGGCGGAGAGAAGCTTGGACCAAGAGAAAATCGACCTGCGGCCGGAATCTCCGCCTTCTCATCCTCAACCTTTAGGAACCCTCAACCCCAGAGCACGGCAATTCCCTACACTCAAATCGGCGCGATATATCAATTCAAAGACCACGTTTTCATACAATAATACGCCAATGTTCCGTGCAGCGTCGGGGCGCCTTAGCGCCAGCATCCCGCGTCTCCAAACCCAGCGCCAAACGGCCACCCGATCAATATACAGCAACACCGCACGACCGACACCACATGCACGAGTACATAATACGAACCCGAGCCTGAACTCGCGCGTCGCCGGTCAGCGATTTGCCTCATTCCGTCAGCGTGTCCGCATGGGCTACCGCGAAGCGTCAAAGGATATTTTCCGCAAAAATCCCGTCGCGCTGCCGATCGCTGTCCTCGCTGCTGTCAGTGGAATTACTTTACTCGTCTACACTACTTATGTCGAAATCACCAAGAACATACCTCAGTATACCAAGTTCCCGCCGAAGGTAGCGGATGCTCTGCGCCAAGCCATTTACTACACGGATATCGACCTGAACGCGCCCAAGGCATTGCAGGCGTATAAAAATGCGCTGCATATGGCCATCGAGGAGGGTATGCATCCTTTCTCAGACGAAGTGTTGGGCCTCAAGATTCAGGTTGCAGCCATGCTGGAAAAGGCAGGATTGGTGAAGCAGGCTACTGAGGTTCTGGAGCGGACGAAGAGAGAGGCTTTGACCTGGATTGAAGAAGGCCAACGATCGGAGTCTTCTCTTGTCACTAAACCGTCACTCCCAGAGGCGCAGCTATCCTCTAATGTCAAGGTGGCTCCTGATAATGTGCAAATCAATGAGCAGGCACTCCAGGATGCGGAGCAGGCATTGAAGGAAATGCAAGAGTACGAGGCGCGACAGCGGGATCGCGCATTGAAGAAAGTCATTGGCATCGAGATGAAGCTGGCCGAGCTATATTCCAGCGACTATATCCAAGATGACAAGAAGTCCGAGGCGGCTCAGATTGCTGCCGTGGAATTGTGTCTGAAGGAGATGCACCGACGTCAGAAACTAGGGTTGCCCGTTGGAGCAAGTTCCGGCGAGGGATCAGATTCTTCCTGGATGAACTTGACCGAAATCGCCACTGCGCTGACAGACCTCGCAATAAGTTATACTGCCAAGGAACGACATGAGCTCGCCATGCCGCTATACCTTCGTGCATTGGACATCCTTCGCACTGAGGAGGGAGACGCCCCCTCCTGCAAGCAGGTCGTGTTGCTGAATAGCGTTGCCAGCTCCATGGCTGGCCAGGCACAGTCAACATCGCCTCGTGTACAACAGATGAAGCAACAGATGAAGCAACAGGGTATCTCCCAAGACCCTACTGTTGAGGCTGCTCGACAATGGGCACAAAAGGCCATTGATGTCGCGGCACACATCAAACCCCCAGTTCGCGACGAGGAGTGTGATCTTAGCTGTGTTGCGGCTACTTACAATCTTGGTGAACTGGCTGAGCTACAACAAAAGCCCGAAACTGCAATTGCACGCTACACGGAGGCTAGATCTCTTGCAAAGGGTCTTGGCTACCAAGAGGGGGTCGAACTGGCAGATGATGCGTTGGCAAGACTCCGAAAGAGGCTCCTATAGATGTATCACTTTATCAGGATAGCACTTTTTGTACATTACTTTATGACCCAATAGAATCCAACTCCTACTATCATCCATGTATTTACCTCTTCTTCAAACACCAACTGTCAGTATATCAGAACAGGGATAGACAAACTTAGTAGACCCTTTCCTGTGAAATATCACATCAAAGGGAGAGACCATTGGGGAGGACACAAGTGCGATTACAGGCTGGGTTACGACTACGATCTGAGACTACGAGACTGGAACCAAGTGAAGTAAAAATAGGAAACATTTTGATGCCTTAATGGTATTAGAACATCACACGCCTTCACAAGATTCCAGACATTGATTTTAATGGCGAAATCAAGCAAGCTAGGCATGTTAAGAAAACCTCTCAGACCGGGGCGGCCCCGTTCTAAAAGTGCTTCATTGCTCGTGGCTCATACATTCCAAACCAATTGCCCTTCTTGTTCTGGATTTTGAACTTTTTTTTGATTCCCTTGACGATAGATCAAAAAGAGGCCTCCATTCCCTTCACCGCAAACTCATCAAACAGGATCTAAGCCCGCGACATAACACCCCAGGCACGGATCTTGTTGTCGGTGTAACCGGCGAACAGGGTCTGGCCGTCGGCGGACCAGGCCAGGGAGATACACTCGGGGTCACGGGACTTCTTGCCCTTCTCGACGTACTCGGGCTTGAGCTCATCAACCTTGCTCTTCTTCTCGAGGTCGAAGATGGTGATGGAGCTGCTGGTGGCGGCGCACAGCCAGTAGCGGTTGGGGGAGAAGACCAGGGCGTGGATCTCGTCACCGGCGTGGAGAGAGTAGAGGTGCTTGGACTCGTTGAGATCCCACAGCATGGTGGTACCATCCTTGCCACCGGAAGCGCACAGGGATCCATCGGGAGAGATGGTGACGGTGTTGATGTATCCGGTGTGACCGATGTGGTCAGTCTGCAGACGGCAGGAAGCGAGCTCCCAGACCTATATTATGAATAAATTGTCAGCGTTCCTGATATGATCCATATTTTGGTGACTCGATCCAGCAGCAGAAATTTCTTCTTTCTCCTCATTCAAAACAAAATAATGTTTTGAATGGTTTCTATCAGGCATTGGGTGAATGGTTGTCTCATGGCCCTGAGGGCTCTGAAGTAGCAAATACGTTTATATGCAAACATCATGTAGGGGGTGGGAGTGCAAAAAAAAGCAGTCGAAAAAGTATCTTCTGGGGTTCGGAGTTCGGGATGGATAGCGTACCTTGACGAGCTTGTCCCAACCAGCGGAGACAATGACGGGGTTCTGGGGGTTGGGGCTGAAGCGGACGCAGGAAACCCACTCGGTGTGGCCCTTGTCGGTGATGGTGAACTTGCAGTCACCGAGGGTGTTCCACAGCTTGATGGAGCGGTCACGGGATCCGGAGACGATCTGACGGTTGTCGGCGGAGAAAGAGACGGACAGGACGTCGTTGGTGTGGCCGACAAAGGTGCGGGTGGTGTTACCGGTGGACAGCTCCCAGAGGCGGAGGGACTTGTCCCACGAGGAGGACAGAGCGTAGGCACCGTCAGAGGAGATCACCTATAGACGCAGAAAAAAGACCAGCGGTCAGCCAGAAAGCTCCAATTATTCCCGGTTGCAATATTCCGATGCCAATTCAAATTCATTCGATTTCCGATTGATCCTTGCTTCCGGGGCGGGTGCGGGAGGGGCAAATGCATACACAGTCAGAGACGATGTGGGAGTGACCCTCAAGGCTGCGCTTGGGGTAACCGTAGGCCTGCTCATCGCGGGTAAGGTTCCAGATGATCAGGGTCTTGTCGCGAGAGCCCGACAGCAGCATGTTGGGGCTAGAAGCGGAGTTAGTCAGAATGAGTTATTCAATGCGAAAAACTGAGGGCCGGATCTCTTACTTCTCCAGAGAGGTCGCCAGGGAAGTAACCCAGCCATTGTGGCCCTCGAGGGTGCCGCGGAGGACGAGCTGCTCAGCCATGGTGAAGATAGACGGTGAGGGTGAGAGAATGGTGAGGTCGTTGACGCTGGGGAGATAAAATCACAGAGGGAAGGATGGGACTGCGTGCCCGCTCAAGCCCTAACCCGGTTGGCTGGTTCCTTGTGTGGTTCCGCTGTGCCCTAAGTAATAAGCGAAGATCACGTGGTATCCCGTCAGCGCTGTGCTTAGTCATGATTCAATGGATCCCATTGTATTGGATCCACTTGTTCTCCATGGAGTACGGAGTACTACCAGACAATGGAATACAATTGAATACCATTGAAGGCATGGAGTCTACCCGAAGAGTATTCTGTCGAAACTCACATTAACCTCACATCAGTATACATCCAACTTGAACTCCATTCCGGATCGAATAACAAGTGTCATTATTACCTAGTACTATAACATCAGTACTACTTAAACCTCATTTTTAAACTTGAATATACATACCTCGTTGTGTCAACGAAGACAACTACCTAATAATAACAACTATAATATACAGAATGGCTATACCTCCACCTCATCTAGTTAAACACCTGCACATTCGGCATGCGGCCCAATCCACCGCCAGTCTTCTTACTCTTCGCCGACTCAAAGCCAGTCGCGCTCTTATCACGAACATGCTCCCGCAGCAACTCCAGCACCTTCGATTCCTTCCAGCGCATGGGAACAGGGCGATATGCCGCCCGGAACGCTCCAATGGTTTGCGCCCACTCGCCGCTCTTGGAACTGTTCTCCTTCCAGGTCTCGGTCAGCGTGTCTTCGGAGGGTCGGGCGTCAGCTCCGGGTTCGTCAGCGGGCGGGTCCTGTGTGGCCCAGTAGTAGATATCCCAGTCATTCTCGTCTAGGAAGCTATCGTACTCCTGCAGCTGTTCTGCGTTCATGGTACGCAGGTAGACGTCGGCGAATGTAGATAGGAGCAAGTCGGATTCGAGGATACCGCGCTTCCGACTCTGGTCTAGATTTTCAAAATGTTAGCTGGTGTCTTCACTTGGAGATATTGTCCTTCGGCCGGGTATCAGAGACAACTTACATAGCAGACGTGCTCTCTTGGTGGTGACGTCCTCCCCAACTCTCTTCAGCGGCTCAACCTTGAAGGTAATACCCTCCATCTCTCCAACTCCCAGCTCAGGCTTCTGCGCACCCTGGTCCTGACGACCACCAGTGAAGTGCTCAATCTTGCCAGGGTACGGATCAGCTGGGCGGTAGTTCGGGTCGACCGAATTCAACATCTCGGGCGGCGCAGGCCGGGATCCAGCGCTAGGGAAGTCATTGGTCATTGTGGAAGTCGTGTTGGGAACGAACGGGTTGGGGGTCTTCTTGGTTTGGGCGTCACGATGTCCCTGGGCAGTCGAGGGAGCCCGGTCGTTCACATCGGGATCCTTGAAGCGCAGAGCCGATGTGCCGAATGAACGGTTGATGGCTGTCAAGGAGTAGGACGGCACGGGGCGCATGGCGCGCTGGATAAGTCTCGAGGCGGACATTGTGCTCGTCTCTCTTCAGCTTCGGCAGGTATTTTGAGGATTGCTGGAAGGGATAGCAAGTTGAGAAGTTGCAATGCTAACTTGACATCATCCGAAGTAATGTCCCGAAAATGTACCTGCAACACCCGGTCCCCGATGTTTGCACAGTTTGCATCATTTCTCTCCACTCGGCCGCGGCGTATTACATAGCCGGCATCAGCTACAACAATGCTAGTTGAGTCAATTGATTTCAAGTCGGTCGAGTTGGTGGGACACTCTCTATTGTGTTACTAAGTATAAATTCCAGAGCCCAATATTAAATATATCCACCTGAGCAGGACCGCCCCATCTTAGATAGCCCAGGGTAAGGACATTTCCAAGGTTTGTATATAAATGATGTACTCCGCCGTCGTAACGAAGAATAGTAGTAAGACTGAACAAGATGAATGATTAATACCTGCGCAAGCAGGGCGTGTATTTTATATCATTGAGGTCATGACTATTGCAACAGAATGCCACACGACATGAGAGAGTACACAGGGAGATGATGGAGCATGACTCCCCCAGAAAGCGCTGCAGCCCAGATTCAAGATCGCAGCAAACCAAAGAAAAAATAAAACATAACACTCCAGAATGCAACCTATCCACCCCCACACACAACAGCGGCTTTAGATAAGGTGCTTGGATCGGAAGTAAGCCCGCAAGTAAACAACCTGCCACGCACCCAGACCAACCAGCATACCCATCGTGCCGAAGGCGAACCACTTCACGCGCTCGTTGGTGCTCTCGTTGGTATCACGCAGGCGCTGCTCACGGGAGCGGAGATAGTCCATCTCGTTAACAATTTCGGTGACCATCTCCTCGATGCGGCGGAGGTCGGTCTCGATGGGCTTGAGCTTCTCCTGGGCCTGGATGCTGGACCAGTCGCGGGCATCGGCGCCAATTTCAACGTCGAGTTCGATTTCGCGGGATGGGTTACTAATGGCGTCTATTAAGAGAACTCGGATTAGATCCATTTGATTGACTGCGAGGATAGCGGTTTTCGACGGCGTTCGCATCCGCGGCTTTGGTGAGACTTACTGCGGCCGAAAAGCTGGTTCTCGAGGCACACGTCGAAGGCAGTGTCGGCGGTCGAGGTGAAAGCCTGACGCACTTCGCCAACAATATCCTTGGGCCGACCGTGGTCATTGCCCATAGAATCCTTAATCTGTATGTTGAAGAGTAAGCCGTTAGCAATCGCCTTGCCTCATGTGTAAGGGCGGACACCCATGGTCGCCCCGAGGATGGAATTGAGACAACCATGTATCCGGGGAGACATTGAACATACGTGCATGTTGACGACTTGGCCGTCACCCTTGGAACCGCTGACGATAGCGGTCACCACGACCAACTGGTCCTTCGAGACGAAGTTGCGGATGCATCGCTCGTTCTTGCCGCCGTGGCCGGACTGGGCGGGCAGATCAAATTTCAGGGCTGTTGCGATTTGCACCACAAGTAGGAAAAATGCGAGGACGGACCTCATTGTGAATGGAGAGGAGCCCATGGTTTGGGGAACTGGTCGTGTCGGTAAACAGGAGAGCTGTTGATGCCACCTGGTAAGGGGGCCGGGATCAACAATATTCCGGTGGATCCAGCGGAACTATAGACCACATAACATAACCACATTTCTTGTACATCTGAGAACCATTATCCTCGTAAATCTGGATTCATTAATACTCAAAATCAATGGAATTGAATTGTTTATCAGTCGATTACTGGAGTATTTGGAATAGGCAGTGAAGAAAGAAAATTGATTTCGGAGTATCGAGGCTTAGATACTGGCACAAGTACATCAAACATGGTATCTCGCGAAGTTCACAGAAATGTAACCGGGGATTTCCCAGCTACACATGAAAAAGAATTGAAGAAGAGAAAGCATAGAAAGAGAATCAAAACGTATTAGTCGTTCAGTGTCACATTCCAACGAAGGAATTTTGAAGAGAAAGTGTCTTCTCATGAAGAAGCGAAAGAAAGCCACCGGGTCATAGCCGCAACATAGACAGAAAATGAAAATGGTACCGCAAGGCACGTAAAGACTCTATAAAAAATGTAGAGTTTCAAAACGATGAATATAAGTAGAAAGATGGATATGAAGAGGAGACATAGTCAAAACGATGGATATGAGATGTGGATCGTTAGATGGAAATTTTCAAAACGCTCAAAGCATGACATCGAAGGTTTGGGGTGGGATTAGGAAGCATCTATGCCTCGACCTTCTTGCGGCGCACAAAGAAGCGCGAGAAGGAAGTGTCCTTCTTAGGTCGAGCTGGTGGTTCAGGTGGTCCTGTGTTGCGGAGGAAGTCCGCCAGAGCACTGGTCTCACTTTGCTTGTGCGAGGTGGATGGCATCGTACCGGGGTTGCGCTCCAAACCAACCTTTTGGGTGTAGTTGGCCTGAGTGCTGCCAAGAGTGCTCTGCGAACGCATAGAACTCATAGACTTTTTGTTGGAGGGCCCCTTGTCGGTGTTGGCGCCACGCAGGAAACGAGATTTCAAGCCTGCGGAGCCATTGGAGTTTGACGACGGCGGGGGCCCGCTTAAATGGAAGGGCTGGCGCGCCTCTTCTGTTGGTGGGGAGGTGGCGCGTTGCGGAGGAAGTCCATTAAGCTTTCCTCTTGGCGTGGGGGCGGCTTTGCATTGATAAGCTCTTCGAGCACATCATCATCGTCGTCGTCGTCAATTGCATAGGGGTCTGGAACACGACGCTGCTTCCGAACTGGCATTGGCTCATCATCGAATCCCATGGGTTTGGCAGGCGGTGCCGCCTTGATTTGGGCATTGCCACGATTGGCGGATTCCAACAGACCTGTCCGCGAGCCCAAAGAAGTCATTGACTTATTAGGCGTAGAGCTGGTCACCGAGCTGTGAGTAGCCGTGTCCTTCTCACTTTGAACGGGCTCGTAAGGGAGGTCCTCGGAGTCAATCGTGTTCCTGAACGGCGCAACTGTTCGGGGAATGCGGTGTGCACCAGGTTGCGGGGGACCCTCGCGAATGAAATCAATCAGTTCTGATGTTTGAGAACGCTTAGTCTCAGCGGGTGCGCGTGCTTGGAGGCGGGCATTGCGAATTGATTGACGAGAATTGTTGGACTTGACGGTATTGTGGGTGCTATGGGTATTGTTTGTACTGGCGGAGATAGTGGACTGGCGTCGAGAAGACCTCGTCCCATTAGTAGGGGTCGGGCTGCCTGGATGCGAAGAAGTAGGAGTGGCAGGTCCAGTTGCTTTGATGAACTCGGCAATTTCACGAGTGGAATCTTGAACAGGACGAGCATCCCTAGCATTGCCTGACGACACGGGGGACTTTGGTGGAGCTGGCATACGAGAGGAAATGGGAATAAACTTGGGGGAGTCGGCGGACTTGGTGCGTCCGAGAGAAGTCAATTCCCCGTTTGTGCGGGTGGAGAGAGAAGTCGGTGGTCGTGGGTCTTCTCCTGGAGGAGCCGTGCTCTTCAAGAAATTAGCCAGATCATGGGTATCGGACGTGTCCGACCTAGGGATTGGTCGAGGCGGCTCGGGGAACTGGACAACTGGGTTAGTCGGTTTGCTAACAAATTAGACCGGAATGAAAGAGGAGGGCTTACGGTCATCTCCCTCACGCTCTTCGGTGTTAGCGTGAAGTGGATAGTTTCATCGCTATTGATCAACTTGTCCAGGTCTGTGGTATCGTTACCGTCAGAGTCCGCGCTACCAGATGCCCGGCTCGTGTCAGATGAGCTGCGAAGGCGGAGCGAAGGAGACTCGCCCGGACGAGTCATGAGTCGAGTGATCTTTCCTGATTTCTGGGATGTGGTAGAGCCCGCCGTAACTGGACGTTTCTCGCGCGAACTGCTGAAGCTTTCTGAGCGGCGGGACTTGGCTGGCTGGACGGTCGAAGCAATAGAATTGGAAGGTCGTGGAGGCATGCGTTGCACGGCTGCTCGCTCCGTGCCACTGGGAGAGTTGCGGTTGCTAGCCGTAACCACGAGCGGGCTAGGTCTATGGCGTGTACGGGATTTCTGGGAGTATTGGCTGTCGCCCGAAGAGGAGGCAGGACGAGAACTATCGGGTTCTAGGGCGGCGACACTTTGTAGAGGCTTTTCGGAAACGGTATTGTCTTCATTCACAGGATCACTCGGCGATGGGGATGCCATGGCCGATTTATCGTGATCGTGCTCGACGGGGTTTTCGTCATCGGGAGTGTTGACAGCCTCGATCGTGGCGGCGGATGTGGCTTCTGCCCCTTGCGTAGCGGGCTTTTTCTCCGCGATAGAATCAACATCTGACCCGCTAGTTTCTGCAGTGATCGCCTTTGCGTTGATCTGAGCAGTGACATCCCTGCTAGTTTTCCTCCTTGGGCGCTGGATCGTCGCAGTTGGCTTAGGCTTCTCGCACATGCCCCGTCCTTCGATAATCTCCGGATTTATGGTTGGTTCCTCATCAAGGGATGAGATGGAAACTCGGGCACTATTTGACTGATCGGTCTCGTCGTTGGCGCTAGAGCGCAAGGAAGCAATGGTTTCATTCACGGGCGGACCCCGTTCGGCTTGTTCTTCATCTTCTTCCCGCACAATGGGCATTCTCGCATCTTCTAAACCATCCGCTTCTGTAGGCTCGTCGATAGGTGTGGTGATTGCAATGCCAGGGGCGGACTCTGCAGCATCGACAAACTCGGCGGATTCGTCATCCTCGTACATGGTTTCGAGCTGCTTGCTCTTTTCCGAGGCACTTGGGGATGGCGCATTTTCATTTGTTGGTTCAGACTTGGCTTCGCGTGGTGGGCTGGCCGCCGCATTCGGCAATGACCTTGAGCGGGCATGACGAACCACCTGCGGGTCGTCAATCGCAGACGCACTCAAGGGAGAATCCCTCGCACCAGGCGACCTTGGCGCGAGCGATGGCGATGTGAAAACCATCAAGCTGCGTGGTCGCACCTTGTGCGCGACAACGGCCTGCATCGTCTGCACCTCATCTTCCAACTCATGAGAGAAACCGGGAACCTCGATCTCCTTGACATCGTGATCGCCGAGGGGCAAGGGGATGTCGGCTGGTTCGGCTGGTTCGACGGGCGCGGGTTGAGCCTCGGGAAGCGGCTCCTTGGGAGTGACAGGTTCCTCAATGGTCGCAATACTGCTCTTGCGGCTTCCTGCCAGAGTCGAATAACCTCGACGGCGGAAGGACTCGCGAGAGAGAGTTCGCGAAAGGGTGGTGTTGCGTCTGCGCTTTCGCCAAGTCCGCCACAGCCGCCCCAGAGTCGCGTTCAACGCCAATTTTTCCATGTCGAGATCCTCCACCACTAACCGATCAATTCGCTTACGTTCTTCGTCCAGGTCAATCGATTCATTGGCGCCGTCATTCAGCTTCGCCGACAGCCGAGAGCGCGCTGTCTCACCAGCAATCACCAAGGCGCGCTCGCCAATGTGCTCAATGATGGAAGTCAGAAAAATGGCGGCGGCGGGGGTGATGTTGTCGACGTGACTGGAGAATCGACGGGGCGCACCGTCGCACTCCCCGAGACCATCTTGCGCAATATATTCATCCTCATCCTCCTCTTCCATGTCACCCAAACGAGTGTATACCATGCATCGAAGGCGGGTCAATTTCCATGAGCGCACAAGATCGAAATCACCGCCGGGCTCCTGACCACCACGAAATTCCGTCTTCTCGTCGTCGGCGCCCCCCATATATTCGCTCAATTCCTCATCGGCGGTGTCGACAACCTCGGAGGCGAGACGAGGCTTCAGAACGTCGGAGACGGCTGGGCGGATACATGAGAGCTGGGTAGATTTGGAAGCGGCCAGAACATTGAAGAGCAGATTGTCGAGGAAGCCGTTCAGGAGTGAAAGGGCGGCCGGTGTAACCAGCGCCGCGGCGCCGGAGCCAGTTTCGTCGTCCTCGGGGGCAAAATCGGCGGCATTAAATTCTTGGTCGGAGTCGATAATTTCCGAAGCAGCGGAGGAAGAGATAAAAGCAGGTGAAGGGTGTACGGAGGGGGAGACATGAGGTTCACTCTCGAGTGTTCGCTGGATAAGGAGGTGCTTCGAGAACGGGACAAAGTCGCGGTCCCGGCTTCCAGGAGATCGGATCCTTTGTAAGGTTGCATGGTGACTAGTAGGACCAGGGTATCCCCTTTGAGTGAGGAGTATCCCGTATGAGTAGTATGTCTGTTCTTGAGCGCAGAATGGACTGGCTCAGACTAAAATTCCAATTTCTGAATCATCCTGTGTTCCCCGTCAGCTTGTATATTCCTGGTATATTGCTTATAATTCTTTGATTTCTGCATTCCAGCCAGGCATTCTCTTTGGTGAAATTGCGCCCGAGAGGGTAGGGACGCCACGGCCCCCCAGATTCAATGCCGAAAAAGAAAAGAAAATCAAATTAAATCAAAAAACGTACCCGTTAAAGAATGGAGAGGCGCAGGGTCATGCTGGTTGGGAATGATCAAAGAGGGAACAGCAAAGAGAAGGAGAGGAAAGAGAGAGGAAAGACAGAAACGAGAGAGACAGACAGAGACAGACAGAGAGAGAGAGAGAGAGACAGGAGTCGAAATTAGTATCGTTCAAACCTCCGGAGTGGAGACCAAGCTTGAATCATTCGGAGGAGACTACCGAATGGTTAATAGTTGGGACTTAATTTGACTTACGCTGTATTGATTGTATTAATTGTGTACATAGTACTATGGTTATACTTTAGGGTAATGTGTATACCGTAAGTGTAGGCTTGTATACTACATGCATACTACTTGAAGTATGTATACGGAGTACGGAGTATCCTATATGCATGAAGTATACGGAATACAAGTAGAATCTACTCCGTACACTCATCCATTCCATCTCATCCCATTCCCGTTCTCGTATATCCTCCTATCTGTACCTGGCGTAACCACGGTCCGGCCATCAACTGCTCCGCCTATCGCATTGAAGAAACCAGGGGCAGGGGGCTACGAACAACAAGACTGTTCCATCGATCGACGGACTCCAACGAGGAAGCTAGTGACTGAGTGAATCCATTTGAATCCACTTGAAAAACCCAATCATCTCCTCGTGGGGCCACTTAGCCTTTCACACTTGCGCCCAACCCACTCGCATTATTGGAATTGTTCCCGACGCTGATGCTCCTGCAGGACCCCTGTTCCACCTTGGGGTGCATTTTTAATCTCTCGCTGTTCCAAACCTTCCATGGCCCTTCGTGACCCTCTCCACTGGGAGTCGTTGCTCACTTGCCTCGGGGTCGCCTAACTCTTCTCAATGGCCGCTGCCCACGGCCCATCTCGATAGCGTCTGTAAGGACTCCACCACGGACGGGACCATCTTCAACCAGTCATCGTGGCCCTCGGCCCTCCCTTCAGCCGCGACCATTCATCTGCTGGCCTTGTTCCATGGGCTCGCCAACAGCGCGTGGGGGACACCCACGAGGTGCCCCAATTATGCAAGGAATCCCGAAGTCCTCCACGCCCGATGAAGGCGCCTGCAGTAGCCGTTTTACAGTAGTTGCAGATATTGCCCCAAGGAATCAGGCCCCATCCATCGAATTTCCTCTTTCCGATCTGACCACCTTTTTTAGGGCGGTTTTTTTTGGCGTCTTTGCTCTTCCCCCTTCCCCACCGAGCAAAGCCGGAACAATGGGATTGCTAGCTCTCCCCATGTGACAAATCACTCGACTGGAATTTTGGGCTCGGTCATTCTTCTCTGCGGTGTCGATCGATAGAATACATACTCCATTGTCTCCATTGGTAAGTCCAATCACTGACGAGGCCGCCTGTCCGCTGGGGAATTTCCACTGTTCGGTTTTCGGGGAGAACGCCCCCCCACAGCGAATGAAAATCTCCGAACCGTCCAACGACTGACCGGTGGCGTGCTCTGATAGCTATGACCATTTTCAGGAACAGTACTAGAATTTGTACTCCGTACTCCGCGCACTATTCATACACGCTGTCTATTTTCGGCCGCAAACTCCGTGCTAGAGATATGATATGAGTTGCCCATGTTCTCCGTTCAAGGAGCGGTCAGCACCCCTGGCCAGAAACGTGTAGATCCCGATTTTATGTACGAAGGACGGAGTTCGCTATCTAGGTATGCACATGTGTGCCTCGCATCATTTTCTATTCTTCTGGGTAGCTTTGCAGTCCCACGATCGACAGACCAGCGGGTCTCCTGGCGGTCCCTCGTGGCCCGTTTACTCCGCAACCTAGAGGTTGGCGTGGAGTAGACTAGCTTCTAGTCGGTCGGTGATGCGCGCCGTAAGCGGGAATAGGGTTTTCCAATTCCTGGAAACACGTACACTCGGTGGCCATACCGTGGTTATTCACAGAGAACGCACGACTTCAAAATGGATATACTCCGTAGTACTACTAGTACACGAGGTACTATGCGGCATCCGAAGCCATCGTGTCTGGAATGCACGAGCGACAGACATACTTTCGAGGTACGAAGTCTGCAGGCGTGCGATATATCAGATCTCATCACAATGCATTTATGTACTATTGACCCCCCCGAGTCTGCCAATTCGTCACCCCGCTCTTGTCAGCCTTAGAAAGCTTTGGTTGATTCACATTGCAGCTCGAGCAATTGACAATGTGACATATTACGTAGCAAAGGCATAATCACGACGAAGGTCATGACCATATATGTAGCTATCCGTGAGGCAGTTTAAACCCGACTCCGTCGCACGATCGCGAATCCCCCCCCGGCTGCTGACAAGGAAGCGAGGGGAAAGAAAGGAGATGAGGGGGAAAGTGATCGTCCATAAAAGCCTGGTTCTGTTGAAGTTTCCACCGGCAATTCCCGCCCTGGCGAGGAACCTCAAGTGCCAGTGGTCCACTCTTTGCTCGCTGTCATAAACTTGCCTGCCAATTCCTGAGGGCCCCACCAGCCAAGATTGCATAGACCTCGACGCGAAGTCCTTCAACCCTCTCCACTGAGAAAGGAGATAGCAAGAGGGGGGGTTCACCATGCAGACTTTTACACTGGGACCAAAGAAAGTTCAGTGAGTGCATGGTACGTGCGTCAAAGTCCATGTGCTGTATAAACCCTGAACAGGAAGACAGTTCATATGTATGCACACCGCATTGTAGACACAGACACTCCGTTCATAGCACAGAGCGAGAACCTCGAGCAAAAGCACCGCCCGTGTACGGAGAACATGTCTGTGCAGTCCTACGCCGTTACGATCGACACCGGCTAAACGGGGACTGGAGCCAACCTCTTCGTCCTACTTGACCTGTCACTCTGCAGCGCATTCAACTTGTCTCTGGAGTCGCACGATGGCCCTGCATGTGTGCTATTACAGGGGGAAGTCATGATCACAATCTTCATCGTCTGGTCTGACACCGATCATTTGGCTTACCTGCTGTGTCAGAGGAAATTCGCTCCAAAGCTAACGTGCTGTGTGGACCTTCTGGATATCTCGAGAGCAATAATCGATGGTGTGGGTACCCAGGTGGCGAGGTTCTCTTATTGCGCAGATGGGCTCCCCCCATAACAATCTTCCTCTAGACTATTAGGTTCTATGTGCCGAGTCTTAGACTTCTTAGAAACAAAACGATGCCATCCTTCTCCTCTCATAAAGACTTCTTCGAGTACTTGCATAGAGCCTCGGAAGGGAGCTGATACTTGTAAAAACATAAGGTAAATAGTAAAGATTCTATTGATAAAAGGAAGGAGACAAAAATAAAATAAAAAGAATATAAAGAGGAATTACAGTTTGAAATAGACGATACCGCGCGTTAGGTCTCTCTGATACAAAAGCTATTGACACCATAAATCTTGAGCTAATGGGGGGGGGGGGAAGTCGGATAGCGAAAGCTTAGAGAGAGAAGGCGCGGGCGGAGAAAAAAAAAAGGTGAGCATAATAAAAGAGGAATAGCAAACAGGAGCACGCAAGGGTAGTATGAGGTGGTGATGATATAACGCAAATAGTGGACAGAAGAAGGCGCCGTGCAACCGCTTGCACAGCCTATGCAGTTGAGATCTGCCATTTCGTGGCTCTTGCTCCACACTTCATTTTACTTGCTCTGATGACCAGCCGGTTTCTACGTACATCGGCCTAGAGAACTGGATACTAGTACCCCTTTTGGGTGTTTTACAGGGACGGAGTATCGACTGGAGTGCCTACACGAGAACAACCTTCGAACAAGCAGTGAGGGTACTACTAGTACCGTAAACCATTCATAGTTTATACTAGTATATCATCTCCGCCCTTGATGATGATAGCCCCGTCAAATCAAGCAACAACATGCATACCCCAAAAATCAAATGAGGCAGATGCCGTCCCTCAATCGTCAAAGCCCCCCTGAGTCCATCCTTGCCAGCTCTGGAAGGGCCATAAGGAAATCTCCGAAGCCCCTCCCTCTGCAGCGACCCACTCGCCAATTCCTATGTATTTTTCCCATTTGACGGATCTGGATCCCCAAATGTCCGGGGTCTTTTCTTCAAGGGGCCCGTCAAGCCCGAGTCAGAGGTCCATGCCATTGGGACTGGTACATACAGTATCTTCACTTCATTGCACCCAGTCGGGTGGCTTTAAGGCTGGCTGTGGAGAGCGGGGGGAAACCTGAAACGGCCGATCCTGGCTGTCTCTTCCATTTTGGGTATGATGCTCAAGACCGTTGGCCGTTTGGCTTTTGCTCTATCGACGTTGGCGTTTTGCGAGGTTCTAGACCGTTGCTTGAGGGCCGCTTCTTTTGCATGTGCGTACTGCCTGTCGGAGGTTGGTTTTCCTCGTGCTATGTTTTTAATTCCTGTCTACTAGTTTGGTTGGCGTTTGGATCTGGGGGGGACGATTTGTTTCATAGTTGTCGCAGAGTCTTGCTTTCAGTCTCGGACTGCGTAAGCCTTGCAATTACGAGGTAGATCGGCATTGGATGTTTAGCGGTCATTGCCTGACCTTGAGAAGATATTGTCTTTCACAGGAGGTAAATTTTTTTCAGACTATTGGATGGACCTACCTAGGTAGTCAATCGTTTCCGGCGCCCAGGTGTCGAATGCTGGAAGTAGGAGTGTTGAGATAGACTATATCTTCAGCCTTGGTACCAATACCACTGGAAGTACCCAGCACCCTGGAGCAATCCACCCATGGATTCATCACCTGCCCAGGTGAGTATAATACTAGTTAGTACCAGCATTATCGGGACTAGATACTGTATACTACCTAGTACTGGTAGGAACTATAGTAGGTGTTCACCTCATTTGTCGTAATAAATCAAGATGCATCCTTGGGCAGCAGCAAGTGATCCCAGCTCGAACAAGCCTTAGCAAACAGTATCAAAACGTCAAGCATGATGTAGTTTAAATCCAGCGCCAGACGAGAACCTTGGAACTCCTACGCTATGAAATTCTACCGGCAGATAGAATAGAAGATGAAGATAAAGAACCATGTGAATTTAATGCTAACTAGGACAAATAACTTGTCTGCCGAGCTGACCGAATACTTTTCCTTGGGTTGAACCATCTGATATCATTTGTCTGTTATATCAGACGAAAATGAATCGCTATTTTGTTATTGTCGTGACATCGTGAATTGATTTTGAATTTGGTTGTGATGTGCTCAGCTGCTGTGAGCATCATTTGTTGTTTTATTCATTGGTACTTATTCGACCGTAATTGCCGTTGATGCAGGCAAGTCCTGCGTTCCCAGAGCATGGGCAACGCCACCAGCAAGGAAACTCAATTCATCTGGGCTGATGTCGACACGACCACTTGCCAACCTGTTGAGGAGCAGGTGCTCGATCTTGTCGAGAAGGAGATGGGCGCTCGCAGATTTGCCCGAGGAATCGGAATCTGTCGACTGGTCGCATAGATCTTCATTGCGCAGGGCAACTAGGCGATCAAGCTCATCCACTGCGAGGAGGTTGCGAAAAATGCCGATGACGTGAGTGACGATTGAATCGAGATACATGCACGGGGGATCGTCGGGGTGCATGGGCTCTGTTTCGTGGCCCAGACGAATGCTGTCGACATGAAGGCGAAGATAGCTCTTGTATTTGTGATCGGCAATCCCATGGATACCGTTGATCAACGCGACGAAGAGATTGCGATCCAAGTCAACACCGTCGAGAGTGTATTCTTCAGGATGATGAGTGCAATTTTGAACGAATTCTCTATCATCGCAGAGGTCATCTGACATATCGTCCGCATCGGACTGAACCAAGGAGCCCTGGGAGCCGCCTGACTGCAGGGAAAGAAGCATCATTTCATGGACAGTCATTTGGGAATCCGAGCCTTCCTCTTCATCCTCGGTGTATTCTGGGGTATCGATGTACTGGACAGATGGGCTGAAATGAACAGCTGCCTCAAATCCGATGAAAGAAACGTCAAATGAATCGGTGTGGTCTTGACGGGTTTCAGGAACGTCTTGAGAAGTCTCTTCCCAGACAGAGAAATCAGACATATCGTCATCCTCGTCTTCATCACTCTCGCCTTCAGAGAGAGCATCGTATTCGGATTCCATGTCATCTGACCCATAGCCGGATTCTGACTCCGACTCCGAATCGGTGTCACATTGCTCATCGGAGCGCGAGTTCTTGAGGATTGACTTCAAGAATGGCGGAAGGTTAGGGCGCTCCGGTTTGATGGTGTAGGTTGAAGCGGTTGGCTGCAACGGTGCAGCGTTATTGGACGAGACCGATACTTCATCGGACCCATAGCAGCTGTCCTGCGAAAATGAAACCTCGAGGTTTGCGAACGTGGATGAAAGTGAGTCCCATGACTCCCGGTTGATGGTAGAAGTGGCCATGTTGGCGAGCTTGAAAAGTTGATTGTTGAGTTTTGACACACCACGATGCTCCTGTATGGGCTGCAAGGAGGAATACTTTTATATGCTCGTGGTGAGCACAAGGGAGTTGGTGTGAATGGTTTATTCAAAAATGGTGGTTATTGAAATGGCGTCGGAAGCCTTCAGAACATGGAGAGAGATCCATGGTATGAAAACACAAGAGAAATCTTGCGATCCTTTAAGGACACTTGACGGGGACGAGCCCAGCCAGAATGATAAAGGAATACATTTCGTTTGTGTCTTGTAAAAATTTGAAGGTGGGTTTTCGGGCGCTTTGTTGCTTAGAGGAGTCGGTAGAGAAGTCAAGGGGTAGGATGGTTGATCGGTATTTTTGTACTGGAATGGATAGTGGTAGATCACTCAGTACCAAATTCTCGACGCTTTTCGTGAAAGTTGGGAGGTTTGGTGTTTGGTGAGACGAGTGGCGATGCTGATGGCCGAGAGGCGTCGGGGGTGCGATGGTGGGTTTCGCGACGCGATGAAAACGGCGGAATGTCAGAGGGCCCACGAGTGTAGGCGTGGGCGGGTCACAGGAGAGCGCGATCGCAACCCAACTAACGATGGGCGAGACGGAGGGGATGAGGAGAAGAGGAGAAGAGGGAGAAAATTGGGGTTGAGCCGGAAGTGCCCACGTTCCGCGGGGTGCTGAAGAGGGGTTCCGAGTTGAGTCACACTTCGGTAACTGGGGCGGATGGGGAGGGAAATAGCCAGCAAAGTAGGCAGCCGGACTAACAAGGATGGGATATTGAGTTGAAAGGATGTGGAACAAGGGAGAAAAGAGAAAGGGAAAGGAAAAGGAAAAGGAAAAAGCAAGTGCTAATAATAGGGAAAGCCTTGAAGCACCTGATGGTTCCAAATCAACCAAAGCAAGGCCTTTCATTCACTCGCCTGACCTCATCCTGACTCAGCCGCTTCCCGTCGCTTCCCTTCGCATTTGCCGAGACGTCTTACGGAGTACGGAGTATTCCATACAGAAGACACTAGAATCTAGATTATGCACCTGACAACTAGCGTCTTCTGGACCTACGGAATATTTATACATCACATTCGGGCATCGATCATGAATACTTCCTATTCCGCTCTGAATGATGGCCACATCACGTGAACGAGATATCACCCGAGCAGAACTGCATGGGGCGCCTAATGTGTTTGTAGGCCTCACGATACGTGGACTAATGCCATCTTACGGATAAACTTGGAACAATTTGATTTCAAGAATCTTCAGCCAACCCTGGCTTCTTGGGAAATTACAATTGACCAGTGCCACCATGCACTTCCCTCCTCTAAGGCTATAGATGCATTTCCAAATCATGCATCCAAGATGGGCCTGATTTTGGGCGGTTTTGGGTCGTGAAGTAAGCTGTACTTCCAAGCCCTATGAATAGTGCCTCGTTATCTGCCTTTGCCGCAAATGTGTTGTACCCCGAAATACACCCTTGATGACCCGTTCCTACACTTGATAATGTTCACCGTTCCTGGCCTAGCCAAACAAGGACCTCGGGATCTTGACCAACTGATAGAACACCGTCATGGCTATATCCAGCTGCTACTACTTGGCATAACAACAACTGGGCATGCGCCACTCGAGCTTACTCTCATCGGTACATAGGACGCATTTGGCCAATGGTACCTTTTTGACTAAGAAAGGAACAGCGAATGAGAATCATGCCACCTCTTTGAAACGTCTCCATAACTGGCCAATCCTCTCACAATTCAACGGGAGATATCGTGAAGCACGACTGAGAAGCGTGGCTTCGTCTATGCTTCGATGCATTCGATTTAGAGCCAGAATCTCCGCAATGTGGATAATAATAGAACGGTAGGAGTTCGAGAAGCTCCAACGGTGCTGCTGGCCGGCGATCTTCTACGGCCCGGGGCTATCTTTCTTTCGTGCTATCCCTCATTGAGGAGGTTTGTCGGCCGATCTGATTTCTCGAATGCCAGAGACCCTTCTGTGCATTGTCGGAAGGGGCGGGAGTAGCATTCCGCGATACCTCTGGCATTCTCGACCCACATTCCAGTCCTCCGACACTCGAACATTGGATATGCACTTGCAACAACTCCACTATGAGAGCTACAATTGGCCTATGAGAGGAAAGAAAGGGGAGGAAAAAAAGACGGCCAAGCTGTGGTGGATCCTACCTTCCATCAGGCTAACCTAAGGATAATCGTGATGACTTGATATCGAGGGTCATGACGCCTACACTACAGTTCAGCCTGGCAGGTGATAGATGTTCAACCAGTGAGATGGGGCGCAACTTAGGCTCGGAGATCTTTTTTACGGCTCGATGGCCGTTCCGACCCAAACCCAGAACCCTCCCCCGATGCCCATTGGGGTTATGCCGATCTCACTGTATGTACAGTGTTGATTTGGCATGTTGGCTCTCTCTCCCACACTCCCCGCCACACTGACTTATTCAGAGATACGATGCTTCGGGAATAGTGCGGGAAGGTTGCATTATCTACGGTGGCTGTCAATTGTGAAGCTTGCTACGGTGGATACACTTCAGCGGATCTATCAACCTTCAGACTTCCTGTCTGTCTGATTGGCTTGATGCTGAGCAAATGGCCTTGAATCATTCCTTTGGAGGGGGGTGGAGTCTTCAAGCAGCCAACCGGGTTGTTCCTCGCACATTCCTCGAGCATCTGGGGATCTGCTTGGAATGTATGTAGAAAATCTGAGGCTGGAGCTGTCCAAGGTCATTCAAATAGTCGCCTTGATCTGTTTGTTTGCTTTGCTTTCTTTGCATACTCTGCAGTGTTTTCTTTGATTGACAAACTATCAAACATCTCTCTCCCCCTTTCCCAAACATTTGCATCCTTTTGGCATATTTGCATCCACTGCAAACTGTACCCCCACAAGTCTTCAAAGACTTTCTTTATCCTTTGGTCACCAATCACAGTGCACTATCGGCTCTCCGGGTGTTCGACCTTTGACTCAACCACAACCACTTCGCCGCAAACGGAAAACAAAGCAAGATGTTCGCCCAACCATTCGATCATTCCTGCAATGATTTATTCAACCAATACGTCAATATGGATCCCTCCGGTCCCGATAGCAACAAAGACCTATCGTTGTCCAGCGATCTTGACCAGCTCTTTCCCCTAGACTCATTCTCGGACTGTGGCGATCACTCCCCCACCGACTCCACTTCTAAACGCCATCGTCAATCACCGCAACCTTGGACTCAGGATTGGTCCCTGCAAGACGACGGAGTTTCTCTTGACCAATTTGCTTTTCAAGACACTGTTCACCCTTCTGCTATCTCCGAATTTACCTTGAACAATTTCGAGGTTTCCTCCCGCCGCCCAACAGGACCTACCGGAATTTCATCTAACTCGCCATCCACCCCGCCAGCTACTCCTCGGCGTAAGACGAACAAGAGCGCTCTCATTACTCCCAAGTCTATTCGCCATCGTGACCCAAATGAGCGCCGGTCACTCCTGCGAAAGCAATCCTTCTCTCCTAGCATGATGCGCTCTTCGGTTCAAAAAGGAAGAATCGCTTACCCCGACGCCTGGGCTCAAAAGATTCAGAACTTCGATTTCACTGGCGCAGACGAGCGTCTTCCATTGTCTCCTCCGCCCTCGGACGTCATCGTCAAGCACGAAAATATGACCGCCGAAACCATGCACCAGGGCTTGCCAGAAATGCCCGGCCAATATGACTCCCGCCTCTTCCACCCTTCTCCTGCTGTATCAATGCCCTCTCCCTCTGTCACTGCATTTGCACGACACCAGCAACAATACATGAACCACCCCGGTTCCTCGGCCTTGACAAATTCCAGTCCTCCCTCCGCAGATGATATCTTCTCTTCATCGCATTCATCCGATCCTCAATCCATTTCCTCGTGGCAGTCGGATGCCCTTGGAACTTCTTCTCTCTCTTTCACACCTGATCTACAAGCCCAGGATGCCTCTTGGTGGTCTCCTATGCCCTCCAGAGTCGCTCAGCAGCAGCAGACTCCTTACCAGTCTATGGTCGCATCCCCTGCACCTCAGCGCTCCATGCAAAGCGTCGGCAGTCAAAATGACATGATGCAGGGTGGTTTGATGATCCAGCTCGATCCGTCATTTGACATCTCCGGCGATTCTTCCTTCTCCTCCAATGTGGCCTCAAATTCTCAGAAATTCGTTACTCCCTTCGCCCCTCAACAAGTCCACACCTCCCGTTCCCCGTCTCTCTCCCCGCGGGCCGATACATCACCAAAGAACAAGGGACACCGTCGCACACACAGTCGGAAGCTTTCAGGCCAGAGCATGAATGGCCCTAAGACGGCAAAGTCCTCCACCAGCCCCCGTGGGGCAAACAAATCTGTGAACGTCTCATTCGTGAACTTCACAGCTAATGATAGCCACCGAATCCTCGGTGGCGTCGCACCTTCTGGCAGCTCTAAGACAAAAGCTCGCCGGGAGCAAGAAGCCAAGGACCGACGACGCAAACTGAGTGAGGCGGCTCTTCGCGCCGTGCGCAATGCCGGCGGCGATGTTGATGCTTTGGAAGCTGTATTATGCTGAAGCACATCAGATTTTGATGCTTGTTTTAATTTTTGCGTGTGATTAATTTGACGTTACAGCCGGTGTTTTTGTTTGTTATAACTATATCATGGGGAATATCTGGATTGGTCGTTCTGGCGCTTTGATTTCTTGCTTTTCTATCTTTGGTTTCGGTTCTCCCTCCCCCAAAATTCTGTATACTTTTAATGTCTAGACATATATCTACCAATGTCTAATATCATCACATCTTCTGTGAATTTCATATCCTCTCGCTCATCGTAGCTTTGTGATCTCCAATTAGCCATGCTTCCCGGTATACATAGCGTGCCGTAGTCACGCTAACGCCCGCAGATCTGCAGATCTGCAGATCCCGGGGCCGCCGTTTGTGCCAAGCACGTAAAACACGTGATATATTCACTTTAATTTAGAACGTCCTCTCTAAGAAAACCTTCTCTTTCCTCTCTCAACTCCATCTACACCGTGATCTGTAATTATGCCTCAAGCTCCAGTGTCCAGTTTAATGTTTACGCCCTTCTTTGACTGCTTTCTATACCCTTCTAAGATTCCTTTGAACTGATATCCTCTAGGGCTGGTCATCAACCTGCGAGTCCTCTTTCACAACAGCTGAATATTCGTTTTGAACAATTTTATTCTCATCATGAATATCTTCTAGCAGATGATTCTCTGGAACAATCCGTCTTACTCTCAAGACATTCCCGCACCGGGACTGCCTATGTCGACCACATACCAATTCTTTTTTTCTGCAATCAATCAGTCAATCAATCAATATCATAGTTCCTACGCTTTTTCTGTGTTTGCGATATTATTTAACCATAATATATCTGCCGGGTGTTCTCCTGGCATAATGTTGTGGCTCAAGTGGTATTTCGGCAGGCTGTAGCTAGTGACGATCTTTGCGACTTTGCAACTTTGCGACCTTACGATTTTACAACTTGGCAGTCTCCAAGGCTTACGACATTACGGCCATACAAGCATACGACCCCACGATCGCGACCTCATTCGCTCCCATTACTAGTTCACCCTCAGGCAAGATTTCGACTATTTAAGCCGGTCTTCACTGAATTCAATCTTCCCTTTCGATTCTCCCCCATCACCATAATTTTCTTATGCTGGTCATGACTTACCCATACGACAACGCTATGTGAGTGTACCTACACCTTTCCCTATTGCTGACTCCCTCTTCTTTGCACTCCCACAATCTCAATTGTCCCATTTGATGCACCTCACTTCCATCGTCAATCTCATCTCTTATCATGCGCGCTCGATCAGCTTCAGTCTGATATCCCATACGTTCACCTGCACGACAATCGTGCAATTGGTCAGTGCCCCCTCACATTTTGCCCTTTGTTTGCTTTATTTCTTGTTATTCCATGTCACCGAAGCTTCACTTTCATCTTGATATCTCCCTCCAGCACTTTCATTTCTGGGAATTATCATTCATCTTGTGCATCTTTGAACCGGGGATCCGAATCTATTGGAGCCCTCGTTCACTGAGTGTCCGTACAAGTTGCTCCCGGTGTTTTTTCCCGCTATAATTCACCTGCCCATACCCGAAAGCCTCGGTATCGCGACTCCTGGTCGTATCTTTCTTTTTTGATTCCAATTGCTAAAATATCCTCAGCGACAATCTCCCCGGAATATCCTTCTTGCCAAAGCCAACTTTTGTGCAAGGCGGATTCACTCAATCAGTTTTCCCGTCCTTCGACGAGATTCTCGATCATAGAGAGCCGTTCGAAACCCCGCACTCTCTCCCCTTTCCAAACCCATCTCTTCTCACGCCACTCTCAAACTCTTATTTCCGAAACCCTATCTCTCTCTTTCAATCAACACACTCACAGCAAGAATATCAAAGGGAAAATGTCTTCTCGTGATTCCAACCGCGGTCGTGGAGATGCACGAGGCGGACGACGTGACTCTGTGACTGGCTCCCGACCCTCGACCCCTACCCGAGAAGGTTCACGCCCTATCACACCCACCGGCGCTGGTGAAGCTCCTCCACGATCTCGCAGTCCCCAGAGATCCCGGAGTCCCGAAAGAAGCGGACGAGGCGGAAGTGCGAGAGGACAATCGTCAGGCCCTCCTCGAGGTGGCCCTCAACAGCGTGGCGGCCCTCAGCAGCGTGGTGGCTCTCATCAGCCGCGTGGTGGCTCTGCAGGTTCTCTTCAGGAATACCACAGTGCCCCGACTGTCAAAGCGGACAGACAGTAAGTTCAATGGTCTCTTTTACATAAAAAATCACTAACCGGTTCACTTAGGGTAATGTTCACTACTTCACTTCCCGACAAGCAGGTGGCGGACTTCGAGAAAAAGTCCTTGGAATCCAAGAAAAACATCAAGCAAAAGCCCCAGCGAGACTTTCGGGATAGCAAGACCCGGTCAGAGAAACCACTGGTTCACTTTGAATTGAGCCGCCGTCCCGGTTATGGCACCAAAGGGAAACCAGCCAACGTCCGGGCAAACTTTTTCTCCATGAGCTTCAAGCCGGATGCCAAGTTCTACGCGTACACTGTGAAGATCGTTCCAGAGCCGAAACAGAAGCGTCACATCCGACAGATCTTCGCGCAACTCGTGCTGCAATGTGATCACATAAAAGGCTGCCTGCCTGCGACAGACGAGGCTCAGTGGATTGTGACTTGCAAGCCGCTTCCTTTCGAAGAGACATTCGCCAGATGTGACCCTGACGAGGACAAGAAGTGGGGTAACACTTACACTGTTATGTTCTCTCTGCAAGACGAGACCCCCATTCCCTTGAAGGGGTTGCTCGACGGACTTGCGAACCCCGACATCCATGAAAAAGTCTCAGACGAGGACTACGTGGTTCAGCTCCTGAACATTTTCATGACGAGCGCTGCTTATGGCGACCCGGGTGTGACAAACGTTGGCAAAGGTCGACTCAAATTTTTCTACACTGATCACCGTCAAGAAAGCATGAACCTCACCGGAGGACTTGAAGTTCTCCGTGGCATCATTTCAAGTGTTCGCCCTGCTGGAAAACAAATTTTGCTGAACCTCAATGTCAGCAATAGTGCGTTTTATCAGCCTATGAACTTGGGCAACTACATTGATGAGGTTCTTCGAGGAAACTTCAATGACCGCGAAATCCTGAATCGCTACCTACGCACCGTCAAGATTGAACTCAGACATTTGCCCAAGATCTTCGACGATCAATTCAACCGGATTTACCGCACGGGTTCTGTTTGGGGAGTAGCCAGCAAGGAGGATGAGACGAGGCACAAGTCCTTCAAGGGTTCCAAGCCCCCCCCAAGTCAAGTGCTATGGCGCTGGTCCGGACGAAGTGAGGTTCTGGTACATCAAGGAAGGACAATCTGAGGGCCGGTGGGTGACCGTCACAGAGTTTTACAAAGAAAGTGAGTTGAGTCAGACACTATAGCAGAAAGTTCCAGGCTAACCCGTTCTTTACAGAATACAAGATCGTGCTGAAGGACAGGAATAGACCGGTGGTCAATATTGGCAACTTCGAGAAGGCCACCTACATTCCTGCCGAACTCGCCTGGATCAAGCAAGGACATGTCTTCAACGGCGAGCTGACTACTGCGCAACGACAGAATATCATCAAGTTCAGCTGTCGACAACCACCGGACAACTTTGAGACCATCAGAACTCTCGGCCGTGTTATTATGGGAATGAACGATAACCACTTCCGCGACAGACAAATCAAATTCTCCGATGAGATGCTTGTCGTTCCTGCAAGAGTACTCGATGCTCCATCGCTGAAGTATGGAACTCGTACGGAAAAGCCTCAGAGAGGTTCCTGGAATCTTGTGGGGAAGCAGTTTTCTGCAGGTGCCACTATCGAGACCTGGGCTGTATTGTGGATTAAGACCGTTGGCACCAGAACTCCACCCGATCAGGTCCAGAACGCCGTGGAATCCTTCCGGAAAAAGATGGCCGAAATGGGCATGCGAGTTTCACAGCGCCCCAGTCTCGAGTCCGTTGATCTCAAGGGTCCCATGAAAGAGCAGTGCGAAGCACTCCAGGGAGTACTCAGGAAGTTGGCGGAGAAGAAGCCTCACCTCCTGTTGGTTGTGCTTCCCACAGGGCAAGACCGGATTTTCCGGTTCGTCAAATGGGCCACTGATTGCAAACTGGGCATTCCGAATCACTGTGTCCTCGTCGAGAAGTTTTCGAAGGGCAACCCTCAGTACATGGCAAACAATGCGTTGAAGGTTAACCAGAAGTTAGGTGGTGTCAACCACACCCTTGACACTCCGTCCTCTGGACTCCTGGCGCAGGGGAAAACTATGGTCGTTGGAATTGATGCTACCCATCCTTCTGCTACTGACTGTGAAGGCTTCCCGACAGTTGCTGCCATTGTTGCTAGCTCCGACGCTCGACTTGGCCAATGGGCAGGAGAATCCCGCATTCAGACTTCCAAGAAGGAGATTCTCGAGAACCTAGAGGAGATGATCCTCAATCGTCTTCGGCGCTGGCAAACTGTCAATAAAGCACTCCCTACAAGCATCCTCGTCTACCGTGATGGTGTGAGTGAAGGCCAATACCAAGAAGTGATCGGCGAAGAGATGAGAGCGCTTCGCTCCGCCATCAAGAAACTCTACCAGGGCTCCTCGCCGAAAATCACCTTCATCGTGGTTACCAAGCGTCATCATGTCCGCTTCTACCCCACCAACCCCGACGGCTGTGATGACAAGAACAACTGCAAGAATGGCACCATTATTGATCGAGGCATAACGCGTCCCTGGTACTACGACTTTTATCTCCAGGCACAGGCTCCTCTCCAAGGTTCGGCGCGCCCTGCTCATTACATTGTACTTCACGACGAGATCTTCTCTCAGAATCCGAAAACTGCGGCCGATGATCTACAGCAGCTCACCCACAACATCTGCTACATGATGGCTCGCTGCACCCGCTCTGTCAGCTACGGAACCCCGGCTTTCCTCGCTGATCGTTACTGTGACCGTGCTCGAAAGCACGTTGTTGCTTGCTACGAATGGAAGGAGGCGCAAAACCCCACCACTAAACGAGTTAACCTCCGACCTTCCCAGCCCGAAGTTGCGATTCACCCTCGTCTTCTAGAGACTATGGTTTACATTTGAGATATTCACTCATTCGGTTGATTCCGCTCGGGCGTTTATGGAGTGAAGAAGGTTATGTTATTGCCTTTTTCTTATTTCATGTTCTTGCAGCGGAGGTGGGATGAAGCAAAAGAAGAAAAAGGAAAAGAAGAAGAAAAAAAACAGACGAAAAAAAGGCCGTGGTGACTCCCCTTTTGATTTTATGATTTAATGATTCATGATTCTAGGTCCGCGGGTTCTGGCTTGTTTTTCCTTTTCAAAAATAAAATACAAAAAAGGGCCTTCGGGCTATTCAAACAACTTCTTTACTTTTCTCGTAGGAAAACTGTGGTACGATTGACAACGTACCCAAGTATGACTCTCCAATATTAATTTCCAATTTGAAATTTGTAGAATCGAAGTTTCTAGAAGAGTACTAGTAAATCTAATTGAGATTGAGGTTGAGGAATGGATAGTTCATCGAACATGTGTAGAGTAATATTGTACAAGAGCTAGTTTACCAGAAGCTGACTCCGCCTGAATAAATAGAGGAGATGGTGATTTGGTGGCCAATCAAATCAGCCAAGTTCGGTGGCCAGACACACTGATCTCCAGAGGAATGGAAGATTATCATAATGAATCGATGCCGAATCGGAATGAGGTCGCAAATTATGCGCGTTGGAAAAATAAACCTCGTCGTCAATGTCCTTATCGTGCAGTTCACTCGGGAATGGCGGGAGAGATTGACTGTTGTACTTGATCGCAATTTGGTATTGTCGCCCCTGGGAATGTATCCGAGTCAAAAGAATTGTGTCCCAGGCTGTCCGAATTCATATTTCATCGCTTAGAATTTGGCGACCAGTCGGATGGCTGCCAGCTGTCGCCGGGGTTGCTACGGTCTGCCTGGGCCCATGGGTTCGCTGCCTTTTGAGGCGTCGGTTGAGGGATCGACTCGGGCGACTCGGGCTGTGAAGGCGTGGCATCTTGTGTGGAAAGGGGGAGATTTTGAGATCTTAAGCTCCCAGAGACGTCGCCAACTGAAGGGATGGGGTTCTGGGTTTGAGGCTTATCGAGATAGGACGGTTTACTGGCCCAGCGTTCATCGGCGAGTCGGGCGAGTTGCTTGATTTGGAGTTGTCGAGCAACGTCTTGTTGCTGCTCTTCGACGGTTGGGGCATGTTCGCGTACATATCGGAGCCATTGATGCCATTGTGCTATTCGCGTATGAAGTTGTCAGCGACATTGTCTTGTTCAAGAACCTGCGGAGATCAAAAGTCCGGCGAGACGAATCGAATCGCCCGGGATAGGGCTTCTCCCTCCACCTGCATAACACTCACGGGTAACTTGCACCTCGCTGAGATGAATATTGGGGTCCGGCTTCAGCATTCTTCGCCAACGATTGGCATTTGGGTCGTCTCTATACTCCCAGAAAGTATTTCCGGCGAGATCCACGCCTGAGTGGCAAGAGTCAGTACAACCGGGGGGATATCCGACAAGAGGCTCGCAGAGATGACTTTACCGGCAAGGCGGGACTTTCGCCAGGGGAGCTTAAGGCTCTTCCACTGGAACCAAAGACTATTGACCATGGTGGGATGGGGATGGAAGAAATGAGGCGCAGGGAGGTCGAAGCGGAGAAAAAAGTGGTTCGCGGATGAGCCAGAACGTCAGGAACGATAGGAACGTCATCGGATATAAACAGCCGCCATTCCATTCCACTCTCTCTCTTCCTCCACCTTCCCAACTTCCGTCTATTTTTCCCCCTTAACTCGCATATTTGCGGATTTTAGGAAATTACTGTCCTCCACTGGAACTCTTTGCCTTCTTCGACCGAGAAATTGTCTTGGTGCTTTTGCGCGCTCCTGGATACCCAACTCCCCACGGACTGGTGGCCGATTAGGCAGATTCGGCCAAAGGGATAGTGCCACGCAATCAGGGACCACTCTGGTTTTTTCCCTCTCGCTCTTGCAAATAACCCTTGATCGTACTACGATCACCAACCATTGATCATGGCTTCGGTTACCTCGCTGGACAAAGACTTGCGCAACATGCGACTATCCCGCTATACCCCGCAGGCAGCCGCGGAGGTACGTGACTGGATCGAAGAGGTTCTGCGTGAGAAGCTCCCTTCAAGCGATCTGTTAGAAGGCCTCAAGGATGGTGTGGCGCTTTGCAAGTGAGTCGTCCCATTGTTATTCCTCCTCTTTTTCTGTGCTCGGCGATGGCCGGCTAACCCCTTGACTACGAACCAGGCTAGTCAATTTGGCTGTATCACCGGGCGTGAAATATAAGCAGTCATCAATGCCATTCGTTCAAATGGAAAACATCTCACACTTCCTACGCGCATGTCAAATGGCACCGCTCAGCCTCCCCCCGCACGATGTCTTCCTCACTGTCGATCTCTACGAAGCAAAGGATCCCGCGCAGGTCCTCCAGTGTCTGGCCTCGTTCAGCCGCCGGGCTAATACTCTCCACCCAGGCATATTCCCGCGCTCGGTTGGCCCGCAAAGCAAACGTGGGGTGGTCAGCCCAAATGCGACTGGCTCCTCCAGCCAGGGGTCGTATACTCCACGGACCGGCCGTGCTTCCAGCAATGCCAGCGACGCCAATCCGAACAACCCCGGTCGAATGAGTCCTTCTAAGCCCTCCGGATCTTACAGCTCCTGGAGTAAGAAGAACGATCAGGGTTCCACAGCACCCGCTTGGAACATCCACCAGTATGGCTACTTGGGTGGAGCCAGCCAAGGCAATCAAGGCATTGCATTCGGGTCTCGACGACAGATCACTACCCCAAGCCCAGCTGTGCCAAGTTTAGCAGAAAAGGAAAAGTACAGGCGTGAGGAAGATGAGAGAATTCGTCAAGAAAATGCGAGACAGGAAGAGGAGCAACGAGCTCGCCAACGAGAGATCGAGGAACAGGAAGCACAGGCCAAGATTGAAGAAGAGCGCCGATGGAAGGAGCAGACTGAACGTTTGAGAGAAAAGGAACGCCAGGAAATGCAAGATGAGAAGAAACGGTGGGATGCGGAAAAGCGTCAGTGGGAGGAAGAAGAACAGCGAAGACTCGCGGAAGAGAAAGCAACCGAGGAGCGCCTCGAGCAAGACCGCCAGCGCCGGAAGAGCGCTACCGACGCTCGTCTCAATGGTCAATTCCTTAGTCAATATCAAGCGGGCCAGCCTGGTGCAGAGCCGGCTGTCGAAGAAACACCCGAGAGCCGACGCATCAAGGAACTCGAACGCGAACTTGAGCAAGCCAAAGAAAGAGAGCGTCAGTATGAAACTGACCGATCAGGACTCCAAGTCGAGAAGAGTGGCAATGAATCTCGATCTCGGAGCCAGAGCCGTCAACGTCCCGTACCAGTACCTCCCAAGCCAAGTTACGACCTCTCTTCTCTTGAACAGGAACGCCGTATGCTGCGTACGGAGTGGCAGAGCACACAAGAAATGCCAGCTGCACAAGAGCAACAAGAGGAGGCTGAAGAGCAGGCCCCGCCTCCACCTCGTCGGCCACTCCCACAGCCAGTGCCTTCATCCTCCCAGGCAGTGCCAACCCTGCCACCTAGAGACCTACCCGCTGCCCCTCGTCCTCTCCCAGACCCGGTAGCATATTCTGCGAACCGCGGTCGAGAGAGTCGTGTCGATCGCTTCCTCTCCTCCAACCCAGCACCTCAGGTCGCTGCTCCATCCTCTCATAGACCTCAAGATTATACCACGACATCAGAAGTCGACGCAGAAAACAGCCGCCGTCTGGCCTCCCAGCAAAAGACCAAGGCAGGCGGATGGGCGTCGAAATCGCTGCTTGAGCGTGAAATGGAGCGCGAGCGCGAGCGCCAGCGTGAATGGGAAGAAAACCAAGAACATACCCAGGCTGCTGCGCGCGATAACACCATGGGCTCAGGGCCCGGTCAGACCTGGGACGTTCACCAATACGGATACCTGGGCGGCGACAATCAGAACCGCGGTGGTGTTGGATTGGGCGTTGGAGGTGCTCGTCGTCAAATCATCGGACCTCGGCCTCCCCCATAAATGTTCATCTGGTAGATGAAATACGCCCCTATTCAACCTAGGATGGTGACCATTTTTTTTCTCTCTCCATTCTTTTATCGTTGAGCTTGGCTCAGCGTCGATTTCCATTCTTTGCGTCGGCGACCCGGTGGTTTATTTCTTTTGTGTTGCTATGATTCCCTTTAGGAAGTTTTGTTTTTGCAGATGTTTCTATACTTTCCTCATACTTCAAGCCTATACTGCGGTTGTAGATAACATCCATTATAAAGTTGAATATCAATAATTGCAGCCATTTATAGAATGCAATCCTCAGTACTGCTAGTAGTAGTAGGAATCAGCGCCCCAGGACTGGCGAATCTCTCACCTATGAAATGACAAATTTTACTGCTGTTACTAAGACTATTAGCAGTAATATTGTATTCAATATTGCTATTTGTAAGGAGACTGGCAGGACACGGATGCCATGATCTACCCATGCATATATTAGAAGATGTATCATAAGTCGTTATCATAAGTATCATCCTCAGCCTCCCATCAGGGGATCGACTGCGCTCGTGACTGCAAAACTTCCACGACAAAAAGCAACCTATCGCCACTCTCGATCAACCAGGACATCTCAAGAGGCTTCTGGTCTTTCTTTGCTTGGCTCCGTCGTACCTCTAACTTTGCTCTTTCAACCCGATGACTCAGCCCAAGTAGGACGGCCTCCTGTAGCGAGGGACGGAATTCCAGTAGCCCGTTTCCAGCTAGGAGCAACATGAGTGCTTCGAGAATAATAGACATCTTAGCATTATCTACCACAGTATTATTTGCGGCCGCAAAGGGAAGATAGCACTTCTCCAGCATATCTTGATTTAGATACCTTTGGTCGGATTTCGGCGCAGCGCTCTCAAGCATACTGAACAGGAGAAGTTCGCATAGACTAGTCTGCTCCGCATCCGACCTTTTAGCAGATCCCTGGTTCTGTTCTTCGTCGGACGATAAATCTCTTTGCGATTTATCAGGTAGGCCGGGGAGAACATATGGACTGATGAAGGCTTGGAATATCGGCAAGGGCAGATGGCGAATATTCTCAATGATGTAGTGATCGAGAACGTCAATTGCCAAAAATTCCTTCGGAAGCAGCTCACACACTCTCGACAAAAGGCCAAGGAGTCTTTTGCGCAGATCAAGAGAGTCCAGACCGCCTAGAGGCGAAAGTCCAGCATCATCTTGCGCTGGGGTTTGACCGAGGCCTGTAATCTCATCGATGACCTTGTTCTCAAGGGGATCCTGTGCATTTCTTGTGCCTCGCCTTGTACGCTTTGATCGTCTGGTGCCTGTGCCCGAAGGGGACGTTGACTGCGAATTTGAATTGCTCTGTCCGAGCCCAGTAGTGGCTTCATCATCCGACTCATCCTGGGCTAAATAATCACCATACTCCTCCTTGTCGATGTTAACATCACGCTCTCTCTTCTTGGCCTTTTCAGCCTGTCGATCTGACTTGGTCGGCTTGAGTTCCTTGGGGAAAACTTGGCGGAATTCGTTGAGCGAATTCGTGCTGCCATCTGCGAAGATAGCCCTGACAACCCTGCGGTACTTGCCAGTCCCGGTGCCGGCCGAGATATATTGAAAGATCAAACTCTGTTTCAGAATCTTCAACGAGTCATCTTGGTATTGATCTAGATTCCCTCTTCTGTTCGGAGCGCGCTGCGGTATTGTTTCAGGGTCGAGTTGCCTTTCTTTGAATACACGCTCTCGTTCATTCCAGTCGTCTTGGAGTACATCACACATGAACTCCAGCCAAATCTGCCACCGCTCCCATCTTTCACGATAGAGCACGGAGCAGTTAAAGGTCCAGCCAACGGCATGCCAGAAATCCTCCGCACGAGACCATAAAGAATGTTCTTTGGCGAGCTTGAGGTTCAACGGCTTGTTATCATCATGTCCGCCGTTTTCGTTGTCGCCTTCTCCCACGTGAAATTTGCCCCCGGAGCGCAAGGCCTGGCCATGTGTAAAAGTAAACGCAATGTCGAGTTTCGCTTCTCGAGGACTGACGAGAGTACCGAGAAGTCGTAGGAGTCGGAGAGCGATATGCGCGACCTCTTTCTCCTCATCCGAAGACGCCCGAGTTGTCGTAGACGGGTGTACGAGGAAAGTGACTGCTATCGCGAGATGTGGAGGTAGCGGGACAGTGCATGCGGGCGCGGCATAACTACCAGATGCAAGGGCGTTGAAGAGAAGATTCAGTGCTTGGGTATCTATGATTGTTGCGCATTAGTTGCTGGATGGCGGGGTTGGAGGTGTTTCAGGGGGCATGACTGACATAATTTTTCTTCAAAGAAAATACCGATGTGTTGCACCAGCTCAAACACTAGAGGCTTTGGAGCACGGTACTCCAAGTCGCCCGACGGAGCCATCTCGTCTAGATGCGGAGACGACATGATGAGCAGCTGGTCGCGTCCGATCTTTTGGGCGCGTGCTTATCGATAAGGATTAGTAATATGGGGGCAGGCAAGTGGGATAGGATAGCCTCAAGGTGGATGAGATTGGGAGGTATTCGAGAAAATTCCGAGGGATCGCAAATTCGAGCTTGAAAATTGAGTGGCTATTTTGAGGCCTTGAAGATGGGTGGAAGAAGAATGAAGTCGATGAGCGTTGGAGGGCATTGAGAGAGAGAACAAACGAGCAAACGCTGGACTGGACTTGACCGTTCCTACCAACCGAAGAGTAGTGACTAGTTATTATGGGTCAACACTTTATGAGTTATTTTTGATTTATTTATTTATACGTATATATAAAAATTAATTTACGTAGTATATTCCTAGAGTTTGTGTTTATTTTCATGGGCTGTCTTTGCATATACCACTCGGAAAGCTACTAGTATGATGCAATGTCCCCGCATGGGCCGAGCCAAGAAGGATGACCTGCATCGTTCGGTTCATCCTGCAGGGCCCGATTAGCGGCACCGCCAGACGAACTCTACTACGCAAGGAACTAGTGGAGATGGAATTATAGAGAATAACATATGCACGGCTCTAAAGCTGAAAAATCTAGACAGGAACTGGAGTTAAAAGGAGAGACTCGCAGCTCAGGTGATTGTATTTGCCAAAAGAAAGGGAAAAGAAGAAGGTGGGATAAAAGGTTACGAGAACCAAAAACGGATCAAAACTCCGTGAAATCAACGCAATGCAAAAGCCTGTTTATGAGGCGACACAAAAAGGAAAGGAGGAGCTAGCTCGAAGGCCCCGAAGACGCCAATGTAGCAACAAGGGAAGGAAAAAGGACGTATGAAAGGACTATGACTCGTCAAAATCGGAGAACAGACCTATTCGCATCCGATGCGACTGGTGGATTGTTAGCGGGGGTCCATTGATGTTCCATGTCAGAGGGAATACATACAAAAGGCAGCTTGGGGATAACCACGGATAGCGTCGCCAGACAATTGATGGTGAAATAGGTCAAGTCGTAATGGGTGTAGTGGGTGCTGATGAGGAACAGGACAATCGGGACGCAGAGCAGGAACTTCTTGGTCGGAGTGTATTGATCGCCGTTGTCAATTTGCTCCCACATGTTGAGGTTATCGTAGGCGCCAGCGTTGAACTCGAACGGGATGCCCCGCACCCAATGAAACATGAGGAAGGAGCCAAACATATAACTGATGTTGGTTAGAGTCCATGAGGTTTCCTGCGAGACGCCCGGAATGATATCGTAGAAGATCTTCAGTGCTGCAATGCAGACAAAATGGATGGTCCAGGCTCCTGCTCGTAGAAATAGCGTTTGCGTCAGCTCTGATTGCTTCCATTTCCTTTGTCCACGGTGTCCGGAGTTGATGGGGATAATTTGGGGGAGAGGAGAGGAGGGTGAAGGACGCGAGCTTACCCTTCGCATTGACCCAGTTCGCATTGAGGTTTGGCAGTGCCGCCTGATCACTGGTATGTTCGATCGACTCGGGAGGTTCCTGGTAGATGAGACTGCTGGAGCGTCGCCGACGGCCCTGCTTTTGGGTGTTGGGCGACAGTCGCTGTGCGCTGTCCATTTCGGGGGCGAATGAGATGGTACGCGAGACCAGTAGGGAGGACTTGGGAGTATCGGACGCCAGCTTGACAGGAGTTGGTGGTCGAGGTGGGTGGTCGGGGGAAAAGGAGCGTGGGGATGATGAAGTGACCGCGTGGAGTCGGGCGGATCGGGCTTGTCGGGGGTCACGGGGGCAATCTCGTTTTTTTTTTTCCGCCGCAGCACTCCTACAATCAAGGTTGGGGCGACTTTGAGGAGAATGAGTGAGGGTTAGAAAGGGGCGAATTATGAAATACAATCACGATAGGTGGACGAAGCAAAAGCACGATGGGCTTGGAGACGGGGTTTGGTGTAAAGCACGTGCGCGCCACTGGCCGACCTTGCCATTCCCAGCATCGCCGTACAACTAATGGTTCCAATAGGGAGCTCCAGATCGCTTAGGAGACTGTGCCATTGTGTGGCTTGATACTTGGCCTCGTCGTACCATACCTAGGTAGGTATACTAGCACTTCTATCCCCTACATGGATACTATCACTAGTAGTATGCACTACCTACCTAGGTAGGTGTGTGAACATATCCGTGGTTATAGAGATCCTGCATGTGAGGCTTGTTTATATATAATGCCTGTAAATCCCAGTGTACCTAGATAGGTACCACCCTGCAGACCTAGATATTGATATTATAGTAGCAGTGTTATCATTTAAATTTATACATATTCTAGGTAGTATAGGTACTATAGTAAGTAACTACTAGTAATAAATGACTATCTAGTAGTATTTAGAAACGGTCGCGCCTTCCTGCGGTAATCCAATTCCGCGGTGATGGTCTTCTCCGCCCGCCGTAAAAATTTGCGCGAATCTCAACCCATCAGAGTAGATTATTCTCATCTTCAACCCTTCAAGTTCACAACCTCCACCATGTCTGACTTAGGGGACGAGGCAGATTCACGCACGGCCGCCGTTGGCGCTCAGCGAGGCCGAAGAAAGGCCGCCGCCCGATCTTCCCAGAACACCAACACCCGTCCCACGAAGAGACAACGGCGGAATGAACCCGCCGCATTTCGCGCCCTCGAAGATTTTGTCCCGCGCGGAGCGTCATTCAGCGAAAAGCCCCTCGAAGTTGATCCCGATGAGACTTCAAGCTCTGGCTCGGATTCTGAAAGTGAAGGTGATTCCGACCACTCGGAGGCTTCTAGCAAGCCCGCGACCGCAAACCCTCATGCAGGCAGTACGGCACCCTCCGTCAGCTGGAACCAGGGCAGGAAAAATGCCGTGCGCACAACATTGGGAAAACGCAAGACTCAGCCTGAGCCAGAAGCAACGTCTGCGCAATTCAAAGCAGTCAATGGGACATACTGGCGCAGTCGCAGTGGTTCTGCATCTTCCGCAGGAAGCATCACAGCAAAGAAGGAAGATGGCCAGTCAAAAGAGGACAGTGCCTCCGAAGAGGGCGAGATAAACTCTGTCAGCGACTCTGATGATTCGGAATCCTTGGATTCTGAGGCTGATGACTCTATTATGCTGAACATTGGGACAAAGCACGAACAGGCGGCGGATGAATATGACCCGGAGTCTTTAGACTTGAGTCAAGGCCTAGCCAACGGCCATACAAATGGTACTTCCAAAGCAAAGGGCGCAGATTCCCTCTTGGATATCAACCCCTCAGCAGCGCAATCGAAAGAAGAAGCCTTCCAGCACTTCAGTCGCAAGTACTCAACTGCCCCAGTCACGTTGGTGGACTTGAATAAAACGGATCTCGAAAAGCAGGCCATGTTCTTGTACTGGGATCGTGATATCCACACTCTTGATCTCCAGTTGCCGGTTGGTTGTATCGAGTGCTTTCGCCAGGGTCACATGGCTGAAGTGTGCCCAACAAAAGAGGTAGCCATTCTTAACCCTTAGTTCCATGCTCTATTCGACATCTATATACTAACCAATTTTAGTGCGAGCACTGTGGAGCGTGGAATAAGCATTCAAGTGACTTCTGTCCCTCATGGCGACGATGCATACGATGCCGAGAGAGAGGCCACCAAGAAGAGCAATGCTCCGCTGCCCTAAAGGGCTCCGCGTCCGAAGTCCCTTGCGACTTCTGTAGTCTGCCTCACCTTGAGACCCAGTGTGATCAACGATGCACATTCCCCTGCGGGAGGTCACAGACCCGTCCATCAAGGTCGCTATGTCGTGCGCCCGCTGTGCCAGCAGCCAGCATCTAATCGGCGACTGCCCTTCAGCTCCATACCCTTCTTACTCATCATGTGCATTTTCTCTCAAGGGAATTGACCCTACAGCGATCACCAACCTTAGCGCTGGTCCCATCCCTCAAAAGAACACCGGCCCGCCGCCCAATCGCCCGCCTAGAGGGCCGCGGAAATAGAGGCCCCCGAGGTGGTGGGGGAGGTGGTAACAAATCTTTCTCTTCAGACAGCAGTGATGATATGCCCCGTGGTGGTAAAAGGCCGCCGCCTCCATCTCGTGGAAGAGCTCGCGGGGCGATTCGTTTCGGCGGTGGACTAGGTTCCGATCAGCCACGAGGCAAGCCCCCTCCAAAACGAACGCTCTCTCCGCTACCACGTCGCGGACCCCCACCACCTCCGCGAGGCAGGGGAGGATATCGAGGCCGTGGAGCTTCCAATGGCGGACGAGGCGGCGGACGGGGCGGTGGTGGCGGCGGCGGCGGCGGCGGCAAGCGAGGCCGAGGACGGTAAATCGACCATGCTGGTCGTGTATTATGAGCATCCTTACGAATACCATATATCTGTACATTGCCCATTGAGTTTATCTTTTGGCCTTTCAATTTTTTTGGATCCTCTCATGCATGCATCGGTAATGAGCTAGATTCTAATTGATCTAGTTTGCTGAGCTCGCTCACTCAAGGGTCGTGACCACAGAGCCGGGACAGCTTGAAGAACAAGTGCTACTACTATATGTACATGTCTACTACTCTTTATGTTCATCATTCTCGCGAGTACCCACAAAGCCTTCTTCAAGGATATCTACCAGTTCATCCAAACGACTGATACAAAGGTCGGTATGAGGATGCTCGCGCAGATGGCCATTGCGCTCATTGACTAGCAAAACGGTTGCTGCGCCGGCCGTATGACCGGCTGTCATATCGTCGATGCTATCACCGACCTACGAATGATTAGCAACCAATGATTCACCTAAACTCCATGGACCGGTCATCATGATAATTTTGCAACGTACCATAATCAGGCTCTCTGCGCGGTTGGGCAGTCCCCATTCCCCAGCAATATGCAAGATGCCCGCTGGATCAGGCTTGGGGATCACATCAGGGGTATCTCGAGTGATGATGGGGAGAAAGACATGGCTCGCTAGGTGATTCTGGATGAGATACCGCACCGGGGCTCTATGAGTCGATCTATATCAGTACTACTCCGCACGGGAATTGCAATGCATACTACTAGTCCATTGCGGAAAGAATACATACTCGAAATTCCGGGTGCAAAGAGCCCGTCGGAGTCCGCGTGATTGCAGATAATCCATCAAGCGTGCGAGACCGGGCTGTGGTTGCTGGCCGAGCATTGCGCGCCGCTCGACGTCTTGGACTTTTGCCGTGGCTTCGGCGCGCTGAGCGGGCGTTTCGAGGCCGCGGACGTGATGGAGGATGTCAGTGGATGCATCGATTCCCAGCGCTTCTCTAAATTTTATACATTAGAGACCATATAGTTGCCATTGTGTCTACCTGTGTCCTTTCTGGGGAAGACGGGGTTCTCCGGGGTTGATGCCGAGGATGGTGACGGTGCCATCGGATATCCAACTTACCTCATTTCAGTGAACATATGATGTTGCGGGAGGCTGTTTCAAAATTAGCACTAATTGATTATCGTTTTTCTGACACTGTCAAGCCTGCCATGGGTAAACTTGAGTTTCCCGGTCGATCTCCGTCTGTACCGGGAGCTCAGCTGCTCGCTGATAAGGGTATTGACATGATGATATGCAAGGAAGTAGGACAATGCAAATCAGGTCACCCAAGCCATGGAATCTCCGAGTCTTGACTGAGGAATAGGATGAACCTACCACAAGGTTCCATCGACATCAAATACAATGCCCTTGAGCGGTGGCGCATCCGATTTGCGGGATGTGTCGAGGGGCGCAAATCGCCTAGGCCGGAGATGCTGGCATTCTACTTTTGTCGCGAACATGATGGATGATTGCGCACTTCGTAAGGCCACACGAGCGGTCATAGAGGCGTGACTTAGAAGCGGGATGAAGTTGCGGAGGTGGAGGTGGAGGTGAAGATGAAGGGAAGTGGGTTCCTCTTCCAATGTTCCCTGCCTTTTCCATGGACAAGGACAAGTGGGGCTAGCGTATACTCTCCAGTATAAAAGGTATACAGTTACAGCGTCGATATACTAGAATACCTAGGTAGGATACCGTATGCATAGTATCGTAGAATAGCAGAATAGGATACTATTACTAGTATTAGTGTATTGCAATTCCACGCACTCGCACCTTCCCTTCTTCCACTTTCACGCACCTTCCTCGTCTCATCTCCCCATCCCAATGGGGAGGTCCTCTCCTTCTCTTCTTCTATCAATCATGGATTTCTACATCCTTTTCATCTCATACTTCATTCCCCCTCTAATCCGCAGAAATGCCGCTCATCGGTCGACATGTCTCTCACACGCATGCCAATCTTCCCATTTCGCTATGGAGCACCATATCTCTCACCTTCGCCCTCTCATACCTGCAAATCGTCTACGCCATTTCTTTCATTGCGCGTCCCTTCTGGAGCTCGAACTTGGACTTCCCACCCTTCAGACAGGCCATAGAAAGCGCAGAGATATTCGCCATCAACATCATCCTAGATATCGTTCCTACCTCGAAATATCGCTCGCCAGCACCGACAAATTTCATCGACGATGCCACTCGCCGCCCCCCATTAAGCCTCAATCGACCGAGCCCAGTGATAGGAACCTCTCCACACGTGGTAACTGGCGCCACTGTACATGCAGTTCCACCACATATGCCGCAGTGCTACCCTGAGCCCCGGAGTTCGCTCCCATCACCGCAACAAAAGGAAGTTCAAACAGAGACTATGCGCTCCACGCACACAGAGCGCTTCAACAAGATAGGCGACTCGGGTATTTCTATCTATGGCACCGCGCGGAAAATCACTAAATCGACTCGCCCAAAGCTATCCACCACCCTCGAAGCGCACCAGCAACATCAAGCCACCAGCCAGGCAACAGAGTCCGAGCCCGTGACTGGCGCCCGCAAAACGACTACCGTCACAAGACAAGAAGAACCCGAGGAAGAAGAGCTTACAGTCCATATTGTCGAGATCTCACAGCCTGCCGATCAAGCTTTCGATAGTATATCCCAACCCACTGCCGCAGTTGCCACGGCCACAGTCCCGGTCATGGCCATGCCCAATCCGTCCATGCCAATGGACATGTCTCCTACCAACTCATTCGATGGTCCTGGTGAACTCGAACCCGAAATAGGTCCCCAATCCGCCTCATCTTGTTATACGGATAATACAAGCTCTCTATCATTGGATGCCTGCCATGCACTCAAGTCCCATTCCACCGAGAGTTATCCTGGAAAATTTCCCGTCAGCGAAGGTACGGAATACAGCGGGTTGGCCACGGCCGAGTACGCTTTCCGGGAGAGGGGCATTACTTCTGTACGGCCTTTCTCGGACTATTAGACACGGAGACTCTTTGGCTTTTGTTTTTTGACTCGTGCACGAGCGTATGGTGGTTTGGATGTGGTATATCTGCGGTTTTTGGGCATTGGATCCTCGTGTTGGTAACTCTTGCTTGTTGCATTCTTCCTTTCTCTATCTTTATTATTCTTTTTTATTTCACTACTCAGTGGATGATCGTCTGAGGTTTGGATATCCCACTATTGGAGGTCTCGGAATTGAATTGTATACTTAACTCATTCATGACTTTCATCACTGGCCTGATAAGTGTTGCTCTACAAATTCTAAGGTGCTCAATGGTATACATATATCATGATAAATGAAGTAGTGACTTTCCTTCAAGTTTTTGTAGTATTCGAGCTTTTGTAGATGAGTGCCTATGTAGAAACCTCAGATGGAAACTAGTATATCATTCTAGTGACTGCCAGTGTACCAGGCATACCTTATTCTACACACAATCGAAGAATCGGAGAACACTTCGAAACCGAATCCATAACATGTCGGTGTCCATGCACCAGATTAAACCAAAATAGTCCACACCATGCTAGTATCTACAAAAGCTCAGCTATCCCAGACCCGGGCTCTCGTTCAACACGCAGCGAAACGGTTGAGAAACAGACAACGAAAGTAGAGAGGGAAAAGAAAAAGTCGGATATGAAAAGAAAATACGAGAACTTTGGAGAATGAAAAAAACCCATGTAAATAGAACCACACGTAACTTTCCGAGCTTTCGCGCTCATTCTCAATTGCCTCCCTATTAACACTCACGCCGAGAAAAACGAGGATTTTTTTTGCGCAATGCACGTTGCTCATGAATGAAGATGGAACAAGAAAATGGAGGAATATGGAGAAAAAGGATGGGAGGAAATGAACATGCTAACTCAATCAAACAATCGTCTCTGTCGTTATAGGCGAAATGTGCCAGTTCATCACGTACAAATAATAGATATTGAGGAAGGAAGAAAAAGAGAAAGGGCGAGGGAATGCGTGAGAGGGGAAAAATGAACAAAACACGCTAGACAGAAATACATTCCCGGGGTATCACAATGCTGGTCTTAATAGTTGTCATCATAATCGATCTGCATCGGACTGCCTCGGTATTGAGTACGCTTGATGTTGCTGGGGCTATAGTTGCCGCCAGAGGTGAGGGGACGGGGACCAGTTGGTTTGCGCGTGGGAGGGGAGCGCATGGCAGAGCCCTTGACATAAAGTTAGAATGATTTTTATTGTAGCGTTTGGAGTTGAGATGGATGGAGGCTTAGACATACCCTTGAGACAACGCGGTCGTTGTACTGCGGTTGCTCTTCTTCTTCCGAGACCTTGGGAGGTCGCTCGGGGATCAAGGGGCCGTCGTCCTTGACCTTAGGTGGTCGAGGGGGGCCGGGGTTGCGGGAGCTCGCTTCCGAGTATCCTGCATCCGAGATAGGGGACAAACGACTACCGCCACTGAAGCGTTGTTGGTTAGGGTTGACGGCTGGCAGACTGGGATTCGAGCCCCAGTGGTCTGAGGATGGGGATTCGGGTGTGTCATACGTCTGTGCTTGAGTTTCGAGCTGGTTTTGGTAGCGGCCAGTTGGGCCCTGTCGAGGTTGAGGGTGCTGCAGATCGAGACTGCCGCGGTGGGCACGGTACTTCGGTGCCTCGGAGACCTGCGAGGGCACCAAAGGAGATGGAGGACGATTCTCCTGCTGATCATCCTCGCCTAGAGTATACGTAGACCTAATACGGTCATCGCCTTCGGGGTCATAGTAATTACCGGTTTTATAGGCGTCTGCGGCGAGATCAGAACCAGAGCGAGAGACCTCTGAATATGGACGTTCCTTGCGACCAGGCTGAATGCTGTTGCGAATATTGTCTCCCATTGACGTGGCGGTGGACTTCGACCAGCGTGAGATTTTGGGGAAGATTGATGAACTGCTCGACTTGTGCTTGCGAGCCTTCTCTGAAGCCTTCGGAGTTGTCTCTGTGCTTCGAGCGCCGTTTGCTGCCACTGGCTTTCGAGGCGGAGTGTTGAGAGGCAGAGAGCCGGCTCTCTCATGACGAGCGGGCTGCTTGATAGGCAAATGAGCAGTCATATAGGCATCGTTCTCATCGATTTCAAGATCCTCGTCCTCTTCGTCTTCTTCAGGGACAGTGCTAACACGGGTATCCCCATTGCCTTGTCGAGGGCTGCCCATGTAGGGAGAACGGCTGCCCATGGGAACATTGTTCGGGCCATTTTCATAGCCATTCGGATCGATGCTTGCTCTCCGGGGGGAGACAACATCTTGACCAGTGCGCAAGGCCTCAACCTCTTCAAGGAGCTGCTCGAGCATTCCTTCGATTTTGGTCAAGTCGTTTCCTGATTTCCCGCTCAGGCCCTTCAACGCGCGCTTGAAAATGTTGGCTCGCTTGGCTTGCAAATCTTCGTCCGCGTTGTTCAACTGACGAGAACGAGAAGTGCTGGGGGGGCAGTGGACGAGGGCCCCCGAGGGCCCTGTGGGTTCGCTCGTGCTGCTGGTCGCTGGTGTCCATGATCATATCATCTTGATCAGCGATGAATTTCTTCATCTGCTCGAATGAGGTGCGCATCTCGGCGGCGCTTCGAACAAGAGTCACGAGAATCTCGGTATCCCTGGCATTTCGCTGGGCATCCCGAACAGTGAGATGATCCATGAGAGCAACAATGTCCTTAGATTGGATTCTTTCAATACCTCGGCCAGTGGCGCTGTCATAGAGCGGAGAGCCCACACCATGAGAGTAACCACTAAAGTGTCGCTGGTGGCCAGATCCGAATGGGTCTTCCTCAGTCGGACTCTCAAATGCGCCTTCGAGGCCTCGATCTCCTTTCTTGGGGGTACCGACGCTGGGAGACATGGGGTTGGCAGCCGACACGTAGCCTTCATCCTTGGCCCCTGGGGGGGTACCAAAGAGCTGACCAGCTTGCTGGTCAACGACAAAGTCATCGCCACCAAAGATGTTTCTGGCAGTCTCATAGTATTCGGCATCAAGATTCCGGGGCTGGTTCTGGTCGAGGTCTTTGGCGCCATGATCATAGTAGGTAGGTTGCTCGGCTGGGGACCTTGATGCGTAGCCCCAGTGATCTTGAGCACTTTGAGCAGGGCCTTGAATGATAGAGGGGTTGGTGTTGATCTCGGACTCGGACTCTTGACTGCGGTCCTCATCCGCACCTGGGCTATCCATGCCCTTAGAAGCTGCAGCGGCAGCCATGCCTGCAGCCATGCCGGCCGCCATACCGCCGGCAGAACCTGCTTCATCGAAGTCGTCGATAGACTGGGTGACGCTTTGTGGTGGCGAGGAAGCACCAATCCGCCGAGGGAATGATGTCTCATCAGGGCTGGAGGCATCCTGGCGTTGCTTGAGAGGGCTTCCACGCTTTTCAGGGCTTCGGCTTGCCGCACGCTCAGCGAATTCGGTCTGTGAGCGGTTTCCAGAAGTCTGGGACTCGAGAATGGACCCATCAATCAGAGTAGCAACGTTCGACTCAACACCCGCTGGGTGGATAAATTGCGGATTAGCAGCGATGCCGCTGGCCACATTATGACCTTCTTTCACTCGATCCATGAAATCAATTTCGCTGTCATCATTCTCGTATGAAAGTCTTGACTCATCATCGGGACCATAGTAGTTGTCCTCTCCGGATGCACGGCGCGATTGCTCATATCCGAGATCAGTGCCCTCCTCACCATCGAAAGCGCGGATTTGACTGCTGGGGCTGTTTCCATCCTGGCGAGTAGATCGGGCGAGGTTTGTGCTCGGGGCGGAAGACAAAGAATCAATCGAAAGGCGAGGTTCCACATCCCGCTGGAGGTCAGCAGTGTGCTTGTTTGGATAATACGCATCACGAGTCTCGGTAAGGTCACTGGCAACACTCTGGATAGGGCTCAGGGCTCGGCCGGCCTCATAGTGTCTGTCTGGCGACGGCTCTTGTCCTGGATGAGCAGCGTCGAGCAGGTTCGCGGCTGCAGCTGCAGCAATAGTCCAGTCAACATCAGTGCCGGGAGATTGGCTCTTTTGATGCAAATCACGATCCGAACTACTGTGCATAGACAGGTTATGATGTGACTGATTGCCATGGCGCATGCCGAGTTCATTCCGTGATTCTTGTGGGGTTCGAGTCGGCGTTCGCGATGTCGGCGAGACAACTTGTCTTGGTGAGCCACGCGAAATTTCGGCCGGTGGCATCCTTTGACGCAGCACAGGACTCTCAGTACGTTCCGAGAGCAATGAAGTCCTCGTCAATTCCGAATCAATCTCGCTGCGCATTGGCATAGGAGCCACATTGTGTTTTTGGAAAACAAGCTCTGTCTCGTTGTAGTTGTCCACACTTTTGCGTGAGCCACTACCTCTGCGCTCCCCTGATTCTGACTGGCCAAGACTAGACTGAGAATCATGCTTCTTGAGAGATGCGGCAGTCAGAGCGGAACCGACTCGACCGGCGGCATGGGCATCACGAAGGCCTTTGCTCTTTTGTCTGCGGATTTTATCATGCTCAGTAAGATCCGGTCGGCCCCATTTGACCCATGCTGCATCAGAGGTTTCACTGCCTTTGCTCGACTTGCGTTCCTTGCTTTGTTGTAGAGGATCGCCAGCAAGAACAATCCCTTCATCCTTGCTATCTTTGTTCAAGACAACGCGAGGCTGAGGCTTCATCACGTCAGGAGCACTGGAATGTTTTGACAAACGTCGACCTAACTCATCTCTAGAGCTAGCAGAGGAATAGGATGTGGTCATGTCGCGGTCGAATTTGGATTTGTTGGTCATGACTTTCTGATCCTTCTTGAGCTCCTTGAGCTCGGGCAGGATCAAGCGCCGAATTGCATCTTCAACGGTCTCGAGTAATTTGGGATTATTGATGGAAGATTTTGAAACATTAGAGTGGTAGTCGCCGGACCTGCGGTTGGAAGAAACAGCCGAGCTGAGGAGGCTAGATTCGGGGCTGGTAATATTAAGATCCTCATCACCGGATCCATGTCGTCTGCGCCGGGATGACTTGGGCTCCTCCAAGTATTCCTTCCTTCCACTTCGGTGCTTACTCCTACTCTTGTGTCTACCACTGGAAACCTCCTGCGGTGAGCCGCTGAGTTTCTCGGCAGCTCGCTGGACGATACGTTCCTTGCTAAGGCTGCGACTTCGTTGCCGGGATGGCGTTTTCAGCAGATCCTTATCGCGACTGGCGCCACGTTCGATGCTTTGGCTGCGCTTCCTGCGCGGACCAGCGGATGAAGTGTCGAGCATGCTGTCAGCGGGCATGGACGAGATATCAGAAGAAGGCATCATAAATCCACGTGAGGCGGTGGACAGTTCGCTGCCTCGGTCGCGATTCATAAACTCGATTTCGACGGGTGGATGTTGAGAGGGATGTTCACCCTCCTCCTCGACGGAATTGATGGAGCTGATGCTTTGATCATCCAAGCCCGAATCGGCCTGATGTTTGCTTTTGGAAGATGGCGAGGTCAAGGAAATGCGACGGGTATAAGAGGGCTGGCGACTGGAGCCCGATTCGGTGATCTGGATTCGGTCCTTTTGCTTACGCTTTCTCGCGCCTGATGGTGTCACTCGTACACGTACGCTGGGCCTTGAAACAACACCGCCGGGGCCTTTCCCACCCTCGAAATATTCGATTAAGAGGGAGGTCTGGGAATCCCGATTTGAGCGAGACAGTTTGTCGTCCCGGTCCCGATGGCGCCGGGTGGAGACAGTAATTGGGCTACCGTCGTCCGGGATCGAGTACGACGTTTTGTCTGTGCGGCGAGAAATGTCAGTTGCCAGATCTGTGCCCGTTGGGCTGTCGCCAGGGTTGGTATCGACGAGGGATTCTGTGGGAGCGGGAAGAATTGGTCTGCGGGTTTCGACCCCCATGGTGGAGACGGGCTTCCTTTTTCTTTAGTCCGACAATCGCATGCTCCAAGTGGGAGAATGGATGATGACGATGGGACTGTAAAGAAAGAGAAGAGGGGGTGGTTGGTCACTCTGGTGATGGATACTCCGTGCTTGTTGACACGACAGTGGAATAGTGGGGGGGGGAGGAGGTAGGAAGGAGGAGTCACAGAGGACCGAGAGAGGGCGAGGAGGGGAGTAAGGGAGATCGGAGAGGTGTGGGTTGGGAATAGGCAAGGGAGGAGGATCTTGAAGAAGAATCGATGGGAACAAGCGTACCAGCGCAGACACCTAAGAACGGTGGGGAGAGAAGAAGCAAGAGTAGACGAGAGAGGAAAGGAGGAAAAGCAACAGAATGGGGTTGCTCTCTCTCTTTGGGGGGGGGGGAGGTTCGAACGAGCTCAGCTCCGCCGATCCCCTCACATGAAATTGGGATGGGATGAAATTGGGGGGGCGATTGGAGGAGAGAAGAAAAAGAGGAGAAGAAAGGAGAGAAGAGGAGCAGCAAGCCGAAAGAATTTACATGGAATAAGTGAAAATAAAGTAAAAAGTGAAGGTCAGAGAAAATCGTGCCCAGCCTCACGGGGAAAAAAGGTGGCTGGAGGTGACAGAGAACGGGGAGTACGGAGTACCTATCTCGTCACTGATCAGCGGGATGTGCATACAAAGAGTACTTGTGAGTTACTTTAATATAGTACCTATAGGTTACCTGTATTACTCCCATCAACAAACGGAGCCATGGGTTGGGCTGCGGATCTCGGATGGGTTCCTTGGTTCGAACTATTCTGCCAAACTCCATTTGAGTTCCTTTAGTACATACAGAGTACTTTCCACAAACTTATCATCGTCCTAGTATCTCGATGCTAATGGACACCGCCTAACACCATAACGCCTTACACTCCTTACACTCTCACTCCTTCCCACCCCCCATCACCCTCCGTGCAGCATCCTTTCCTCTACTCATCTGCATCTCAATTTACCATTGGTTCTCTTGTTGCACAACACACGGGCCACTACTTCCGTGGGACCCTAAATCGGCCGAGGCATCAAACCGGTTCGACGGTGGTCGCCCAGACGACACAGACCCTGGGTGTATGGAGTCCCCGTGATTGGCCCCACGCACTGCCAACGCATCCAACTCATCACATCCGACCCTGTGGCCATGGCATCCTGGGGCGAGCCAGCCTCCCCATTTGTGTCGGAGATCCGGATGGAGGAGTCCATACTTCAGCCTTCGAAGTAAGCAGTAGCCTCTACTCCGTATCGAGTGGAAGATGGCTTCACATTATACTATTATGTGCGTATATGTACTGCGTACACATACATACGTAAGGTAGTCTCGATCGCAACAGGCGGCTGCAAGTCACCCTCATTCCTACGGGGGCTGCCTGCGCATACAGAAAGACGGTAAAGGTAGTACAACTAGTATTGCATTACTGTGCACTCTGCACTCTGCACTCTGCACTGGCCGTTGCATCTCTGACATGAATGGCCCCAATCACTCAAACCTCATATGTCAACTCCCGGGGCTGAAAGGCAGTTCATTTCATATTGTATCGAGCATTGAAATAAAGCACGACATCAAATACCGGCGGCGTTTTCTTCGCAGCATGACAAGCTTTCCACGTGGGAGGGCCGCATGGCCGACCCTGGTTTCAATGAGTATGGCATTCCACACTTGTGACGGATATTAGACGCCACCCATAGATAAGCATTCTACTAGTAAATACTAGATAGAGGATGGGCACAGTCACTGCCTCAAGGTAGAATCATCGGAGAGACAGTGATGGTGGTGATCTGATAGAAATAGCAAGGATATCCTATCTAAATACCTGGGGAAATCGTTGGCAACTGTTGATGCCTGAGGCAACACGCTCAATAATACCTAACTAACTTACATCGAACAGCATGATCAGGAGAAGGAAATAACAGGTAAATAACAGTGTTCGGAAAATAAATTCAAATAGATATCTACACTAATGAACTCCAAGGACCCAGAATGAAGATGCAGGCGACCATTTTACTTTTGTTTCCACATTCCACATTCATCATACACTCCTTAGTCTTCATCGTGCTTCCGCTGGAACTTCAGCCCCTTGTTGTTCCGCGGCTGGCTGCCGTAAGTCCGGCGACCTTGCTGCTCCTGCTTCTTGTCACGGCTCAGGCTGGAACCCAGTGAGATGTCGATCCGGGGTGGCGCGTTGAATCCGAAGCCCTTGGCCACCTTGACCAGGTCCAACTTGTGCACATCGAAAATAGTACGCAGGAATGAGACGCATAAGCTTGGAGGTATGAGCGGTAACCCTCCTTGGCACTCTGGAGATTCAAATCGAGTTAGGACAAAACGGTCAAGGCGATGGGGAGAGAAAGGGGCGTAGTTGATGACATACCTTGTTCAAGTAGTAGTTCTGTCCAATCAGCTTCTCCAGTTGAGACTGGACATTGACAATCTTGGAGCTGGGGAACTCGAACTCAGTCACCGGAACCCGGGCATCCTTGAGTTCTTTTAAGAAACCGACTTCTGATGGTTGCAAGAACATCAGACTGCGACCCTTGCCGCCCTTGCCCCGGGCAGTCCGGCCCACACGATGAATGTAGTCACGGGGGTCATCAGGAGGATCGAACTGAATGATCCAGTCGACAGCGGGAATCTGAGAGATGGGTCAGTAAAGGAGTTTAATGGTCGGAGTTGGAAGGGAATACGAACATCAAGACCACGGGCAGCAACATCAGTACAGATCAAAGTTCCCTGGCTGGCATTGCAGAACTCGAAGAAAGTGTTGGTTCGCTTCTGCTGTTTTTGCTTGCCGTGCAGCTCCAGAACGGGAAGGTCGATGTAGTTGAGAAGCTCGGCGTGGTATTTGACGCAGTTGCAGCTAGAGAAGAAAACAATGATCTTCTTCTTCAGGTTGCGCTTGAGGAAAGAGAAGAGGAGCAGGAAGCGCTTGTCCGCTTCACAGACCACGTAGCCCTGTTCAAGTCCCGAGACGGTACTGTGCTCCTTGCGGTGATCGACATTGATGTACAGAGGGCCGGCGCGCAAGGATATACGGGCCAGATCCTCAACCTTGGTTGTCTGGGTAGCGGAGAAGAGCATAGTCTGACGCTCCTCAGAGGGAAGGATCTTAATGATCTGGCGCATCTCATCTTCGAAACCGACTTCGAGAATACGGTCAGCCTCGTCAATGATCAGGGTCTTCAGGTTCTTGAAGATGAAGCCCTGTGTGTTCTGGAGGTGATCAAGAAGACGACCGGGAGTGGCAATGAGCAGGTTAACACCCTTCATCAGCTTCTCCGCCTCAGCACGCCTATTTGCGCCTCCTATGACAATACCGAAAGTTTGCGAAAAATGTGTCATGAGTTCTCTAGCGACACCGAAGATCTGCAGGGCCAATTCACGGGTGGGGGAGACAACGAGGACACCGGTACCTGAACAGTAATTAGCAAGATCGTCCACGGATGGTTGGGGTATCTGGTAGTAAAACTCACCGTTGCGCGGCTTGAAGCGCAAAGCGTGGAGCATCTCGATCGCGGGGATCAAGAAGGAAAGAGTTTTGCCACTGCCTGTCTTGGCCGCTCCGAGAACATCACGGCCAGCCAGAAGAGGGGGGATGGTGCGCTGCTGGATTTCGGTCATCGTCTCGAAACCCATATCCTGAATACCCTTCATCATGTTGTCCGAGAGGTTCAGCTCACTGAACTTCTGCAATTCGCCCTCGGTCTTAGGCAGGCTAACATCATCCACTGTAGGAAGATCAGCGGAATCGTCATTGCCCTCGGCGGCATCGGAGTCCTTCTCTTCATCCTCGCTTCCCTCGTTATCATCCTCCTTCTCCTCAGCCTCGTCGGCGCTCTCCTCGTCGTCACTAGGCGGCGGGGTGACCTTGCGCTTCTTGGTTGACTTGTCCGCAGCCGACTTGGAGGAGGTTTTGACCTTCTTGGAGGTCACCTTGGGGCTCGATTTGGCCTCGACGGGCTTGGGGATGTCCGCATTCTCGGTTGCGGGCTTTGCGCTGTGCTTTCTCTTGCGCTTGTTGGTGATGGACTTGGCAGTGTCCACGGGGCCGGGCATCTTGCCGTTTGTATGTACTATTGCAAGTACTTAACAGACGGGAAAGATGAGAAGAATTGGTAAGATCAGGACGATTCGGTGATGTTTTGATCTCCAAGGGTCCTATCGCTGCCGGAAATCGTTGCTACTTTTTTTTTCTTTCGGTGAAGATGGGCAGAATCTCCACATCACGTGCTGATAGAGCGGTGTCTATCATATTGTTGCCTTGTAGAAAGGGCACCAAGGCATCACATTTACACAAATCAATTGTGTTGCAAAATATGGAAGTAAGCTTAGATGTAGGTGGATGTCATGGCGATTATTTACATCGTACACCGCGCATTGTCGAACGTCAATATCAAATTGTGAACCAATGAACTGTTACTTTCAAACTATGAGATACATGTGTACACTAACAATCGTATGTTCTTGCTACTGACTACGTAGACAGCTCCTCTAGCTTCTGAGCGGGGGGCTGTTGTGGCTCAGTCCTTAAAATTATGCCCAGAAACTATGGCCTTGGCCTCAATCTTGAGCGGGTATTAGCCCCTACGAATCCATCATAGCGCACAAGCCATGTTAAATAGTTGCGACATGTCTCTAGTGCCAAGAATGGCTATTGGTTGGAAAGGGGGAAAACCTGAATACGCCGGTCGGCAAGAATAGACCAGCGGCCTAGAGAATGAGCACGTCGCAGTCACTCTGACAATCAGATTATGTCGAAACAAGGCAATCCTTTTTGTCCACTGCGGCCCGACCGAGAGGTATGCGATCCACCCGTGCACCCAGTTGCAGATGCAGACCGATTCGCAGACCGATACTCTGTACTCCGTAGCGGTGCCGCTCACCGATCCTGGCGGCTCCTGCGACACGAAAATTGCAAGATGTTCTGTGTCCAGGTTTTGCATCGCAGAGATTTCACAGCTTTGAG